ATGGGGGGGGGGGGGGGGGTAGTGATACATAGTTAGCCACTAACCACCAGGATGTTTCATTAGCCGAACATTGATCTCTTCTCTTGTCATGGTGTTCCTCCTGTCTTGTTTCTTTAGGATCCATTAGCACCCTTTATTATGATTTATAATGGAACCGTGCCGCTTTTTGGTCGGTTGCGTTGTAATGGTCAACAACCCTTTTGGAAGTGGACATAAAAACGGAATCATCAAATTATTTTAACCCAAAACAAAGTAAAATTATTTTTAAAACGATGGATTAATTAAGAGAGAGGATGTGTACATCATAAAAACGGAATCAACCTATTTGGTTGAATAAAATGTTAAATGTGAAACGGTAATGTAATGTGATCCTATTGGGTTTTTGCCTTCTGGGGCATGCACTCCATAAACCGACTAACTAATAAGAAGAGCTTTTGTCCGTTCGCCTAAAATGCTCTGGACATTCTTACACCCTGGTAAAGTTAGTTCCGTACAATCAGCTCTCTCTCTATCTCTCTCTCTCTCTGTGGTGAATCTTGCCCATCGGTTTTTTTATTTTTATTTTCTAAAGCTGGCAATTTTCTCAGTGGAACTTCGCTTACAGTTACCCATCAGAGGGTTTGCAGATTTTTATTGTTGGGTGTTTAAACTCATTGTTAGGGTTTTTCGTTCGAGAAACAGGAAGGCTGAGGCTTTTTCATTCGTTTCCCGTTATCTGCAATTACATCTGTTTCTTTCTCTTGATCAAGTTGAGATTTTCATCTGCAGCTATAAGGTTTCTGTGTGTGCGCGCGCGCGTGCGTGCAAGGAAGTGGGCCTTTTTCAATCACATATCTGTGGATTGTCCGCATAGATTGCTTCAAGTCCGGGTTAGCTTTTTGAATGGAATGTGAATTATGTATGAAATGTCCCAAACATTAATGTGAACTCGAGCAAATCTCGAAGCGGAACTGAACTCACTAACATCGAAGAAGTTGGTTTTCCCTGGAAATCTGGGGTTTATCGTTTCCATTCTTGTTTGACATCTTCTTAATGTTTGCTACCCTTTCAATCGTTTCCGTTAGTGGCTACTCGTGTGTTTGCTTCCCTTTCTTGGGTTTCCTCTCTTGCTTTTTCTTTTCCGTGTTTGTGCTGTGAAATTCGATCTATTTCTTAACAATACAGCTACTTAGCTCTTCGGTAGAATGTCTAATAGTGAATCCGTGATTCATGCTAAGTATGTTCAAATTCCGTGAAAACACAAGCTTCAACCAACGAGATTAGCCCTCTGCATTAGCCGTTCCTGAAGCATCTTCAAACAAAAAAAGTCGGTACCTTTTTCTAGGGTCTTAGATGGCCGAACCGCTGGGACTGCTGAGGGTGACCGTAGTTCAGGGAAAAAAGCTGGCGATCCGAGATTTCAAGACTAGCGATCCTTATGTCATAGTCAAACTGGGCAGCCAGGTAGGTTTAAATACAGTTCACCATTGATGATCATTGTTTAATGTAGTTACAAGCATGTATTGGTGTTTCGTTGGTCTGGTAACCAAGCACGACATGAAAGAACTATGGCATAGTTATTTATGTTTTCATCATGTCATTTCCTGTTGCTGTCGTTTGATGTTCTACCGTCTTCTTAACCAGTCAGCCAAGACCAAAGTGATCAACAATTGCCTCAATCCTGTCTGGAACGAAGAATTAAGTTTTACCCTCACAGATCCTGCAGCTGTTCTCACACTGGTTAGTTTCATGGCCATTACTCGTCATTCTTCCATTTTATCTATCATATCAGGCCTTAGACGTTGATGGCACAGCAATCCATGGACAGCAAACGGTTTTACATTGGATCCTGTCATGGAACAAGTTGAGAAGCAAATTATAAAAGACTTGTCCCTTCGCTTTAATGCTAACATTCCGTAAAAAAGCTCGTTTTTGATGCAGGAGGTATTTGATAGAGATCGGTTCAAGGCAGATGACAAGATGGGCCATGCCCATCTCAGCCTTCAACCGCTCGTCTCCGTTGCTAGACTGAAGCACATCATACGTGTCTCCTCAGGTGAGACAATGCTTAGAAAGGTCTTGCCAGATTCAGACAACTGTGTTTCGCGTGAGAGCACCATCAGTTGCATAAGTGGGGAGGTAGTTCAGAGTGTGTGGCTGAGGCTTTGTGCAGTTGAGTCGGGTGAGATAGAGCTGAAGATCAAATTTGTGGATCTGCCTGCCCAGCCAACGCCTAATGAGCAAGTGTAATCTCTGTAATTTCCCCCTAGACGTTTTGTTATGCATTGTTTCAAATGAAATGTGAGGGCTTGAAATGGCTAGTTCATGTGTTCCAGATTAATTGTATTATACATAGACCAATAATAATTCAATGCAAGACTGTATGTTGTTGTTGCTTGATGCCTTGTTAGTTAGCTGGGGGAAGGTCTTTGGAGTGACTGAAAAAGACAATGCAACAAACGCTTAGAATAGCTGATTAAGTTGTCATAGGAAAAAAAAACAGAAGGAATGAGTTAATACTCTGATGTCTAAAAATAGAATCCTTAAGGGCAGGCAAAATAAGGACTTATGAGGCGCAAACCGTGGGGACCCTCTTGTTTCCATTATCAACAATAGGATAACCGAAAAGAAACACAATTTGATGTTTCTGGTTGAAGAGGGAAACAAGAGGAGGAAATGATAAGAGCCGATCCTCAGCGGCCAAAGGCAACGGAGACAGAGGTAGGAGAGATCGACAGCAGACCTCCCTTTCAGTCCGTCAAAGCCGCTGTTAGCCTCTTCCGTGATGTTACCCTCCCCAGATCACGCTTCCTCTCCTCCGAGGTATTCTTTATATTTCCTCTCCCCCCTCAAAAATCTCCATTTGTTTCCCCTCATGTGTTTATGTTAATCCTCAGGATATGTCGGAGAAGGAGACTCAGTTGATGTTAGCAGAGCAAGAAATGGAAAGAGTCCAGCAGAGTCTGGAGACCTCCCAAGCCGCAAAAGCTCGTGCCCTCACCGATCTGGAGTCAGCCCAGAGAAGAGCTGTGAATTTGAGAGCTAAGGTAGACACCGCAGAAAAATCCAAGCAATTCGCACTCCATACAAAAGAAGCCATGAATCAACGTTTAGAGCAACTTGAGATTGAACAGTCCTGCTGCACTGCACAACAAAACGATGAATTGGGTAGCACCAGAGAGAATTACATTTTGGTTGCTGCTGATCTGGACATGGCCAAGCAAGAGCTCGCAGAGGTAAGGCATCAATTCAAACTTTCCATGGAAGCTAAGCTAGCCGACCTCCAAAAAGCAGAGGATGAGTTGTTCCAGGCCATGGTTAACTCTGAGAGGATCAAAGGCATGTCGAATGAGATTTCAGAGATGAATGCTGCTATTGATCGTTTGAAGTTTGAGGCTCAGACGAAGACAGCGGAAGCAGAAAAGATAGCTGAGGAGAGCATCGCTGTAAGAGAAACATATGCGGCTATGAATCAAGAAGCAGCGGATAGACTGGAGGACCTCAGGCATGATTATGATCCTCAACTGAGGAAAAATATGGAAGAAAGGCTAGCCGAGATTTCTGCAGACATAGAGGGTTTACAGGAGGAAATTAAACACGCACAATCCATTAAACTAAGAGATGAACTGAATGAGGCTAAGAGTGTGATGCAACAAATTTCAGATGAAGAACGTTCATACAAAAGCTTGGTGAGTTCAGTCATGATGGAGTTGGATCGTGTGCAGAAGCAGAACAGAGAACTGAAGGGAAAAGAAGCTGAAAGACAAGAGTTTGAAGAACGAGAGTGGCTCGAAGCAAGCCGTAAGGTTGAGGAAATACTGTCTGAAGCTGAGAAAACAAGAAAGGATGCAGAAGAGATGAATAAGAATGTGCAAGAGCTCAGGCGAGAAGCCGAGGCGACACGGTCAGTCATGACTGAAGCCGTGAAGCAGCTTGAAGTTGTTCTGAGAGCGGTTGAGAAAGCTAAAGGCGCAGAGAAGAGGGCTATGGAGGACATGAGAGTTCTAGCTGAGAAACAGGAGAGTCTGACGCATGAATCTGATAAGAAGATTAGAATCTCATTGCAAGATTTTGAGGATTTGAGAGGAAAACGAGAGGAATCAGAGAGGTTGGTTGAGTTTAAAGCTGAAACTGTTGCAGCTCAGCTTGAAGGGATTGAAGAAAGCAGAATTGAAGCTGAGAAGAAGTTAGAGGCTAACCTGAAAGCTTTGGAAGAGATACAGGCTGCGACAGTTATTGCTTTGAGATCAGCAGAGATTGCAGAGGCTGCACACAGCGCAGTGGATGCTGAACTTCGAAAATGGAAACCAGAGGCATGATGATAATAGGTACTCAAGATGCTTAGGTGCTTAGGGTAAAGAAAAGAATCTGCAGATTTTTCTTCTGATTTCTGAACACGTAGTTAGGCACAGAGCAGGCCTATGGTGGTCTGCCCTTCATAGTTCTTCTGGCTAGAAGGTCCGTATCAAGCACAGAGAAGGATTTTCAGATCAAGAAAGCCTTTTTCTACCTTCTTTTTTTCCTTTTACAACTAGTTAATCTTTTGACTGCGTGCCCAGAGAGAGCTTTTGGACACATTTACTCTTTCCAGCTAAGCCATGCAGAATGCGAGCTACACTACGGTGCATGAAACTCACTTCTTCAAAGTGCATATTACATATAGAAACTATGGAGATGCTGAAGAGAAATTCCTTTTCTCATGGCCTCAACTTGTAGCTGAGAAAATGTTCAGCCATCACCGATTCATCGTCATCGTCCTGTTATTCATCACGGGTGACGAGACGTTTGTGGTTCTTGAATTTCTGCAGTTCTGACTCTCTCCATGCCTTCAGTGGAATGATCCATGCTTTTAGGGTCCTGCTTGTTCCCTGGATGGGGGATTGATGCTTGATGAAGTCGTAAAGCTGCTGATCCAGAGAAAAACAGTACACATTTTGGGTGGTGAACTCATAATCTACATAAAACACGAGACTTGAAGGTAAACTCGTTCAATTTCACCTCAAGATCGTAAGAAGAATGTGAATGCACCTTCAAGAACTCAGCCCTTGTGCTCTCTTGTAAAAGAGGTAAATTTTCAAGCTTTGCCTGTTTGGTTAGTATTAACACAAAAACAAAAGTGTGGAGGTGACACCCAGAGAGATGGAGTGAGTGTCTGAAAGAAAAGAAAATTACCTTCCAAGAGGCAGAGTATATATGGAGAATTCACAGCGTAATATGTATTTGTCTTTTATAGCTCAGATCATCAATGGACGATTTGATTGTAAGTAAAATGTATCCACATGGGATAGAATGAAATGGAAAGACATTATCAAGGGCCTTCACTTCTGCAGAGAAGTTTTATGGCAGTGACCAGTTAGAGGCTTTAATAACCAAAGATAAACTCACAGAACATCAAACCAAACATGAGGATGGGTGGGCCGACCGCGGGGATAAACAAGAGAGACTGCAGAAGCTGGCCTCAGCATTCTTTCATTTATTTACCCTTTAGAATTCGATTGGTCTCATCGTTTCTGAGAGATGCATGGGAACAGTGGGCCACTTGTTGATTTGGAGTTGAGTCGAAGCCCACAAGACCCGAGAAGAAAGCTTCAAACCGAATCAAATCAACGACATAGAGTTGACAAATGTTGAGTGTCAGTTTCGACTTTGAATTTGTTTATTACCAAGATTCCTGCTCGGGATCCGGATATTCGAACGTGTTGGTTCTCGAAGGCTGAATTCGTCCCTTGTTCATTTTTTTATATGCTGAATTTTTTCTTTAGAGAATGAACAAATCAAGCTGACCGGTTGCTAACTTTGACCACCCGCAAAATGTGGATGGGTTCTATACTTTTCTCTATTTCTTGCGAATCTGTATGTGCGAACCCACAAAAGGTAATCTTGGTCAGGGAAAGTTCCCTGAGTTGGCTTGAAAGTTTCCAGTTTTCACTCTCGCATAAGCCAAAACACAGAAACACGTCATGGCATATACATATACGACACTGACAAACGAAAAGTCAGCAACTTGATGCGCAGGGGCAAGAACCCAAAAGTCAATAGAAGAGAACCCTTTTTCCCTTCACACAAATCGAAATCGTCTCTGCTGGTGGAGGAGACTGAGAGGGCGGAAGATGTATCAAAACAGCGAGATAGAAGAAGAAGAAGGAGGAGGAGGAGGAAAGAGACTGGACAGCGTAAGAGAGAATCAGGTTGAAGGAAGCAGCAGCAGTGGAACAGTGTCTATGAATGGGGAAGCCAGCGTCTACATTGGAGTTGGAAAGGGAGAGTCAAGCATGGAGGCATTGCGTTGGACACTTGGCCACTTCACGCCCACTTCCAACACCTTTATCTTCCTCATCCATGTCTTCCCTGAGACTCACTTCATCCCTTACCCCTGTAAGTTCAATTCTTTCATGGTCCATCTGAGATGCATATATCTATATATATATATATCCATTGATACGAAAATGGATGATCTCTCAGTGGGGAGGCTTCCTAGGGAGCAAGCCAGTCAAGAACAACTTGAAAGTTTTATGTCTCAGGAAAAGGCAAAGAGGAGATCTCTCCTGCACAAGTTCCTTGACGTCTGTTCTGCTTCTAAGGTCCTTCTCTTCCCTCTGAATGAATCCAATGAGTGAATCCTGACCTGACGAGCCAGAAACTTGAAACAGGTGGATGTGGAGACCATACTGGTCGAGAGTGACTCCGTCGCTAAGGCAATACAAGATCTCATTCCCATTCTCAATATAAGAAAGCTTGTTCTCGGGATCAACAAATCTAACGCGAGGTAGGGTGCTGCCTTTTTTCCTTCTTTGCAGTAGAACCACGAAAGTTGCATAGTGTTACTATTTGTAACAGTCCAAGGCATATGCTTTAATGATGGGCCTCTCACCTCTGCTGCTGGTAGGAAACTGAGGTCGAGAAGAGGAAGCAGTGTTCCCGAGCAGATACTGAGGAGCTCTGCAGCAGAGACCTGCGAGGTCAAAGTCATATGCGAAGGAAACGAAATGAAAATCGATGGAACTATGATACAGTCGCCGACCAAAAGCCCCGGCAGCCGTGACTCCAAGTCGGATCTGTCCGGAAAGAAAGATCAAGTCGGTGAACCCTTTGCTTGCATTTGCTTCAGAAATAAAGCCCAAGAATAAACAACTGATTTGAGTGTCGGCTTTTAAGTTTGCATGTAACTGTGGTCGGGAGATGTACACGATGACTGTTGAACGACACCACTGGCATTGCTGTTTGCTTTGATACAAGGAAGCATGACACTTGAACACTTGGTAACTGTAATTTCGAGGTTGCCAACCACAATCATTAAAACACAAATCCGAGGAACCAGAAAGTGTTGGGATGAAATTAGAGTTGATAAGAAAACCAGAGACTGCTAGCCCTCATGTAAACCCAAAGGATGAATTAGAGAATATCGAATCTAACAGCTAGAAAAAGTCGAATTCCAAATAGTTTTCGGAACCCTTTCGAGCATTGAGAACCAATCCGGTAGCAGGTGATGACGTTGGAGAAACACCCACCAGATCAAGGGGCTTTGGGATCTCTGGTGGAGTTGCACAGCGAATCAGCGCCCAGTTCACGCCCTCGAAAAATGGATGCTGCTTAATCTCAGTGGCTCCACGCTTGGAGGCCAGCCGGTGCTGTGGTTCCTTAACAAGCAAGCACCGGATCAGGTCTCTGGCTGCAAAACTCACAACCGGTGTTTCTGGGAACCTGAGAGACTGACCCACAACGTTGAACAGCGTTTGGCGGTTCCCTGATCCCTTGAAAGGAGTTCTGCCAAAGAGAAGCTCATATAGAAAGATCCCAAACGTCCACCAATCCACCGCACTCCCATGCCCTTCCCCTTTGACGATCTCTGGAGCTAAGTATTCATGTGTCCCCACAAACGACATTGACCGTGCGTCATGTGGCTCTGCAATCAGCTCTGGCATAGATCTCACTCCCTGCCCTGTCTCATTCTTTGGCTTCCGGTCTCTTTTCGATTTGCTTGAGAAGAAACGTGGCCCAAAGCAAGTCATGGGTTGGATACACGAGGGCTCGATGCAAGCCGGCTGAGTGCATGATACTGTGTTCTTACTTACCGGGTCAGACTCGAGAGCATCTTTTTTCATGAGAGTTGGGCTCACGGCACAGCGAAGCGATAGGTCAAAGTCGGAGAGCATTATATGCCCATCATCCCTCACGAGAACATTCTCAGGCTTAAGATCACGATAAATAATTCCCAGCATGTGAAGATATTCTAGAGCTAACAAAACCTCTGCCACGTAGAACCTACAATAAACATGACAAAGTTAGCCGTCAGTATGATCTTATCTGGACAAACACATTTGAAAGAAAGGAAAGATGGACTCACTTCACTGCCTGCTCGGGAAAATGCTTCCCCGGCTGCCGTTGCCTGAGAGTATGCAAGTCTCCCCCAGGACAAAACTCCATCACCAGACACGAGAATTTCTCAGTCTCAAAGTGTGTGTAGAGAGTAGGGAGAAATGGGTGATCCAAAGACTGCAGAATCTCTCTTTCCGTCTGAGCCCGAAGGAGCTTCTTGCGACTAGCAAGCGACACCTTATCCATGACCTTGATGGCGAAGTAACACTTTGTCCCGCTCAGCTCTGAGAGATAAACGCTCCCGATATCCCCACAACCCAGCCTCTTAAGGAGCCTGAAATGGCTTAGACCCAAGACCCCATCCCGAGCCCTCACAGCCTGGATTGCTTCCCATCTCAAGTCGTTGGCCTTGTGGGGCTTATTGATACTGCTACTGAAGCTGCTACAACTACTCTCATCGCTCACATCACTGCTTGTGCTTCCTCTACAAATACTGCTCTTGCCACTCTCAACATAATCGAGACGGTCGCTTATCTTGGCACTCCCACTCGTCTTTCCAAGACTGCTTGTACCATCACTAAATTTGGCTGAAGCACAACTTGTTTTCACATTCCCGTAGCCTGAAGTTTTCCTTTCCTGATCCCTAGAGACATCACGCAAAGCTCTATTATCATTGGTGAATGGATCTACTTGCTCAAGCACAGTCGATAGTGAGCTCAAGTCAGGTTTACTGGCAGAAGGATTGGAGGATCGCTTTCCATACGAATCAGGCAACGGCTTATTCTCTGAAAACTCTACACCCAGAGGATTCGCCATGGATCTGTGCAACTGCTCTTCATCAACTACTTCCGATTCAGCCATCTTAGCACCATGATTTGAAGTCAAACGCTTCTGAGCTGTTCCATCCGCTCCATGAGCAATTGGAACCCTCTGCTGCTGCCTTGCAGACGCCATAACTGGAAAAATAGATAATCTTTAAGGGAGTAAACCCATCGTTGATTGACGAAGAGAGAAGTACTGTCCCCTTAGTTCGTTGCAGCACAAAAAGTCCCCTTTAAACCCTAGGCCAACAAGAACATCCACACAAATCAGTGAAAACTGTCTTTAAGATCCTTGAAGTAGAGACGGCCAAAAGCATAAAGAAATTTCATTTAGGAAAAGAGAAAAGGAGATCCCAGATGCTTGAACGGGTCAAGCAATGAAATACAAGCGAAACAGTGGGGAGATCCAAGCATTGGCCATTGCAGAGAACAGAAAGAATAAGCCGGAATCGTTTTCCAGCACAAGCATGTAAATTTCTGCAGTCTAAGAGACCAAGTTTAAGTCTTCTGTTACAGAAATACATACCCAGTGACCAAACATCCGACATTCTTGGGGGAGAATACAATGAGCACGGCTGGGAAGAACGAAGCGAGCGGAAGCACCCACCCTGATCCAGAAACCAAGAATAATCACGAAGAAAAAGAGAAATCACGATCAATGCCAAAAGATTCAGATAATAAAAATGGAACCCATGAAGAGGAACAGAAGGAAGATCGCGATCAGAGGGAAAGGAGAAACCCTAGAGACATGAAGAGGTGGGAAAGAAGCTGATACCTTGGTAATGTTTCGAGGCAAGAGAATATCGAAAGCCTGTGAAGAGCGAAAGTGAGGAACTTTGGACAGTTGGGTTGCCCTTCCTCTCTGGCCTGGGGAGACAGAGAATCGAGTCAGAGCCAAGAGTGACACAACACAAACAACGATCCCTAACGTTCAACGTACTTTCTTATATGTGGAATCTTGAATTTAAAATATTTTACAAAGGAACAAAAATGCTATTTTTATTGTTTTTTTTTTGTTTGAAGGTGATTTTAAAAAATTCAAACATTTGTTTTATTATGAAACCCATGTGGTAATATTTCTCAAAAAAGCATTACATTAAACTATCTCCGAACTTCACACGTCAAATAATACCAAATAACAAGTTGCGACTTTCTATCTTCTGGGAGCCTCTTGATAGATAGTAAAATACTACTAATGGAACGATCAATTTTCTACTGTATATGTTGGACCGTTCTCCTCTTTTCACGGAAGATGTGGTTGTTTCTTTTCCGCCATATCTCGTATACCGTCACTTGTAGTAGCGTCTTTACAAGGCTATTTTTATTGTTTATTCTACATATGTAATATATCATCATCGTCAAAATGGATGAATTGTTTTTGGCATAGTTTCATGATTCATAATTAGACATGAGTAATTGTGACCTAAAAGAAACAAAACAAAACATGCAAAGAAGCTCTGATCATTGGGACAAATCCTTAACGTGCCTGCAAACGACAACTCACTCTGCTCCTTTAAAATACCAAGAGAAATAGATATATTGTGATATAAGCATATGGCTCTGTGTGTATATATATATATTCATGTATACGAATGTTGTTCTTTTAAAATGAAAGGTATTTTGGCAAGGTAAATGACAACTACAGTTTATATAAAAATCAAATGATTTCTATAACCAAAATAACCGAACCGAAATCCGCAATGGTCATCCTAAAGGCGGGTGTCAATGAGTCACCCTCCCATATAACACCACAACCGATAAGCCGCCATGTCTAAAGATCACCATGGCGTATTTTCCCGGTTAAAAAACCGAAGAACTTATCATCGCAATCAAATAGGAAAGCGTCGACGGAATGGACGAGAGATGTTCTGTCTGAGCCGCCATTCTTCGCGTTCGCGACTCCCACTTTTTCGGAATCTGGATTCTGTCCATATCGGCCCATTTACGAATGGGCTTAGCCTAGTTAAAGAGCCACCCGCTTCGCAAGAAGGCGTGATGGGCCGAATGAATAAATTTTTGGATTGAAGTCTAGAGTCAAAGGCTGTCTGGATCTGGAAAAACGAAAATCATGTTCTTTTATTCGGGTCAAAAATCATCTCCTCAACAATAAATCATCGATTTATTGATCAAAGAAATAAGCTGAAAGATATTTGAGTTGTTTTAAACGTTCTTGGATTTGCCTATTTCTAAGAACTTTGTAATCTTTTAACATCTATACAATTCTCTCAACACAAAACGAGATAAGATAACTTGGTTATCAAACCCAAACTTGGGTGACCTAGTGATGAGAGAATATGCTTTCATCCTGAATTTAAATCTAAGCGTGGGGAGGGGCATTCACATGGGTTTTTCCGGTCTTCTGGGAGATGTAGTCGGGACAAAGGTTCGGTGAACTTCCGGATTATCAAAAAAAAAAACTTGGTTAAGATAACGGTAACATTTTGTTACAAAAAAATAATATCATTAATTTGGATTTCCTTTTGTCGTTTCCACTTTGAAAATATTCGAAATTTTAAGCAATTGTAGTAAAAGTTCAGCATGTTATAAATAAACCAGTTGCAGTACTATATCTCGATACAGCTAAAATACCATAAAGATAAAATAAACTCGACTCCGAGTATTGAGGCGATGGTGAAGCTGTAATTAAAGGAGATCAAGAAGGCCCTTTTGGGAAATACACGGATCTTTTTGGGCTGGGAGTTCAATTCGCAGGAGGGGAAACGGCTATAAAGGCATTGCGTCTGTGGGTTTGTCAGCATCGTCGGATTCCACAAGCAGAGCTCTCGGAGGTCTCTCATCAATGGCTATGGCCGATCTGAAGTCAACCTTCCTCAACGTCTACTCCCTCCTCAAGTCGGAGCTGCTCCAGGATCCTGCCTTTGAATTCACCGATGACTCTCGCCAATGGGTTGAACGGGTATCCCATCGGATCTCCTCCTCCAGATTCGCTTCCTTATTTTCCGATTTCGTCTGCCATTGTTTCTTCATATTTAACGGAGATCGTACGGAATGAATAACATGACCAGAATTCATAGGCTGTCGTTTCGGTTAATGGGTCGCCGATCTCCGTGGATTATTATGTGTTGAAAATGCTGATTCGGGTTTTGTTCTGCAGATGCTGGACTACAATGTACCCGGAGGTGAGAGCCGGATCATGTCTAACATTATCTGACGGCCGCTACTCTCTTCACGCCTTTCATGTTCTGCAGGGAAGCTGAATCGGGGTCTCTCCGTCGTTGACAGCTACAAGCTCTTGAAGGAAGGCAAAGAATTGACTGAGGAAGAGCTGTTCCTCGCCTGTGCTCTCGGTTGGTGCATCGAATGGGTAAATTTCGTATTTCATCCTCAGAAGTTCCATGCTTTTCAGCTAACCTGATGCTCCTCAGCCTTACCTTTCTCGTGATATTCGTAGCTCCAAGCGTATTTCCTGGTGCTTGATGACATTATGGATAACTCAATCACCCGCCGCAACCAGCCTTGTTGGTTCAGGGTGCCCCAGGTTTCATCTCTCGTACTCATGTGCGGCTTAGGCTTAGTGATATCATCAGTCCTTTAACACAAAGTTTCAGGTCGGTATGATTGCCATTAACGACGGAATTCTACTTCGCAATCACATTCACCGGATTCTCAAGTAGCACTTCCGAGGAAAGCCTTACTATGTTGACCTGGTTGATTTGTTTAACGAGGTATTATCTTCTCCCTGATCCAGACTAGCATCGAAAAAGTTATTCAACATCTGTTTTGTATGTTGGCATGTGTGTGTGTGTAGGTGGAGTTTCAAACAACTTGCGGAGAGATGATAGATTTAATCACGGCCATTGAAGGAGAACAAAATCTGTCAAAGTATTCCCTGTCAATGTGAGTGAAATCACAAATGAAAATGCGGTCTATGATCTTCTCTAGCGGATGATGAAGTTAAACGCTCTACATGTTGTAACTGATGAACTGGTTTCCAATGATGCACAGACACCGGCGAATTGTCCAGTACAAAACAGCCTATTACTCTTTCTATCTTCCCGTGAGTACGGATTCTGAGTCTCTCTCTTTCATCACGCTGTAGAGTCATACTTGTTCCCTTGGCACTAGCATCCACGATAATGCATGATTTTCTCCATTTGCTCAGTGAAGAAGTTTTGAAGTCACTGACAGTGTGCTGCTCTCTCCAGCCTTTTCATTCACAGTGCTAGTCTATATTGAAAAGCTTCAATCCTCATACATTGCTCCCATTCAGGTTGCTTGTGGACTGGTTATGGCCGGAGAAGATCTGGAGAGCCATACTGATGTGAAGAACATCCTTGTTGACATGGGAATCTACTTTCAAGTACAGGTATAGTTTGCAGCTTGGCATTAGTGACTGTTACACAACAGGCTACTGGTTTCATCCACGAGAGCTCATTTCTGTAGGATGATTATTTGGATTGCTTTGCTGACCCTGAGACGCTTGGCAAGGTGAAGCCTGACGTGAAGACCTCATCTTTCCTGGCTGATCTGATTCTATTCTCGAGTTCATCTGATAGGCCAGCTTGGATCGTTGTGTAATGCAGATAGGGACAGATATAGAAGATTTCAAATGCTCCTGGTTGGTGGTTAAGGCATTGGAGCGCAGCAATGAAGAACAAAAAAAGATACTATATGTAAGAACCCCGAAAGAATCAACTCCTGCTTATCGTGTTTGGAGCCTGTAATGTCGTGTTCTCTGACCGAATAAATATTCAATGAACCAGGAGAACTACGGTAAACCCGGGCCATCGAACGTTGCCAAAGTGAAGGCTCTCTATGCAGAGCTTGGTCTCGAGGTTTGATGCTGAGCCTTGGCTCGTATCATTTGTTAACCAGTATAGAAAGATGCATTTTTTTCTGACTCATGATGGGTCATGGCACTGTAAAACTAGAGGAACATCATCAAAGATTTGATCCAATGGAATGAGAAGCAAGGTATATGCCATGCTCATGTGTTCTCGTTCGGTCTTTTTGACGTACAGGGAGTGTTTGCGGAATACGAGACCAGAAGCTACGAGAGGATGACGAAGTCTATCGAGATTCACCCAAGCAAAGCAATCCAAGAAATGCTCAAGTCCTTCTTGGCTAAGATATACAAGAGGCAGAAGTAGAGACATCAGCCTCGAATTCTTGTTATGTCTAATTTCCTCATTGCAGTCATGTAATCCTGTTCTCCAAGTGCTCTGGATTCACGGGGATGATTTGTCTGTGATTCTTCTTGCATTATTGTATTGTTTCATCCTCCTGTCGTCTGTGGTCAAATTTTTATGTTCGAAATATGAATTCTGGATCCTTGTTGAAGCTGTTGGAATGGACAATAAAATCTACTTATTTTATTTAAAAAAAAAGAATGGGAAAAAAAAGCAATACTTGGTGGTCCATGACGATATTCCCTCACAGGGGGCAGATTGAATAAACTTGAAAGATGCGGGTGCATTGGGGAGTACGCATAAAGTGTAGGGCTTTTTCGGATAAAAGAAAAAAAAAGGGCAACGAAGTGCAATATAAAACACGCCTCTATGGGGAATCACTGAGATTTGTCACTGAACCCTAATCCAGAAGTGGCATCCCATTCGCAGCTTCCTATGGTGGTCCGATCAGATTTGTACGAAACCCTAATCCTGAAATAGCACCCCATCTTCAAAGCACGAACCTTTGCTCATTTTTTGTTTTCGTTGCCGTTGGATCACCGGTTGGACTCGTGCGGCAACCCTTGTCCATCTTCCAAGCTCGAAGCTTTGGTCATTTTGCGTTGTCGTTGTGATTTTAAGGGATGAGGCACTCTACAGGTTCGCTTGTGCGAGTTTGTTGAGAGGTTCAAGGTCTCCTTGGGAAGTGAAGTAACAGAGGATGTATGGAAGGTCGGGTCTCGATAGGTTTAAGAAATCTCAATCCTTGGAGCCTTTCTCGGTGTCCGCCGACTCAGCTTCTTCAACTGCAACGCTTGGTCCGAAGAATACAGGAGCCAGTGAGGTGGGTCAAACCCAGCATGTCGGAGAAGGACAATCGAGCTGGCAGCCGCCTGATTGGGCAATAGAGCCCCGTGCTGGTGTTTTTTATCTTGAGATCGTCAAGGATGGTCAGATCCTTGATAAGATTCAGCTCGATCGACGGAGACACATCTTTGGGAGGCAACATCAGACCTGCGATTTTGTGCTTGATCATCAGTCTGTCTCCCGCCAGCATGCTGCCGTCGTTCCCCACAAGAATGGCAGGGTTTGCTCTACTAACATTCTCTCCTCCATTTTTTAGCATCTCTCGTCGAATTATGAAAGAATATAGCTGTTCAGCCTCTTTTCTAATCGCTGGGTTACTCTGCAGCATCTTCGTGATTGACTTGGGATCAGCTCATGGTACGTTTGTTGCAAACGAGAGACTAACTAAAGAAACCCCCGTGGAGCTTGAAGTGGGCCAGTCCTTGCGTTTCGCAGCTTCCACTAGAACCTATATTTTGAGAAAGAACAATGCTGCACTCTTCCCACGTCCTCCACCACCGGCAGAGATTAAGCTACCTCAGGCTCCTGATCCCGCTGACGAGGATGCTGTTGTTGCTTACAATACCTTGCTTAACCGGTATGGTTTGACTAAGCCCGATGGAAATGAATCCGAAAGAGACAAACGTGCTGCTAAAAGGATTAAGAAATTAAGAGTGGCCTTCAGGGATCAATCTGGAGGGGAGCTTGTTGAGATCGTTGGGATTTCAGATGGTGTTGATGTAGGAACAGAACCTGGTCCGGTCGGTGTCAAGGAGGGCAGCCTTGTCGGGAAGTACGAATCTCTTGTGCAAGTAACGGTGATACCCAAAGGCAAAGAGCAGCAACCATTGGCAAAGGAACTGAAGCCCTCTCCAGGAACAGGTGTGACAGATAGGCTCCAAGAAGCACTGAAGAAGGTGAAATCCAATCCAAAGTCGGGGATTTACGATGATCTCTATGGGGATTCGGTTGGGAATGTTGTTGGTAAGTCATGGGCTAAACCAGCTCCGCCTTCACCTCCCAAGGAGTTGAGAGGCGATTCTATTACATCTCAGGGTGTTGTCGAGGAAGACAAGGATGATCTGTTTGGAGATTGAGGAGACAAACAATGTTCTTTGTAAATGCTAAGACAAGGCTTGTTGTCAGTTAAAATTTTTTGTGACGTTTCCGAGAGTTTGGACTTGGTGGGTGTTTTATTGGGGTCTAAGAGCTATCGGGAGATTTGGCCAGAAGCGAGTAAAGTCCAGTCCAATTCAGTTCTTTGGGCCCCCAGTAAGTCCACAAGTAAACGAGGCTCAAGTGTCACATTCCATAGTACAAGAAAGGGTAGGGGCTAGGGCCATGGAATGGAGCGAGGGATTGACTAAACCCATCATGCAATGCATCTTCCACTCCCGTCTCTTTACGTTGTCGTCGTGCATATGATCCTCGGAAGTCCTGCATTTTGTTTTCCGAATCAACCTAACAATAACTTCTAACCCAAATCAAGATTAAACGAGAAATGGGGAGTGGAGGATGGAGAAAGGACAAAAGGGGTCATAGAGTGGCCTCCAAACCCACCAACAAGGAGAGGCAGACCGATCCCATCACACTTGGAATCTTTGGGTTATCAAAGGACAGCGCCTCATCACTCCCCCACTTTGCTTTTTCGTTTAATCAAATGATTCATGTTGACTCCTCTTCCTTTGAGTGTTGTGACTTGTCCTCGTAATTATCACGAGACCAGTTCTTGTATATCGAGTGAGCCATTGAAGACAAGCATCCAGCCCAGCAAGAGAGAAGATTCCGTATAGGAATACGGACAAGGGGAAAAGCCTTGAATCATGATCGACTTTGTTGATTGTTAAAGAGAATAAGACTGAGGAAGCTCTTTTTCATGCGCTCCAAAAGAGAATGCTAGCGTAAACAGCTAACAAAGAGGCCACATAGCCCCCAACGGCAAAACGCCAAATGAATTCTGCAGCGCGCGCACACAAACTCGCATCTTTTTTATCTGGAGATTCTTGAAAGGGAAGGTGCTTGGCCATGGATCTTTTGGGTTCTGCTTTCCCCAATCCACTATGAAAAAGTTGTCTGCTGTGAGTTTTCCTCATTTGAGAAGAATCTTCACTGCCTTTTCTCCGCTGCCACTCCATGCCTTCCTCACTCGGGTTCTTTTGCCAAAAGCACATGCCCACTGCTCGCGTCTCCTTTTCCTGTCCATGCTTATATCACTAATTATGGCACGCAGTTTGTGTTCTGTGGTATGGGAGCTGCGTTAATTGTCGTTGCGTGGTCTTTGCTTCGGATCAATCCTCTTATAACAAGCAAGTAAGCCCAACAATCTTGGAGCTGTGTCGCTAACCGTCGAGACTCATCTGATGCAAACCTCCCGGTTTTAAATCTAACACGTTATATGATTGAAAAAATCTATGTGAATGCGTTTTCCCAATTGGAGACTCGAAACTGAGTTGGGAAAGAATTTTATTCAGTTCCTCATCAATTGAACCACCCAATCTTGGATGACTTTATTGAGTTATGAGCATATCCTACAAAATCTTCTTACATTAGTAGCCGCATTGAATTTTACTTTGGCATTCTTTCATCGGGAATATATATATATATATATATATCGGTAGGGCGATGAACTCTAGTGAACTCAAATGCTGTTGTTAACCAATTTTGCAAATGAATCTTTTAACTATTCAAACAAATACGAATTAATCTTACAATATTTTTTTGGATATATCATGTAACTGTCACACAATATATCGCTAGAAATAAACCTCCTTTCTAATCTAGGATCAAGTCTCCATTTGAGGAAGAGAATTCATCTAGATTTTTTGACTTTACATATAGTCCGACTAAAAAATACGGTGAATTTGCGGATTATCAAAAAGTAAAAAAAAACTGTCACAGTGAGGCTGAAGGAAGGGAAAGCGGTGGGTGTGAACTTGTTAGAAATCATGAGCGTAATTAAGGAACAAGAACAGCCAACACATTAAATATGAATTTATTGTATAAATGAGGTTCCAACCACTCTGAAATACTCCGCGCCCACAGCTAAGCTTTGGCTCTGAGCTCTCCTCCGCCGTTTCTCCGACACTCAAACGTAGATATGTTTTTTTCCGTAACAAGAGTTTTACATTCCATTTGCAAAGACGCGAGTTTGAGATATACCAAAAAAAAAAAATTGCAGATTCAGACACCACTTGGAAAGCGTGATCGAGAGCGGGTGGGGGGCAGCGAGTGAAGAGGATGGGACCCTTGTTGGACTAAAGTCTCTCTCTCTCTCTCTCTCTCTCTCTCTCTCTCTCTCTCTCTCTCTCTCTCTCCTGGTAACGCACATTTCTTCTATTTCAGTTACACTTTATGGCAATCTGATCATTAACACTTTCGCCTCTTCTCTCTTGCTCCCTATATCTTTCCTCCTCCTCCTCCTCCTCCTCCTTCAACACACAATAAAGAATAAACAAAGTAGACGACTTTTGAGCGCAACAGGTTGATGGTAAATCACCCTTTTAGCTTTATCAATCCGCTCTCTGTAAGTTTTTTTTTTGGGGGTTCACAGAGTTGCATTATATACTGTTTCTTCTCCTCTCTCTTTTTCCCCCTCATCTGGGTATGATTTTCTGTACTGAAAGCTTTCAGTTGGAATATTTTAACCCTTCCTTTATTTAAATCCGCCCACCTTTTGCCTGTCGGGCGACAACTAAAGTTTTGATCTTCTAGTTATTTACGCTTCTGACAGCAGAGAAGTCAGGATGAAGTTCATGAAGATCGGGACAAAGCCTGACACTTTCTACACGGAGGAGGCTACAAGGTCGTAAATCCATCTGCATGAACTCTCTGTCTGTCACGGAATCTCGCTTCACTTCTTTCTGATCAGATATGCGTGTTGCAGGACCGCGAAGATAACCGACACACCGAATGATCTTGTGGTCAGAATCAACTACATCGCCTACCGGCTCCACCGAGTATGTTTCCGCCCACCCCTCTTAACACAGGATACTCGTAGCAGTAGTGCATGTTTTCAGCGGCTTGTGTGCGTTTCCTGCAGCTATGGATCCTTCCAAAAAGTGGTCTGTTACAGAGGCTTTGCTCTGAGTCTGACGAGTCCGATAGCGTCACCGTTGAACTGAATGACATGCCGGGAGGAGCCGATGCTTTCGAGCTGTGCGCTAAGTTCTGCTACGGCATTACAATCAACCTTGGTGCACATAACTTGGTGAGCGCCCTCTGCGCCTCCAAGTTTCTTCGAATGACTGAATCTGTTGATAAAGGGAACTTGGTGCCTAAGCTTGAGGCTTTTTTCCACTCCTGCATTCTTGATGGCTGGAAGGACTCCATCGTCACTTTGCAGTCCACTGGCAATTTGCCTGAGTGGTCTGAGAATCTTGGGATCATTCGAAAGTGCATAGATTCAATCGTGGAGAAGATCCTCACGCCTGCCGCAGAGGTCTGTTCTTTCGAGTTGCCGCGAGCCCATTTTATGATAACTCTTACAGGCTGGTTTGACATTTCTTGTCTTCTTGCAGGTCTCATGGTCTTACACATACACGAGACCAGGCTATGACAAGAGACATCATCAGTCTGTTCCAAGAGACTGGTGGACTGAGGATTTATCAGACCTTGACTTGGACTTGTTCCGTTGCATAATCACAACTGTAAAATCAACTTTCACTTTGCCTCCTCAGCTAATCGGCGAGGCTTTGCACGTATACGCCTGCCGCTGGTTACCAGATCTCAAAACAAAATGCCCTCCAGACTCTTCAATCGCAGAGAATGAAGCAACACTGGAAAGGCACCAGCGCATTGTCAACACAATCGTGAATATGATTCCTGCAGATAAAGGGTCTGTTTCAGCGGGCTTCTTGCTAAGACTCATTAGCATTGCCAATTACGCAGGGGCTTCTCTCACAACAAAGACTGAATTGATCAGGAAAGCCGGTCTGCAACTTGAGGAGGCGACACTGGGGGACCTCTTGTTGCCTTTGCACTCGTCCTCTCGTCATGGTGGTTATGATTCTGACTTGGTTGCCGCAGTTCTTGAGAGTTACTTGCTGCTGTGGAGGAGACAGTCAGCAGAACTTTCTAATAATGATCAGCTGCTGCGGTCGATCAGGAGAGTGGGAAAGCTCATTGATTCCTATCTTCAGGCTGTCGCACAGGACATCCGTATGCCAGTTTCCAAATTTGTGTCTCTGGCAGAAGCTGTGCCCAGTGTTGCACGAGAGAACCATGACAGACTTTACAGAGCAATTAACATATATCTCAAGGTATAAAGCACTACTCTCCTTGATCAATTATATATTTTATGCACCCAAAATGCTAAGAGGGGTTTACTTTCAGGATCATCCTGCGATTAACAAAGAAGAAAAGAAGAGACTGTGCAGAGCTCTGGACTGTCAGAAACTGTCTGCAGATGTACGTGCACATGCAGTGAAGAACGAGAGGCTGCCACTGAGAACAGTTGTCCAAGCGCTCTTCTTTGACCAAGATAGCAGTTCCAAGGGACTAGCGAGTCAATCAGCGAGCCAGGACTTGTCATCAAAAGGAAAGCAGACACCCACAAGTGAACACAGCTTGGTCAGTAGGCTTCACCTGGGTCCAGCTGAAACAAGTTCCAAAGATCATCAAAAGTTGGCGAAAGCTGAGAAAGCAATGGAGAGAGGAGGGGAGAGACCCGGGTCCAACTTGGAACCCAAGAGGATGTTGCAGAAAGGAACAGGGTCAGAGCATGCGCATCACAAAACTAGAGACAGATAGTAGACCCAAGTTGTTAGGAACCAGAAGATTCAGTTTCTTGTTTGGACTTGCAAGACTGGCGTTATTCTCCCTTCTTTCTTTCTAAAACGAATTTTTATGATGATTACAGATGGCCAATTGTAAACCCAGTGCCATAATTTGTGCTAAAGATAATGCAGAGCTTATGCTTCTGTTCCGCTTCAGATTGTATGTTTCATGTAAACGCCTGCACGCAACTTATCAGTCTTCTATCCTACAACTGATGAATAGCTTCACAAGAGGGGACACTTAAAAAGCCCATCTAAGAAACCCTCTATAAGCATCACCAGCAGTGCAATGAAAATCTGGTAAACAGACAACCTCACCTTTGGCTCAGCACCTGAAGACGAGCCTTTTCCGGGTAGCGTCTAGGAAGAATCTACATTCACCAACAGAAGGATCCGGGAAGTGACCATGCAAAGTCGTACGCCATATTAGCCTTTTCAACAATTTGGCTGGCCCATGGTTCAGCATGGTGAAATATGTGACACTGCAGGCAAATCTGAAGTAGTTTGCAACTTGATTCTGGGGCCGACCACACAGCATCTAGAAGGAAGGTACTGCACATTCTTGAGATCTTCGTTGCCTAAACCTAAGTTGACCAAGTTAACCCGCCCCATCAAAAGAGAAGATATCCCAATTGGCTCTCGGCAGTCTGTGCTTTCGACTTCTTCATCAGGCAATCTGAATAGAATAGATGACCATCCATTGGAGGCGTTGCTTTGTTGCCTGCTATATATGGTTTGGAAATGACAGGATGAATGAACATCCGAGAAAGCCAACCATTGTCTTGTCAACTCAGACACCACCACCATAGCCTAATTTTTTGGGGTCAGCGAGTCATCATGGTATCCCTTCTCTTGGCGAAGGAAAGAGACATCTCACGGAACAAAGTCTCATCACTTTTTCTCAGCAGCTGCATGGTGGCATCAGTTGGCACTGATGATGAACACAACTCTGGTATTTGATCATTTGGTCCCCTTTTGCTCAGCACTTATGTGACGTCTATACGCATCAGTTAACTTTTGCAAAACGTGAAATGACGCAAGAACAGATGCATTACCCGCGTCAATGGAAACAAAAATGCTGAGTAGCACTTAGGTAGGGTTCATGGCGATACAGATATTTTAACGGTATTTACAGTTACACTTTCATCGGCTCTTCCTCTTCCAAAAAGACAAAGATATCATCTTTCTTTCCAACTTCCTGTGGACTCGACAAAAGCCCGCTGAGAGTGTTCATAACTTGAGCTGTGTTTATGCAAAACTCAGATCCAAACTCCCGTAACATTGGAAACCAGCCAGCCAAATACACGAAACTATTACAAGCAGTAGTTTATAGGAGGTTCACCCACTCAGACATCTGAAGTAGGTGCAAGAGGTGCCGTAATCTACAAAATCTACCCTCCTGGATTGTGTTGAAAATCAGGCTGGTTTGTGACAGACCTCACCCAGGCCCATTTGTGGTCGTTCGTGTCCACTTCATTCTTAGACTGGGCCACTTCCTCTAACGGGATATAAGCATAGTTCCCGTTGATAGGGCCAGAAACGAAACCAGTGTACCCCGTCATCACTCCATGGATTGCTGAGTGTGCCAACAGCGTACAGTACAAGTTATCTGTGGCATTCGCCGGCACAGCTCTTATCATGTACATCGGATCTATGTATTTCACCGTGAACAACTCGCCTGGGTGAGCTTTCGCCCACCATTCCTTTAGCTCTGACTTCAACCATATGCCCACGTCCAAGAAAACCATGTTACCAGACTCATCTCTCTCTTGTTTCTGTGTTTCGCTCCTGGGGATCATGTCTTGCCCCGCCCCTTCAGCCACAACGACCACAGCATGCCCATTTTCCTTCAGTCTCTGCTCCAGAAACTCGAATAGCCCTCCTTTGCCTTCAAGGTAAAATTTCATCTCTGGGATCAGACAACAATCTACATCGCGGCTGCTAAGCGTTGCATACAGCGCAATATGGCCAGTGCTCCTGCCCATCAACTTTACCAGGCCGATGCCATTAACTGCGCTCTCGGCCTCCACATGAGCAGCCGATATAGCTTCCTGAGCCATCTCCACTGCGGTTTGAAAACCGAAAGATCGGTCGATGATGCCAATGTCATTGTCCACGGTTTTCGGGATGCCTGTAATGCAGATATCCAGTTTCCGGCGACAGATCTCGTTGAAAATCTCAACAGCCCCCCGCATTGTCCCATCCCCACCAATAATGTAGACCTGATCAGGCATTCGATATATAAAATTCAGTGGCACTTGAGTTTTCGGAGCAAAAATAGCAAGACAGATTTGTTAAGGTGAATAAAAAAATGCAATCCAAAAGTCACCATCTTTCTCAGAGAAACGATATAGAAGGAAAAGTGCTAATGATGATGTGAATTCAAATACTAGGAACCAAGAAACCGAACACGAAAGCTTCGAGCGTTCACCAGACTCGGTAGCAAAAGACACATACTTGGAGTTGGAACTTGGAACAGCTTCCTAAATGAAAGCACCAGAACCTATTTATTTGGTAGGGCAGAAAAGGAGAGAATGAAACCTGGTTGAATCCGTGGGTTTGGATGGAATCGACGATTTTGAGTAAATCGAAGCCACCGCGGGAGGTCTCGAGGACAGTGCCGCCCCTCTTGTGCCAGTCGTCGACCATCTTGGGATTGAGCTTCATGGGCTCCATGGAGTAAAACCCTCTGTAACCAGCTCTGATTCCGTAGATGTCCCTCACACCGTAAAGCTCCCAAAGACCAACCACCACTTCCCTAATGACAGTGTTCATGCCTGGACACAACCCTCCACACGTAACAATCGCCGCCTTCACATGAGAGGGCTCGAACATGATCTCACGGCGGGGACCAGCTCTGTGGTACGCAACTCGTGGGGTGGAGAAGTCATCGGAGAGGATCTGTCGGAGGATGACGTCAGAGGGGGTTATGTAGAAGCCATCGGAGGGTCTGAAGAAGGGATTAAGGTCGAGTGGGTTGCAGCGGCGACGCGTCTGGAGGTCAGGGAGATGGGGAAGACTCTTGATGGTGACGGAGGCTAAGGACAGAGTCTCCTCCCACGCCGGAGAGATGCTGGCGTTGGTCTCCATGGCCGGAGAAACACAGCACACCCCATTGTAATACTAATATCATCGGCTCGGGAGGGCACGTGGGACTTCAAACCGCCTCAACTCGACACGTAGTGACTTTTCTGTAGACGGTAGACATTCATAACTGTATGGACTTGAGCTTCAATAATGGCCGATAGGCCCATAGTAGGCCCATATAAGAAGAATAAGACATGGGCAAAAGGCCTTAAGCTATATGGCGAAGTGGCGAGGCCCAACTGGAACCCACTGTTATAACATACGTGAAGTTGAGGCCCATGGGAATCTGATGGATATGCGGAATGCGTGGGGTCTTCGGTCCAAATAACGTCACACAGTGCGCATGCGGAATAACGAAACGCCATCAAGTGTATGACAGGCGGCGATGGAGGTTTGACGACCTAACCGTCCGTCAATTAAACATAACTTCTCTCTCTCGTCTTCGTCTTCTCCGGTAATCGTCATCGGGAGAAGGGAGTCGAAATCGTTTTATCTGATTCGAGCGGGAGATGTCTTACGCTTATCTCTTTAAGTATATCATCATCGGAGACACAGGTAATTTCTCTTCCCTTCTCATCCCGCTTCTCCCTTCGCCCCGGATCAGATGATTGCATGTTCAAATCGTTTTGGTACTCAAATGAACCGGATCCTCTGGACTTCGTTGTTGTTTTGCTTCCATCGTTGCAAGTTTCATGGTTTCTCGACATCTCTCTCGGTATTTGAGGGTCTTCTATAATTGACATTGATGTGCGTGTGTTTTTGGGGTGGTTTGGGAGTAAAGGAGTTGGAAAATCATGTCTTCTGCTTCAGTTCACCGACAAGAGGTTCCAGCCGGTGCATGACCTCACCATCGGTGTTGAGTTTGGGGCAAGAATGATCACCATCGACAACAAACCCATTAAACTCCAGATTTGGGACACGGTATCTTCCCTTTCTCCTTCTCTTTATTGATGTGCGAATTTGTTTTTTTTTTTCCAGTTGTTTGGAGTGCTGCTGTTTTCATAGTTCGTGGTATTGCTGTCAGCAGCAAATGCAGTCTCTTATGTAAATGTCGCTAATCCTATAATCTCTGTGTGATATGCTAGGCTGGTCAAGAGTCCTTCAGATCTATTACCAGATCCTACTATAGAGGCGCTGCTGGCGCATTGCTTGTCTATGATATCACCAGGTAGCACTTTTGCAATCGCTTCTTATTGTGAATTCGCTTTCCCTTTCATGTGCTACAAACAACAAGTTGAGCATGATTACGTGCTTTTGACACTGAAGGCTCCAGGATATCATTTATATTCGCAGTTGGATGTTTGTGTGCTGGAAAGAGCAGGTGATTCATATCGTGCTGAACAGTTTAAGCACTGAAGCTTCATAATTGAATTGATCCTTTTGCTTTGCAGGAGGGAAACGTTTAATCACCTGGCCAGCTGGCTAGAGGATGCAAGGCAGCATGCGAATGCAAACATGACAATAATGCTCATTGGTAATAAGTCTGATCTCGCCCACAGAAGGGCAGTGAGCACGGAGGAAGGCGAACAGTTTGCAAAGGAACATGGGCTAATATTCATGGAGGCGTCTGCCAAAACTGCTCAGAATGTCGAAGAGGTAAATTGTTTGTCTCTGGATGTGGCTAGTTACATATACACAAACACGTATGCTTTCTGTATATGACAAGAATTTACAAGAATTAGGCAGTTGGAGAGATCTATTAACATGATGTCAGAACTAGTCATGAGCTGGGTAGAGGCGTGTTTCAAGGTTGTTATGTTTAGAGTAGTCTAGAGTCAATAGACAACATAAGAGTGAAATAGGAAGAAAGAGAAACAATCAGATTTTTGGGGTATTTTCTCTATAGGGGAGGAGAGGTTTCCTCAGAGTACTTGAGGTTCTTCCATTATACTCTTGTGATCATGTGTGAAATTCTCTGTAGGCATTCATCAGGACAGCTGCATCGATATACAAGAAGATCCAAGATGGTGTCTTTGATGTGTCAAATGAGGTTAGATTGAGTATTTTTTTGTCTCTGCTTCATGTCTTGTTCGAATGTGGGCCTCCACGTTTCTTACATGTGCCCAAATGTACAATCAAGACTTTTGCTAGATATTTCTTAGTCTTATGTTAATAATTGTGATGTATATATGCAGTCCTATGGAATAAAAGTTGGATATGGAGGTATTCCAGGGCCATCTGGTGGAAGAGATTTATCATCATCGCACGGAGGAGGGTGCTGCAGCTGAGATGTGGGAGCCGAAGAAGTTGTCTATATCATCAGGGGCGACATGTACAACCACCACACATGATATTGCGAAAGAATACACTATATTATTTGTAAATCGTTTTGGAGTTTGTTTTGGCTATGCGAAGTATGGTCGGAGACTGTCTTGTCATGGAACTGGGAAGACATTTGACAGATACGGCTTGTATGATAATTTTATCAAATTATTGGTGCGTTTGGATGCGAAAGCTTTGAGACAATCATCGGTTTAACATTCAAGGATGATGGGGGGTTAATCAAATGGTAGGGCTTCTGTAGGGTTCATCTCCGGCTGCGCTTGAATTGAGATCTATGCCATGCAAAGTTATGTTTCGTGGCAACCGTTAGCTTTGTAGGTCTCGAAGTTTCTAGTCCATGGAACTGTTTTTGCATTGTGGATTGTCTGAGCTTCCTATACCAGTTATACTATCGTCTTTCGGATGTTCAAGACAGCTAAAAACTCACGGTGTCTGAGCTTCCTATACCAGATATACTGTCATCTTTCGGTTGTCTTCCGCCTCATTTTAGTGGGATGCACAAAACTGTCCCTCTTAAGCTGCAAATGGAGGTACAGAAACGACTTCAAGAACAGTTGGAGGTTTGTTGTATTGTGCAATGTTTGTGATCATTAAGCCTTCTGGTAAAAGGGAAGTGTTTCCTGTTTCTGGTGAAGATTCCCTTTATGTATTATTGGGGCAAGGCACGTTTATTTCCATTGCAGAAGATGAGAAGAAAAACCGTAGTGGGAAAGGAAAAGATTTACTGCTGATAATCAGATGATAAATGTTTAAGAGTTGTTAGCCCCATTCTTTCCTTTTATGCTCTTTTGTTCGGAAGGAGTTTGTGGCAAAAACCGAATTTTTCTGCCACTACATGATCCAATGTCTGACATCTTCTGTTCTATTGCTGTTCCGGTCTTAGGATGATGTGAATATCTTAGATGGGACAGCTGGAGGATAATTGTAGCACTAAGGAAAACGGTCGGAAGCGTGACATGACCCACGTAAAAGTAATCAAATGAATCTGAAGTTATACATGAATGCAGCCGCCATCTGGTATAAGTCCTTGACCGAAGACTCTGAACGTAGCTGGCTCTTGGAAGAGAGAATGCTTTGACTACAAGGAGCAGATATACATGGACGAATTGGCCTACTAATCTAACGTGATTTGACCGATGTTCTAGCCGAAGTTGTCAAGACGAACGATGCCTTCCATGGTTTACACGCTTTATGATGCAAAGACGCAGCCGTTTGCTGAAGGCCTCTAGCCTTTCTAATTTGTCGTGTTTCGGCTTCTTTGAACCTGTTGGAGCTGCCTTTATTTTCTTGTCTTTCCTGTCCGCTTCAGCAGTGGTTCGTGGCTTTTCTTGAACGCTTCTAACAGGAGTTGCCAGGACATTCAGATTAGCCTGCATTATGGAGCGGAAACATGCGAGGATTAGAAAACGTCGACGTGCAATAACACTTGAGGATTTGAAATCTATACAGCTAGGCAGCAATGCCAGAAGATGACAAGTGAATGAGCCCTGGCTAAACTGTGTCAACAAGACAAACAGAAATCGTGAGCTCAGGTTTTAGCAAAAAGATAAGTTCAAGAATAAAACCTCATAATCCTCACCGACTGTTCTCTCCCCAGCGAAATTTTCATCTTCAGTGCCTCCTAGTGAAGAGCATCTGCCCCAGCTTTCTCTGTTTGAGCTCGTATATGAGCAACCTTCCTCAACCTGATCATCCGGATCGCCCTACCAAAACAACAGATTCGATGGTCATGAAGCTTCATGAAACAGCACTTGTTGTCTGTAGAAAAACTATCATCTTCGGGAGCTTCAACACATGTTGGCTGGAAACTTATAAATGATTCTATACAATATTAGATTTTAGGACAACCAAAGACCACCAATTACCAGGAAATTACCAGTTTCTTCAGTATTGTGTCTATCGTCTTCTATAAGCACATTAACCTAATTCATCAATGGACAAAAATAAAAATGGAATACAAATGGAGGAGAAATTAATGCAAGAAAGGATAACAAACATACAGTATCCGCCATGGGCATGACTTCTGAAAGCAGCTCGTCTGCAGGCCTCATTATAAGAGACCCAGAAGGACAAGAAGAACTTGCAACATCCATATGCTCAGCACGAAGACCAGAGATTACTTCATACAACAAACCCTGGACGTGCAAGGTAAACCAAAGCAGTTAGATTCTTGTGCATGTGTCCTTCATCATGTTAACCGTGAGAATGGAGATAAAGTAGTAATTTGTGTAATGTGATATGATCCCCGATTAGGTCACCAAAGAGCATTTCAGTCAGCATATAATTTGCGTTACCGCTTTAGTGCCTGATATCTAAGCAATATCTCGACTCAAGCATAATCATTAGAATCATCTGTATATTATCTGTTCTAATCCAAGGTAGATTGTAATTCTCCAGCTGGAACGGCAATTACCTCATCCAAACCAGCACCAGCCTTGAGATCTCCCAAATTGTAATACTTCTCAAGCTTACTTGAATAAACTGAAGAAATGCGAGGAGGATGTAGAACATTGTAGAAGAAGATAGACACTGAATCATAATAGTACTGTGGCCGTGAAGAGTTGTGATCACCATCAAATTTTATGATATTTTTGTTTCCCTGCACAAATAACCAGAAGACAGCTAATTATCATGGGGATCTGTGGGTCCCCATTAATACAAATTTTCTAATAATGTACTACCAGGTAGGACTTGTAAATCAGGTCAGAGTGATGAGGCTGAATAAATTTGTCACCGGTAGCATGTCCAAATAATGCTGGAATGAAAGTCTTGGGAGCGACCTGCAGAGGGGAAGGGGGGATCAAAACCATCTCACCATAGAGGGGTATTCCTTGCAGCATACAAGTAGAGCTGCATTCTACAATAAAATACAACACCTTAAGACAATTGAGATCCATGATATCAAACTTCGCTTTTTTTTGGATTACTCGTCTCATATACTGCACTGCCATCTTAACCTAAACGCAAAACAAGAGAAAGATTGTCACTGAGCCGTAAAGAGTGTCTAGAATATTATATTATCCATTGAAAAGGGAAAAAAAGGAAATAGCTTTAAACTCTTCATAGCCATATAATTGAAAGGAACTCACCTGCTTGTCTTTCAAATTTCTCATTGATATTTTGTTTACCATGTACATTATTATCTTTCCTTCCCAATTATCAGGTTCAATCCAATACTACTAATCCAATACGGCGCACCAGTGAGTATATGATCGCATAAAAGCCATGACAAAAGAAGCTACAACTCAAAGAACTCAACTCCCAAATTTACCAAATAAATTAGAAGCTCTGCGTGATGCATTAAACAATGTATCACAGCTACAACTCGGGTCATATTTGTATCTTTGTAAATTTTTGTACACTAGCAAGAAACTCAGTTGTCCAGGTTGAGCTAGTTTATCAAGCTATGAAACATTGAGAGAGAGAGAGAGAGAGAGAGAGAGAGAGAGAGAGAGAGAGAGAGAGAGAGAGTGTACAGTAAATTTAGAAAGCCGTATTTTGTAAACGTCCACAAGTTCCATCATCAGATCGAACAAGTTTGAGAATGCACTATCTAATACCATTCCAGCAATTGATGGATCTTCTGCGCCATAGAGAAGGCTGCACATTTATTTCTAATTCAGTAAATAATACAAAGAAAAGCACAAGAATTGTGGACAGTTGATACTCCATATCATATGCCTTAACGCGTCAAGCAGTCTATCATAAACACAGCCGCCAGCAGGATTCTAAGGAAGTTATATCCTGATTGGGAACTCGTCGAGAACTCACCAGGTTACAGCACCCATAGATCGTCCCCAGAGCCCAATACGTGAAACCAGTTTACTATTTTTCAGGTAAGATACTACAATCTTAAGGTCATCACTCTGCATAGATTTAAACAAAACTTGCTTCATATTTGAAGAGGAACTTGACACAAAAGCAATGCTTATAAAAGTAAAAGACACGAATTCACCTCATGCCAACCAAGGCTTACATGGTCACCATCAGATAAGCCTGAACCCGAGAAGTCGAGGGTGAAAACGGTTATGTTCGAGGGAAGAAGAACCATAACAGCCTCATTTGCATCTGCCCGACATCCACTGAACAATTTTTAAAAACAAGTGAATAAGTTTCAGTTCATTCAACCAATAAATCACTGAAAAAAAAAATCAGAATTCCCAGAAGGAGAAATGACCCCTCGCCAAAACAGAAATAATCTAAAAAACAGAGGTGTATAACTGCGCAGTCATTCTGTGCATAAACATGAAAAACTGAGGTGCAGTAACACCTGATACTTTCACATACCTATTGCCATGGCAGTATATAACACAGGGAAGAGGAGTATCCTCCGGGGAAGATGAGGGCATATAGTGACTGCAACGCAAGGTATGGCCCCTTGAATTCGTAAGCTGTCAATAAAGAAGGAAGACCTCGCTGAACCAATGCCAGGAACAAACCAAGAAAAGGATTCATGCCATCACTTGATGTCATACTTGCCTCTAAATCTTGTCTTCTACACTGTGTGCCTCCGAGCCTGAAATCCTTCTCCCACAAATACTGATCAGGATCATACTCCGCCCTGTAAATAGCCCCCAGGTATGAGTTGAGAAACGAAGCGTTTTACAGATACGAGCTCAACGAGACAAGGCAAAGAGCTAGGTACGAGGAGCAGACAGAAGAGGTTATGAGAGTTACCGAGGAGGGCGAATTACAAAGTTGATGAACTGATCGATCATCCTGCTTCCAAGTACCAATGAAGCTATGAGCTAATTACCCAGCATCAGCTGTGAGTTCAGCCAATGGCCATGTTGCTTCAGATGCAGAACAGCTACAGCCCTAGAAAAGGAAGCAAATGTCAACAAGGGGATCCTGCTTCGGAATCTGGAGAGGCGTTTATGCAACTCACACATAATCTTGAATATGTGCAGACATTCAAAATACCAATTAAAAGGAAAAAGCCCCCAGCTTTGCTACAGAAGCAGCAGTGCCGCAAGCTGAGTTCGTTGGCTAATTTTGACCATCCTTAAACCGAAAAGCTGAAGCAAAAGGGATGAAAATGGAACAACTTTCTTGAAGCAGATTCCAGATCTTGAAGTCGACGAAAAAGGTTGAATCAGGTTTCGGATCTGGAGATGTCAAAACTTTGGGAAGAGAAAAGGGGAAAGCAGGAAGCTTTTTTACTTGGAAAAGGGGAAGAAGATACACGCTGAGACTCCGAAGACAATCTGAATCTTCTTTGGATTTCTTTTCCTTTTAACCCGCCCGGTCCCAGGCACCGCAGGAACTCCCTCCCACCACCGCTTCTGTAGCCTCGTTTCTCTCTCCGGGACCTTTGAGTCATCATGTATTTTCGTTTTTATTAATTATTTTAAATCAAAATTGGTGATATGCCATTTTTTAAAATAATTTCTAACTGGATAAATTTCCATTAATATTATGATGGTTGTTTGAGTTTGTGAGATTTTGAAAGAAATTGTAAAATGTGTATCTTTATATATAAAAGTAGTAGAATACTTAACAGTTTTCCGCAGAAGGGTTTTGTATAAAAAAATCAGACCACCCCACAGCACAACAACATAGGTAGATCAACACAAGGTCACAGAGAGAGTGTTGTGTGTGTTTTCCATTTGCAGAAACAGAACATGATATGTACAGAAGTATTGTACATTGGCCTTTGTAACTGTTGACCAAGTCAATACAGAGCACAAGTGGAATAAAGGCAAAGCTCTTCTCGCCTTATCTACTAGTCCCTTGGCTTAGGCTTCAGTTCTGAATGCAGATCGATAGGGATCGTCGGGCTTGGAGCGATGACGCCGAACTTGCGGACAAGGATTTTGAAACATGGTAGAAAGAGAACGTATAATGCTACCATGATGAATGGAGCTGCTATGAACCACCCTAGCAGCTGCCAAAAAGCTTCCATTCAATGGATCGACTAGCAAACTCAGCCAATTATCGTAAGCTACTAAGGTTAAGATTCATAAGCAAGCAATTAGGACCTGGACGCAATAACAAAGCTTTGCACGTAATGAAAAATCTCTGAATCCGCACCGTTGAACTAACCGATGAGAGCCTCGTTTTAACCACTTAATATGTTAAGATACTCAAAGGGACTTCAGAGTGGAAGTCTGTATGTCAAATTCCCAAGGGTAATAATTGTCATCAGTTGGGGGAATGCTATCTAATAGAGATTTCCGGAATCTGGACAGCCGAAAACAGCTATTTTAGCTACTTACCACGTTACCAACGCTTAGAAGAACCTCTCGGGAAGCTTGGCCTGTCAACACCTGCTTTAGGGCATCAGATGTCAAGGGAAAATGAGGGCCACCAGAGATTCCTTCACCAAATCGCAAGAAAGGCACCACAAGACTTGAACGTAGAAGGACATGAAAAAGAAAACAAAACACACATAAGACGAGTTTACAAGACAGTAGACAAAAATGCTGTAGTCAAAGACCGGTATAGAAAGCAAGTCAATGCCTTAGTTCAATCGGGGTTGCAATGAAATTAGCCAACATCACGGTTGGGGCATGACAAAGAGACCCAAGCAAGGCGATCGCCACTCCACAAAGGAAGACAGTAACACCTGTTAACCAGAAGATCACCCACCATGACCATGACTTGCAATCACAAGAAACATTGATGTGATGAGGAAAACAAAAGTGACAAAATACATACCGCAGATGGGAAAAACTCCCAAGGTGATGCCTAGTGCTGCAGAAAAAGCAAGCTGCTTCGGCTCTGCACCTCTGAGGAGGAACCAGAAAGAAACACAAATCAGATCCAAGTTACTGTTTTCTGTAACATCAATAACCTAAAAACGGGGGTAAATGTCGAATCTTTGAGATCCGCATGGCCACAAGTATTCTGTTTGGAGTTTGAAATCAAACATATGTGTCCCTTTCTTCACACTCCATAACCGATCTCATCTAATCTTCAAGTTCCGAGTAACACTAAATCGAACAAGTGACAGACTTTAAGATCCGTATAGAACGATGCATCACGATCGAGACAAAAGAAATCACACAGACAAAGATAGATATGGACAGGGAGAGGGACAGGGACATAGAACAGAACCTGCGCAGGATCTGAAGAAGAGGATCGCCGACCTTCTTATGAAACCAGGCTTTCAATCTAATCTTCGACAAACCCATTTCGATTCCGCCAAAGTTAAAAGAACTTTCCGGCGATTCAACAGGCTCGCAGATCGAAATCACTTCCGTACAGTTATCGATATATTCTTGAATCTGCACAACGATGTCTACTGTTGCCTGAAGAGCTCGATCAATCCCGTTGCTAATCCCTCCACGCCACGGAACTAGTTTCATGGGTATTTCCGGAGCGGGTTCGGGTAAACGGGTCAAAATAATTATTATGGGCAAATATAATATAGGTCCTTATTGGGCTTATTTCAAAAGCCCGAAATCGCATATCCGTGTGCCTCGAAAGGCGATTCATGCGTAGAAGAACTTTGGTTGTTCATGGTGATATCTAACCCGCAATCAGTCTCTGAATCGAATATTTCTGCTCGTTTTTGGATCTTGTGCGACGAGAGAGATGGAGGAGTATTTGCAGTACATGAAGACTGTGGCTTCGAATCATGGTTAACTTACCGGTAATTCATCATTCCGTGATTCATCCCTGTTTGGATGCTCGGAAATGGGCAATCTGTGCAAGTGATTCTGTGGAGAAAATAGTGAAATGGTTAGTGACACGTGTAACCTGAACATGACGACCAGTTCTTGTTTCTTGGACACAGTGTGTTGTGAAATCAATGTGTCAGCATAGATTGGATTCGACTTTGGCGATGTAAATATTTTGTTTCTTATCGGGCCTTTAATGGGCCTATCGTAAAATTTGAACAGATTTTTTTTTTTTGGTAATAGAAATTTGTCCAGATTTGTTTTTACTTTTTTTTTTGGAATCCTCACATAGAAGTAACATTTTTTTTTCACTAGAAGTAACATTTTTTATGTTTTTTTTTTCTGTGTTTCCGAGGTTGTGCGTAATCATTGTTTGATAATTTTACAAAAAACGCATGTATATAGATACATTTCTTTTCGAATCATTAAAGATAAAGTTAAAATCGAGATATTAATATATAAGAATATATAAACATCGGCAATAAATGTGAAAAGGGCGAGCGTGGTGAGAAATTTACCCGACAGAGTTGTACGGTCCCGAGTTATGTAGAGGTGGCGGTGAGATCTAACCTACTTCTCGCCCCACCCTACTAATGTGGAGCCGCGGATACAGTTGAAAATCCATCAAGAAGTAACCGATGGATTCTGTCCACGTCATCAGTTAGAGCACTGGATAAGCGCCAAGGCTTCTTTTATGATCATCAACTGCATGCTTGAGGCTTTTCTTCAAATTTTGGGGCTTTTGTTAGGGTTCTTTTGTTGGTTATCTGATTTTATATTCGAATTTGATTCGACTCATCGGTTACCATGGAGGGGGAGTTGCATGATTGGGAGCTGCTTCATGGGTCTGACATTGATTCGATCGGATCGCAACCTTCGGATGAGAAGCCGAAGAGTTCAAGTGGAATCGATGGTGTTTCGTTTGGTACGTTTCGCTCTGATCATTTCTCTGTTGATAATCTCATCGAACCATCTGGTAAGACTACTGATCCGAGCGAAAACGATTCTGCCGAATCGGATGATTCTGCCCGGGTTGATTCCGGGTTTGAGAGTCCTAACCGGAGGAAGAACCCGGACGAGGTTGTGGCTTATTCGAGCTCTAGTCAGCCGGATGAGTATCCATTGATCGATGCTTTTGTGAGAAGCGGATTAGGGTTTACTGATGGCTCTGGTGGGGAGATAGAATTCAAGACTGATATTTTGGGTGCTTCCGGATCGGATGAAGTTAAACTTAGCAATTTTGAAGTTGGTGATGCAGGACACGTCGAGGGCCAAATTGCTGTTGAAGAAAGTTGTGAGACCCAAGGTCTTGATGAGGGTTTGAGCAAGTGCTTGTCCGACTCAAGCGATCTTGAAGCTGCTAATGAAACCCTTCTTGAGAACAAAGCTGCTATGGAAGATACTGGTGAAACCGTAGCTCGTGATGACGATTCGAGCAAGAGCTTTTCTGATTCGGTTTCTGGGAATGTGAATAAAGAAAACGTGATTGTTCCAGATATTGGAGTTATCTCTTCGGAAGAGATCGAGGGGAATGACGTGAGGGTCGCTCAACAAGAAGCTGATGCTGTGAACCCTCCTGCTGTGGGATCGGGTGATGAGAGCAAGAGGAGTGGTATCGTGTGGTGGAAGATGCCATTTGTGCTTCTCAAGTACTGTGCCTTTAAGATTGGCCCGGTCTGGACTGTATCCATGGCTGCAGCTGTGATGGGTTTAGCTATATTGGGTCGCAGATTGTATAAGGTGAAGAAGAAGGCCCAGAGGTTTCAGCTTAAAGTTACAATCGACGACAAGGTAATACCACTACCTCTAATCACGTTGCTTCACTAATGTTGAATAGGAATATGACTGCATCATATCTAACAACATAGTAATCACAATACAAAATATAGGCTAGATACAGTGAATCTAAACACAAAAGCATTAAAAATATACCTTTGAACATCTGTTACAAATCACGTCTCTGCCTCTGTTACTTCAAACTCTGTTGCTGCCACATTCCCTTCTGCTGTCGCCACATTCCCTTCAATTCCCCCCTTGTTGTTCCCCACATAAACCCGAACGAGTGTGTCACTAACACTTGTGGTGAGAAATTATCGAAACACGGAAACAGTTTTCAGAACTCCGCTAATGTTTCTTAAGATCCATGTCAAAAGCTCATTCCACTTGTATAATGTCGATTTTGGATGTTCTTTTTTCAGTTTTGATCTTCAAAATTGTTTGCATCTGTTAGAAATTGAACCCGTGAGCTCACCTAGATCTTTCTGAGGCACGTAATATACTTTAAAAAGTTCTCTATTTGTAGCGTGAGGAAGCTAGGTAGTAGTTTTCATTTCTGGTTTTTCCTCCTTCAATTCCATCACTAGGTCCTTGCTTGATTTCCCGCTGCTTGGTTCTTCTTTTTATCATGATATTTGCCTTTGTCCTATGGAGGCTTGACTGTGTGTTTATCGGGCCTCCTGCCGTTTGTGATGTTTGCAGAAGATTTCGCAAGCGATGAGTCAAGCTTCACGGCTCAACGAAGCATTTACAGAGGTGAGAAGGGTCCCTGTGATCCGCCCTGCTCTTCCTTCTCCCGGGGCATGGCCTGTTTTGAGCCTCAGATGAAGCTCTAGTTTCCACAAAACCTAGATGGTATGATGAATCAGTCATACATTGTCTCTCTTATGTTATGTCGCAAACTATATAATGTAATATATATATATATGTGTGTGTGTGTGGAAGTATAGTTTACCATATGAGTAATCATCATTGTAAGTCTGTCTCAGCCGTTGGAGATATGCATGTAAGGTTTAATGTCTCTTATTCGTGTGGGATCTTGGGATTTGTCACATGGCAAGACGGCGTGGTGTTAAGCCAATATTTATAATTTACAAATAATAATAAAAATACAAAGAAATTACTCTTATCAAATTTACATCTAGAAATTTCTAAACATAATGTTTTTATCTTTCACTTGGTTGTAAAAACATTGTATCCTTCATTTTGTTGTTTAAAGCACAAGGAACATGGAGGTGTTACGGGAGCTGTGAGACAAAGTCTGTTTTCTTAAATAGAAGAATTTACTGTTAAAATATATCAAAATTTTTATATTAAATATATATTATAAATTATCCAACAAAAAATGAAAAAAAAAATTTATTTTTCTGTATCTTACAAACAAGATTCAACGATCAGATTTAGAACAATGAATTACCATTCTACCGGCATTTCTGGCACTGCACCTCTGGAATTTCGACGGCCTTATTGGTAGTTTAGTTTCTATGACCATTTTGCATGTTCTGTGTGCTCTGGGGGGATCTGCCTTCGTGACTCTGTTCGGTTACATGCGGCATTGTAATCAACGTGTCTTAGCTGTGATGAGAACTAAAAAATTGTCGGATTTCAGGGTAAGAATCCATCTTATTTCACATGTATAATACACTTGTCTGTTTCTCTGTATGAAGTTAACTACAAAACCAATTGGTAGAAACACTTGGAAGCGAGGCAATCGCCATGCGTTACGATGCATCTTACTGAAAATAGTTGTTTTGGCTGCAAACCCATTTCCCGGCTCGAGGCCTATACGCGGAATACCCTTAAGGCGGTCTCGTAAGCGCCTTGGAGGCGGCTCGGACGGGTCTTCTCCTTCGACAGTTTAAGGTAATGGGCAACCTTATTAAACCCTGCATGTTGCTGAAACAGCATTGACCTTTGTTCTTCCTCTGCTATGATCTTTGTCTCTTCCTGTTGTTCTTCCACTGATGGCCGTGTCAGTGCCCATTGCATCGCCCATATGGCTAAAGGCCTCATGTAACAGAGCGACCTGTACTCGTCACTCGTGTTCCATGCTTCTGGTGTCTGAAACGAGCATCTGCAAAAACACGGAGAACGGTATCGTTACTATGTTACGTAGACGAAGTTTAGGACAAAATTTTGGCGAAGAACTGAAATGGAAGTGGTGGTTTTTATTACCCGAGACCTGTCTCGGACCAAGCAGCTTCGTAGATTCCACTTGCTGTCTGAAATCCTTCGCCCGTTAACCCTTCTTGAATCATACAAGCTGCAACAGAGTACGTCGTTCCGACCCACACTTCTCTCGAGACCATCGTGCTCATATCGACTCGCCCGTCTGGTAACATCCCGTTAACCGCTCCTCGTTTCCCTCCGTTTACTTTCTTCACGTTGAACTCGAAGATTGTCTCCAGTGCTTTGCATATCTTATCCTCTTCCACGATAGGCTTCAGCCCGCAAGCTCTCGAGTACCTACGAATATATCTCGTTTTAGTTCGATTATATAAAATCGAATCAATCCGAAATGAATAACACGTATCTAAACCGAATCCGATATTAAATCGAAAAAACTGAATTCGAGTTGAATATACAAGTAACTAGAAAACAAAAAAAATTATTTGTAAAACCATTATTATTTTATCAATAAAAACCAAATATAAACAAGAAACGGACTGGAATCAATATAAAAACAACTGGTTATAGTTTTTGATCTTACCATTGTCCTGCCAACTGATCAACCAAAATAGACGAGCTTGAACCACTCCTACTGTTGTCGTAATCGAAATACGAACCATTCCACAGTTTCGAAAACACGCCTCTTGCTTTCTCATACTTGGCGTTGAAGTAAACCGAAGCCGCGTTATCTCCGACTTGACGTGCCAACGCCGATGCTGCTTGGAGAGCCGCGACCCAGAGGCCGCCGCAGTATGAGCTGACGCCCGAAACGCACCACGCATCGTATGTCTGATCTGGGAATCCTTCGTTCTCAATCATTCCGTCTTTGTCCTTGTCGAACTGATCCAAGTACGCGATCGCTGTGTAAACCGCCGGCCACACAGCTCTGGCGAAGTTCTTGTCGCCGGTTGCGATGAAATCTCGGTACACTTGGAGGACGAACTTGGAGTTCAAGTCTTTCCACCGATCGGTGTTGAAGAGGTTGTAAGAGTTCACTTCGAACCAGGGATCATTCAGACCGATATCGTGAGGGACAGCTCCGAGGATGTTTCTCGGGACCCATTCTCCGGAACTCATGATCTGTTTCTTGCTCGAATCGTGCATCATAACGGCAGCGGCAAAGTCCCTCTGGATACTCAGCTCAAGTTTCGGGAAGAGCATGAGAAGAGCGAAAGAAGAATAGAAGTGAACATCATACGTGTTGTACATCAGATACTGGATTCCTTCGAGGTAGAGAAATTGGCCGATGTTTTCGTCTTCGTTATGAATCAACGACTTTCCAAGAGCCGCGCTCAACGAAAGGGGAGCTTGAATTTGCTCGCATACCGCATCGATTCTCCCGAGAATCTCCATGGCTATGTTGTTTTCTTCTCTTGAACTGCCTTCAGTGGATGACGTACTTAGAGAGATCTTTCTTATTCCTATGCTCGATAGGCTTTGCTTTGGAGGTAACCCATCTGCAGAAATACAAATCGAAAGATCACTCCTTTGATCGATACTGAAATTTTCGGGTGAATGGACCGTTCTACCGAGATTTTTCGATTACCTGTCCAAATCGTTCCTCCGGCGTTTAGATAGTATAGTTCGTTGAAGAGGGTTAATCGGTACCTGAAAATAGAATATTTCCCCTCACGTTCATTTCCGCCGATTCTAAAGGCAAATAAGTGTCCGAAACCACGAAACTTTACCAGTGAGGAAGTTTTTGATCTTCAAGAACAATATTTTGCCATGCTTCAATTTGAGATTCCCAACCAGCATAATCTTGTTTTTCAAGATTGACATACAAAAGAAGAAAAAAAAGCAAGATACATAGTGAGATACAAGAAAAAGCAATGCAGAAGGATCTCGGAAAAATCCCTTGCATACCGAGAATAGCATCACGAGCCATTGTCACGGCTGCATCGCCTAAGCACCCGTAGAATCTCGTGTACCGTCTGTACATAGATTTTTTGTTTGTGTGAATGGAATTTGGAATGGATTCCAAGAGCGAAAAAAAAAGTAACAGAGAATGAATCACACACACCTGTGGTAAGTCTTCTCGTCGAACCTAACCTCGGGACAGTCCCAGGAGAGCGAAAACGTGACTGTACGGTCACATCCAGGAGGAACATTCACTGTCGCTGCTATGGCTGCTCCGATGGACGATCCAGGTTTCGAGGGCGAGCATGCGTTGCAGGTTAATTTCTCAAATGTCTCGTTCTGAGAGAAACGATATAAACAAAAGTGTTAAGAAAAAATCGGATCTTTATTTGAATCAAAAAGAGAAAATCATTCTTGGAGAGATCTAACCTTTTTAATCTCTTCCCACATATCTCCTGCCGAGACTCCATGAGCAGAACTACCAGAAACGATGAAACACGGACACTCGGAGACACGGACATCCTCTGTTTCTTTAGCCGCGATGGCGTAAGTAACCGGCGGATGTCCATCCGCCGTGCTGCAAGATCGGTCAAGTACAGATCAAAGAAAAGGTTAACATCACAAGAAGACAGTTCATTTTTTTTTCGCCATTTCCAATTTAACAGCGAAGATTCATCCTTCATAAGAAACAGTAACTCGAATGTCGAGTGAAGTGGTTACTTACTTGTGATGTAAAGCTATTGCATGGACTCCATCATGTGTCCTGAGATGCCGAACCGGACGAAAATAACAAAAGTTCATGTTAGGTACTTTTGTTAAGAGATTCGAAGAACAGAAGAATAGAAGTGAAGAACTATAATGTCGGTATCACAATGAATCCGAAACTCAAAATCTGTAGAATTCTTACATCATTTTCGAGTTGAAGTGTTGGCCACTCAATCCCGAAGCTCCGCCCACGGAATTCTGATTAACCACAGATTAAAAAAAAAAATGATGAGTTTCGTTACGATTACTAGATAGAATTGTTCGGTAAATGACAAGAGAGTTCGGCCAAGATTAGTTACCTCCCAGGTAAAGAGCAACGTAACAGTTGCGTGTTCTTGTCCGAGATTAGACAGCTGTAACGTTCATCAAAAACAGTGACAGAACATAAGTTATGATGTTGAGTGATAAACTCTGTCGTAAGATTCTTTTTCTGGTCGAAGATTTCTTACCGTAAAGGAGAAAACCGAGACTGGAAGACTGCTTTCCTTGTAATTGTGTGGTATGAAAGGAGAAACTTGACGGGAGACGATCCTGAGTTCAGGGTCGGGTTCACCTATTGCCGATACCAGAGGAAAGAAGGTGAAAAAGTGTGTTATTTGTTTCGTAACGAATATAATCAGATCGTATGAGAAGAATTCCGTACCGTCATAGACGGTCCAAGCCCTCGGATAAAGTGCATGATATGTAGACTTGTCTCCTTTAAGGTTCCAATCCCACGATTCGATGCCTAAACTAGCAACCCGGCCTCTGCATAGGTAACCTCCACTCTCTCTACACAAGTTTACGGACCAACATAAGATCTAAATCCTAACCATGAATTCAAAACATGTAAGAAATTTGAATCTATAATTCACGAAACCGAGAATTATTCGTTGTAACAAAAAGGACGATTAAGAAAACAAGAAAGGAATCTGAAGATTACTTTGGCACTTCAGGTTTGGTTGGGCATAGAACAGTTGAGTATTTCAGACCGCCAGGACGAGAAACGAAAACCTATAATTAGATAACAAAAAAGCAGTGAGAGATATAACAAGTTCATGATAACGATTCGAGTTCGGTATTTTGACAAGAGACTTACCGAGAACTGGTTTGTAAGGACGGGAGCTTCCTCGCAGACTTTCGGGAAGATCTTGAACTGTTGAAACTCACCCTTGTAACTCCTCCCAATGCTTCCAGCTCTGAGAAAAACATTTTCATGAGCTTGAACCTTACAACATTGATTAATAAAGACATAAATCCAACATCAACGATACATTTGATGATATTGAAATGAACAAAAGAATCAGTAAAATTTCCACAAACTATCATAGAAGCAACTCAACATGAGAAAACTCAGTTGCAACCTCATGATACGGGTAAGTGAAAGTAGAGGTGGGTGTGGGCGGGTACCCTGACCTTTGAGGGTACTCTGTCTCCGGTCTATATATCTCGCGAGGCCCGGGTATCCGGGGGTGAAGTCGGGTATCTCAGAGTATCCGAGTCCACGAAAATTTCCGAAATTTTGTTGACTTATGTTGATTTTAAAGGTATATTGGTAATTTTACATGAAAATCAGTATAGATATCATTGTAAATTTATTAAAGTAATAGGGATATAAACATGGTTTTACTTTTATGCATACTTGTATGTAACATAACCCTTCATGGTTTGGAAAACCCTGAACCCGAACCTGTGGCCCGAGTTTCTGGCCTTGTCTCACCCGGCGAGTATTTGTGACCCGAGTAACCGAAAACCGGCGTGTCTCGGGTAAAAACGGCCACATCTAACTCAGAGACTTCAAATGTAAAGAAACATAGGGAGCATCTAAAAAGGGTTCTTGGTTATGTCTCAGAATGTTTCGTAATCTTTTTTCTCATCGCGTGGCAATCAAGATCTATCTAAACTTACAAAGGCTAAGAAGCGACGTTCAATAAGAATTTGCTGCTAAGCTACGATACAATAACTCCAAAAATCTGTACTGGGGATTAGTAACCTACGTTTTATGTCCATCTTTATCAGATTTTCAAAATGCAGAACATATGGATATTGTTCATATAATCATTTTTTTCTTGTTCTTGCACTAATGCTTATGTGTTCCATACCCAATGCCGCCTAGAGGAACGCCATGATCGCCCGTTACATGGTGCTTTCTGAAGATGTCAAAAATCGAAGCCTGCGTGTAAAAATCAAGATGAAAAGTTTAGGGTTTGATCCAGATCAGATGTGGACGAATTGTTCTGACTATAAGCCGAGACGATGATGGGCTTACTCTTCCTTTCGCTGCTTCTTCCTTGGTGTGACGCCACAATCTATATCCTAACGGAAACTTTGGAAAGCCAGATCGGGTTTTGTATCAGCTGTTACAGTTTGGATTGATGTCTAAAAGAAGACAGCATCTGATGAAAAAGCTAGTGAAGTAGTTACATGTTTTTGTCTTGTACAATAAGAAACTGTATTGTTCTTTAAACCAGCAGCCAAGTCAAAATGATCACAGAACATCATTTGAGATGGTCAAATCTCCTAATGGGTCGGTCAAAATTCACAGCAATTTGTCATTTTCACAAGCTGTTCGCAAGCAACCCTTTCATTGAACGGAGAATCAGAGGAGAGAGAGAGAGAGAGTGTGTGTGTACCAGATGAAGAACGTCTCGTGTACTGAGCTTGAACTCAGAAGGGGTCTTGGCTTGACTGTTCAACTTGCGTTGCCATGTCAATGGAGGAAGCTCCTCATTTCCAACCTGACAGGATATACCCAGAGACCAATCACATGAAGACCTACTCACTATGCGTATATGCGATTTATTGCATCGAAATTCCCAATCTTTATCACCAATTCTTCAAACATTAAATGCCAAGAACACGCACCGTGTCTAATACACTGAAACCACATTAAAGTTTTGGGTTTATATCAAGAAAGAAACGGGGGAAAAGCCGTACCCTTTGAGCGTGATCTGCGTCACCGTTCTGCATCTTGGTTACCTAAGAAATTAGTATGAACAAATCGTGCTGCAAAATCAAATTACAAGTGCGTAGAACAGAGACAGATACAAGAAACAAAACCGAAGGCTCAGAAATTGCAGATAAATCAGACAAAAGAACGAGCACTACAGAGAACCCATAAAAAAAAAAAAAAGAACAGTGCTTTTAAAGAAGCTTGACAAGTGTCCACGCAAAGGACAAAAGAAGAACTTGATACTGTTGCATGATGAGATTGAACTATGTGATGGGTTTTGCAAGAACAAGGCATTCATGGTCAAGAGGTGTGAGAAGAATTTCAAAAAGGGCTAACAATAGAAACAGATTCATCGAAACTATGAAGAGAGCAAAGAGAGAAAAAACCCACCAAAAACTTGAAATTTTGGCCTGTATCAATAGCCTCTGTTCTGGGTTTGCAAGCAACAGCAAGAAGAATAAGCTTGTAACTTTAGAAGGGGAAAACCAGAGAGAGAGAGATAGAGAGAAAAGAGCTTGAAATACATTCCTATAGAAGAAAAAGCTTGAAACTTTAGCCTGATGCCATCACTTTATGTGATGGGCTTTTGCATGAACAACAAGGTGATGATAAAACAGGGGAGAAAATACCCAAAGACTGAAACTTTCGATCACAGAAGTTAATAGAGAACCCAGAATCACAAACAAACAAACAGAAAGAGAAAAAAGAAAAAAAAAAAAGATTTGAAAATGGGTTGTTGCTGCATGAGCAAGAAAGTTCATGCGAAAAGCAAGAGCAAGAACTTTACCTAAAAGGGCTTGATCTTCCAATCAAAGAAGAAGCCTGAACGGTGAAGGAGAGGGAGAAGCAGAAAGCCCGGTGTTGTTGCGACAATGCCCAAATGGTGCAACAGAAGAAAGATAAAGGGAGAAAGCGAGAAGTCAAGAGGTGGGGGTTGGCGATTAGAAAAACTGGAATCTCTACACAGACACCAGACTGCAGATTGTACGAAGCATCCAATGGTTCGCCGCCAGAGTGTCAAATGTCTTTTGAAATTTTCCAATCGCAGCACGAAGCGTACGCGTATGGAGTAACAACGGTTGTGTATACGGACAAGGTCGCTTTTCTACTTGCGGACAATTCCCACACAGATTACATTAGGGGTGAAAATTTTGTGTACGCCCTTTTGGATTTATAAAAAGTTTTGGTTTGGAAGTATAATACATTCGATTTCGATTGATTCAGATTTACAAATATTCCTATATTCCATTTATTTAGTTTTAAAAACGATGTTGAATCGGAAATTAGATAGATTCGATTTAGATTTTTATAACTAGGAGGTTTAACGGGGTTTTGGCCAACCGGTATCTACAATAAATTTTATTTATCTAAACACTCTTTTTCATATTTAAATTTAAACCCGAAATAAAAACATTTTTTTGCATGTTCTTTCACAACCGTGCCTCCAAACCGTTTGATTGTATGAATATTGAAGGCCAACCACAAATATTAGGGCAAGGTCACCATTTTTCTAATACACTGAGGAAATTGAATAATAATGATGATGTGATTTAGTTGTGTGCATTACAGAGATATGGATGGAACTAAATGGCATTTTAATCAAAGTGGAAATAAGCATAACAACTGTTTTAGATAAGTTCAATTGATGATGGTTAGTCAGCAAGGACAGAGAAAAGGTATGCCTTTATTTTTCTTGCACTAAGATTGTCATGAATTTGCATACAAGGCTTATGCTATGGTAATAATTTTTTATATATATTATCAGATAATATTTGTGAGGAAACTATTATAATTTAAAATATTGGACAATAAAATTGACAGAGTTGGAGTAAACTCTAATCATATTATATAAATATATAAAAAAACAGAAATACAAGTTACTATAAATATATAATAAATTTGGTTGATCTTCTAAAATTTATGGTAATTGTTACTATTTAGTCATTTCCAAAATTTGCAGGTTTGATAGTGGCTGGATGAAAATATTGATTATTCATTGGTGTCGTTTTAATATTGGAGGAATACATATAGTAATGTTGGCTTTTCCCATATACAATGGAAAAAAGATTATAACCATTGACAAATAATTTGTGATATACATGGAAACATATTCGCATTAAGTTTCTGATTCAAAGAGAAAATAATATATAATTTCCTGATTCATAGAGATTATATAAATAAATAAAAAAACATCAAGTGTTGTACAGGGTATGGGCTGTCTGGTTCCTACACATATCTCATTCCGTGTCAAAGAGAACAATTCAACAGTAATATTCTATTTATTTGTGATATATATATATATATAAGGAGGCAATATTTGCTACCTAACTTTACAGTATTTTATTTTGTGTGTGTGTTTCAATATCGGACCAATTCTAAGATATCAATGCAAAAATCTTAAAGAATTGGATGATAATCATGTTGTAACCAACTATGGGTGCAATCTATGATGTTGTCACGTTTTTCTAAGAGGTGGATTTTACGGATTTTTTTTATATTTCCAAAAGTACCTATGGTGCTACCTTTATAAAAAGATTGAAAGTTAGATTTGATTATTTTTTAAACTTTTATTTTTAAAATTTTATACCCATTTTCGAAATTTTCCGGATATAAACATTTAATGGTTTTCCCTCGAATTTAATTTTTATTAAAATAAATATTTAATTTGACAAAGGGTTTAGATTCTCTTAATTCAATTCAATAAACTTTATACCCATTTAATTTTCGTATTATCGATTTTTATATCCGAATTTTTAAAAAAAAATTATAGTGAACATGGAAAAGAAAAAGAAAATAATCTGGTGATTACAAAAATTATTCTAGTGAACAAAGGAAAAAGAAAAGAAGGTTTTATGGAATTTTGAATTTTTATTAAAATAACCATTTAATTTGACAAAGGGTTTAGATTCTCTTAATTTAATTAAATAAAATTTATATCCAGTTAATTTTCATATTATCGATTTTTGTATCCGAATTATAAAAAATCATTCTAGTGGACATGGAAAAGGAAAGGAAAATAAAATCTACAATATGGTGGATTACAGAAATCAATTTGTGTATGGAAGTTGTGATGTCGCAATTGTAACACCGAAATCTCGTGCCAGCAAGGACAGGCCGATGTGGACACGTCTTTATTTGCACACAACACATCAGATAATTAGCAAGAAAGAGAAGAACAACTTATTTATGCCTTCGGGACCGGTTAGAGAAAAACAGCCAGCAACTTACAGAATGTACTTTTGGAAATTGTAATTTACTAAAATAGATTTTTGCCATTTTTGTTTTAGTGTTTTTATTAAAGAGATTTTGTCTCCATGTGAAAAAAAAAATACTTCAGATAATTGTAGGATTGATTTGTTCTAAATTGTGGCAACAAGAAATTTAAAAGAATGTAGCGTCAAGAGATAAGGTTATCGAGTTGTTGTTCTTAAAAAATGTTTACCCTAAAAACATATTCTTAATCATACGGCTTGTTATAAAAGATTATTCTATCTACGATAATCATCTAAAAACAAAAACAATATTCCATTTTTATTAAAAAAAAAAAAGAGAAATGATATTTTTAGAAAAATAATCACGCAGTATAAAATTATATCTGAAAGATATGAGTTTCAACATTTACTACAACTAGTTTGGTATTTTGTTTATTCTAAAAAATTCAATAATAATTCGAGACAGATGTGCCATAGATTCTAAATAGGAAAAAAAAAAAAAGATAAATCAGATTCGGGGAAAAAAACAAAACAAAACAATGATCTGTCGTTCCTAAGAAATGAGCCGTGTCTGAAGCAACATGTCATTTGTTATTCTCATTAGGGTGTCATGTAGCGGTGAAAATACGTGAAAACGTGCTTTATAGTTTCTATAACGTCACGTCAAGTTAGTTCAAACAACGTTATATTCATTCAGTATATAATGCTGACAATATCATCCCCCTTTGACTATCCTTACATTTCCACTCAAATTTCATTCCCGTTAAGAAACAATATCGTACAAATTTCCACAATTAAAAAAAAAAAAACAAGCTTTACGACCCAACTCATTAAAACGAATTCATAACCCAACTCGCAAACCCGTTACGACCCCACGTGTGTTGAGTTGTCTCGTATTGGGCTTAACGTTGAAAAGGGCCCCAGACATTTGGACCAAATGATTTGGTATTCGGTCGGCCCAATACACAGAGGCCCGGGGAATTGCTCACTCTCTGATCTCATTAATGTTTCATATCTCAAGGCAAAGCAGTTCTATATCGTAGCATAAAACATTGAAATTATCGGAGGCAGAGCAACTCGCCTCTTTTGCAAGGCAAAAAGCAAAACAAAATGCCGATCGTGACCAGAGACGGTGTGATTTAATTTATTGGCGAAAAGAATCGAGGGGAGTAATGACCTTCACTACCAGAATGCCGAAGCTCCAATTCAAGCAGTGGCTTCCTTCAAATACGCAATGAGATCAGCACGTTCTTGCGGCTTCTTCAGCCCAGGAAACACCATCTTCGTTCCCGGAATGTACTGCACATAAAACATGAATTAGCCAATGCAAAACTACCCAAGCTACATCTCTATTGTCGTATTTGGGTTAACCGCAGCTGATTCTTCTCTCATGGAGTTCAGTTAATTAAATAATTTTCAAGATAGATTTTGTCATTGATACCCGACTGAAGCATAACTTGTCAGGAAAATGTTACAAGTAACACAGCCAATATCTTCACAACTGAGGATACACGCGGAGAATGAGTATTATGAGGATTCGGGTCAGAACGCATATGCAATCCACAGAGCAGGCTCTAACCATTACTGTGTTATCCCACGGAAAGGGCTCTAAGATTCGGCATTTGAGTACAGAGACAGCCGTCCTTAATCAACAAACAAACAAATAGAAAGAACTGTCCACATTAGACAGGAAAAACACTGGATGACTAAGGTGTTTGGTTTTATGGGATCCGGAAATGCGATTCACAATTATACAGAGATCTAGATTCTAGAATTCGTAAAGTGAAAGGCTGACCATAAACTAGACTGTTCACCTAAGCATCGCATCTCTAAATCTTCGAAAAAACAATCCAAATCGAAACATGAAATAGAAATTATATTTCTATTTGTCGCAAACACATAATATCAATTACTTAATTCTAAAACAAGTCAAGAAAGAAAAGTTAAATCATAAACATAGGTAGCTAATGCAATAATCCTTATTCCTCTCTCAAGGCTCAGGTCGTAACGCAGATCCACCTCTCCCTAAACCCTACACCCTCTCGGAACCTGCACATTTTCTATAAATGTGAGACGTATGTCCGGTATCCAACATCCCAGACGAAGAAATAATCAAGTTAACTTCTATATCGTGAATACCTAAAACAGAAGTTTCACCAAGTTTCTTCTTCTTCAAATCTTCCAAATAGAGTCTGCAATTCCTTTTCCAATGACCTTTGTCATGACAATAATGACATTCCCCCTTATCTGGATTGGGCTTGGATTCGAAGGCAACTTTTGCAGCTTTCTCATTTCCCTTACCCTTGGAACGCTTCCTTTTGTTGGAACGTTTCTCAACGACGAGGACACTCTTTTCCACCTTGATACTCTGCTCGGCTATCTTGAGCATCTCATGCAGTTCATTCAAGCTTTTCTCCATCCCGAACATGTGATAGTTCATGATGAATTGGTCATAACTATCCGGCAAAGATTGGAGTACCAAGTCAACAGCCAACTCATTATCGATCTTCTGTCCCAGTCTCTCAAGTTGCTCAAGAAGACTTATCATCTTGAGAACATGAGGAGACACCGGCGAACCTTTGGTCAACTGACAGTTGACCAGGTTTTTCAACGTTCTGAACCTTTCAAAACGCACCGGTTTCTGGAACATGGCCTTCAACTGTTCGATAATATCGAAGGCGTTCATGCCCTCGAATTGCCTTTGCAGTTCAGGAGACATGGTTGCAAGCATGAGACATGAGATGTCAAGGTCGTCATTCTGATGCTTCTGCCAAGCATCTCTGACCGTCCTTGCAACATCGGCCGCAGGCTCTTCCATAGGGAGAGCCGCTTCCAAGACATATAACTTCATCTCGTGTCTGAGAACAATTCTCAAATTATGATACCAATCGAGGAAATTGTTCCAAGTTAGCTTATCCTTCTCAATGATAGATCGCATTGACAGTGATGATACATTACCATATGTCGCCATACTCTAAAAGATAGAAAAAATAAGATAAAGAAAAACGATATACAATATCAATTAGTACAATACTAACACAAGATATGAGAATCACTATTTCTCCATCTCACCTCACCAAGATAATCTGGTATGCTTAGCTTTGGAATAAAGCATAACACAGATGAGTGATGCCTTTATAAATGATCTACTATTGGGCGGTATAAATCTGAAATTTCAAAGACTTCATATTTTAAACCTTTGTCTAGACTTAGCACATTCACGTTCAAGATAGTCCGATATGTTCGATTTTGACATGACCCATAACATTAATGGTCGAAGCATTGACAAATGTTTTACTAATGAAAAACTCAAAACTAGACCGATCAAAGTATAACAATTATACTTTATTCGGACATGTTACTTGAACTGATTAGACAATCTAATCAATCTAGTAACCAAGTCTCAAAACTCTCGCTCGATAGAGTAACTTGTTTACTCTCTTAAATACTACGTACCTGGTCTATGTAGGGCATTTACAATATTGAATCATGTTTTAGATTTGTCATAAATCGCAGTCAATTCTGTCAAGTAACCTTTACTCAACCAAATCGAATTCAGAAAACTCAAAAATTCAGAATCCAAACTCGGTCCAATCTCGAATGATACCAGTCCACTTCAAATCGAGACCGCACCAGTTCACACTTAAATCGGTCCAGTTTTGACGGTTTCGAGCTCTGGGTAAAATAGAAAACAGAAACCAGACTGGTCGATCGAGACTGGATCCGGGCCGAGACCAGTCCGAGTTACGTCAGATGCATCTGTAGCTTAAAATCAAGAAAGGATAAAGTCAATACCTTCTTAGGGTTCAACAGGTAATCGTATAGAGTCTTCTCCTCCCAGATCACAGCCATGTTCTTGTTAGCCGCGGAGTATGAGTATCCTGGAGTTGTCCCAGATTGCCTTCCGAACAACCCGTTCAAGTTCGGTCCTGTGCGTATAAAATTCCAATCCTATAAACATCCGAAATCCGTATATGTGCATACAACAACGAAAACATAGGCCGAAACGACGCATCTAAATAGATACTAGGCGAACAATCACATAACTCTGCGATTAAAGCACTAAAACCGTATAATCCCCGTTGAAGCAACAACGAACGAAGGTATTTCGCGCCACGAATCGCTTCGGCCGACAACATAAACAAAGAACATCCAGATGGGAAAGAACCATACAGAAGATCACAGATTATCATGAATCGAGGAGACAGAACATAGAGATCCAAACACAAACGATCACGAGATAGGGAGAGAAGACGGACCTTGCTTATGACCGGCGCCTTTTTCAACGGTGTGGCACTGCGCACACTTGGTCCTAAAGATCTTCTCTCCTGCCTTGGAGTTCCCAGGCGGTGCTTCGTCGAACGACGCCATCTTCTCCAAGAGATCAAACGCTACACAGAAAGAGAGGGGTAGAGAGGGGGAGAGAGAAGGAATGAGGGATGAAACTCTTGATCGGTGGCAATTGAGAAACGCGTTTTGAAGGGGTTAGGTCTATGGAAGGTTCGAGGAAACACAGGTCATGGCCGCGTGGGCGAACCACACCCACGGAGTAAACGGGCCACAGGTCACCCTTTTCTTAACTTCCACGTGTAATATTTTTAGTGGCTGATTCTAAGTCGGTCACTATTTTATTCTACATATATTTCTTTTGTAATGGGCTTTGCAATGGGCTCTATCGGTCAAATCAAACTGATATATTTCTTTTGTAATGGGCTTTACATAGTTTAAATGTCTTACTAATTTCACGAGCCAGTGTTACTAATACTATGACTCTGATTATTTAAATTAATTTATAAAAATTACGAAAATTAATATTCCTTTCATATATCTTTAATCAAATCAAACTGATATCGCTTATTGTTTTATAATATTGTTATCAATATTATAGCAAATATATTTTTCTAGAACTATCTATGTGTGATCTATGGATATAGATTTATAGGGATAAATGCAATCATAAACTATACCCTTGACGGTCTTTAAAAAACAAAAATAAAGAATTTTAAGCCCGTGGACCATGCATGCATGACAGCATATCCCCACTCTAAACGTAACTACGTGGAAGCTTACTTCTCCTCACGCCTACTGACTTTCCCAAGTGATCCCCACGTACCCCTAATTACCATTTGCCTTTCTTCGCTCTATATAAACACGCATTCACTTATAAGCACGGACCACTCAATTCACTAACATATACACTAACAAGCATAATATATCCATACATATATATATATTTACATACAGACACGTTACAAACACATATATTATAAACTTTTATGGAGAACAGTAGTCTCATTGGTCAACAAGTTCATAGCTTCACCGTTAACCAAGTATCCTACAGAGGCGTACGCCGGAGAAAATGGGGGAAATGGGTATCCGAAATCCGACAACCCGGCAAGAAAACCCGGATTTGGCTCGGCAGCTACGATTCGCCCGAGATGGCGGCCGCGGCCTATGATGCGGCGGCGCTCCACCTCCGCGGCCAGGGAGCCCACCTCAACTTCCCGGAGCTTGCCGGAATTTTTACCCCGCCAGAAAGCTCCGCCGCTGAGCACATTCAGGCGGCGGCTCAGTCTGCTGCGATGATGGTGAAGTCTGGCCGGTTTCATGGCCAGAATCCGATAACCGACGAGTTGGGTTCTGGGTCAGGTCTTGGCCCAGTTCGGGTAGGGCTGTCGCCGGCTCAGATTCTGGCGATAAATGGGTTTCCGTTGGATTCACCGGAGAGGTGGTGCATGGACTTGGAGTCCGTACACGTGAATGATTACGAAGAGCTGTACGGGCAGTATTTTGGTTACGAGAGAGAGGACTACGTAGAAGTGCAGCTTCATTCTCTTTGGGACTGATCTACTATTCCAAGTGTTTGCATATATAATTATAACTAGAATTATATATTTATTTATTAATCTCTTTTGTAAAGATTGTTATATAACGAAGTAAAACACAATATGTTTTACTTTTTCATACCAAAAAAAATAAAAAATAAAAAAATATGTTTTACTTTTACCGTATAATTGGATTTGGGTGAATTAATAAAGTTGGTTTTTCTTGGTTAAAAATCTCATGTTTACAGATGATATTATGTCTAAGTGATTTTCTACGAATTCATCAGCTACAGAACAACAACATTTAATTGATTTTATTTTGGCTTCCACAAATATATATTGTTATGCATTTATTATATTCGTGAGAAATAAATTTCCGTCAAAAAAAAAATGAATCAATAATTTGTATCCTGCTTTGCTTTTGCTAAAGTTTGATTTCTAATCTAAACCAAAAAGATTAAATATAAGGTATCAATATTTAGTTAAAAGAATTGTTTTTCGTAATTTTTTTCTATTTATAAATTTAAGAAAAAGTTCAACTTCAATTTATCTAAATTTACCACATAAAACCTTTAGTTACAAATTACTAAACAAATATCTCAATCTGTATCAAATATATACTAAATCGATAGTGCCGTTCATCGATAATTACATCAATTTGTGTCAATTAGATATATCAAATTGGTATCGATTAAACACAAATTGACCAAATTGTAGTATTTATTTGCCAATTTGAAAATTGAGATATTTATATAATAGACAAATTGGAGTATTTTTTTTATATAGAATTTTACGTGTCACTACTATATATAATATGACGAATAGTTCTACACATTTGCCAATTCTTTTTTTTTTTCTTCCAGAAATTACTATACAACCATCTGTTAACAACCACAATTAATATTCTCTGCTAAATCATAAACCGGTTAATGGATTTTTTTTATTATGTATTGTTCCGATTTCATGTATGAATTTTTAACGAATTAATTAAAAATCTAAATAGAACAAAGGACCAAAGTCAAACCACACAGTGGTAAGAACTCAACTACCATACGAACCGTGTGACAGTGTACGATGAAATGTAATACAAATTAAACTTAATAACATAAAGTTTAATTTTCATAAACAAATTCTATTGGTTGGAACATTCCGTGTGGAGCCCGCAGACAAAAGAGGATTCTCAGACGCCGTCCGAATCTCGTTGGTGGGTCCTCTCCTTACCAAAGACTGCCGACTAATACTAGTAATGTTTTTTTTTTTTAATATATGCTGTTGAACCTTTTCTTTTACAAAGAACATTTCTCATGGAACGTGGAGAGGATCCTACAAGTAATTTAAAACTTAGATACGAGGAACTCAAATTTGGCTGCTCTAGTCTTATACCTGAAAGAATTTAAGAGTGGGAGAATAGAATTGGTGTATGAATGATCAGACTCTGGGATTCAAGAAAAATACAGGAGAGGTGTTCTCCATTGTTATTTTATTCAGAACGTTGCAGCAGCATTTAACCAAATACAGTGAAGAGCATAAAGGAAACTAAATCATAGTATATGGAAATATTATGATACATGAAACAGAGAACGGCAAGAGTGATATTCTCTCTGTTTCACACGCCTAATTTGAGCAATCAGATGTCGACATCTACTCCTAAATTACTCCATGGGCTGTACCAATCTTCAATGATCCCATAGTCCATCTCGTGCGTATGTGTGTCCATCATCGTCACAACATGGGCTTTCTCATTATGTTGCTTCTGTGATTGATCGTGATGTGGTTTTGGTTCAACATTCCCCCTCAAGATTGGTTCGGGGAGATCAACGATGCCAATCTTGGAGAGAGAGTTGATGAACACTTTGACGTTCGATCCCTTTGTGAAGATATCAGCCAATTGATCATTACTCTTTGTATAAGATGTGATGATGATACCTTGTGATATCTTTTCACGAACGAAATGGCAATCGACTTCAATGTGCTTGGTCCGTTCATGGAATACGGGATTCTGAGCAATATGCATGGCGGCATGACTATCACAATGAAGTGTGGTTGGTTGATTGGTAGGAACGCCAAGATCTCGAAGTAATCCTTTGAGCCACATAATCTCGCATGTAGTGTTTGCCATAGCTCGATATTCTGCTTCCGCGCTTGACCTCGCTACAACTTGTTGTTTTTTGCTTTTCCAAGTCACCAAGTTTCCTCCCACGAACGTGCAATATCCTGTTGTCGACTTGCGATCCGTTCTATCTCCGGCCCAATCTGCATCACAGTATGCTACTAGCCCGGTATGATTGTTGCGGTTCATCCAAATGCCTTTCTCAGGAGTCCCTTTGAGATATTTCAGAATTCTTTCAACCATACGCCAATGATGAGTAGTGGGTGCATGCATCCATTGACTTACCTGTTTCACAGCAAAACATAAGTCAGGACGGGTAATGGTAAGATAAATTAACTTACCGACAACGCGACGATATTGCTCGATGTCTGTGTAGAATTCCCCCTCGCGTTGGTCCTTGTAATTTTCTTCCAAAGGGGTTTTTGCCGGCTTTGCTCCAAGTTTTCCTGTATCATGAAGAAGATCAAGGAGATATTTTCTTTGGGAGAGAAAAGTTCCGGTTGGGCAACGCATAACTTCTATGCCAAGAAAATACTTAAGCTCGCCTAGATCTTTGATGTCAAATGTGTTATGCAAGAAATTTTTAGTCGAATTAATGCCCTCAATGTCATTTCCTGTAACAATAATATCATCAACATATACGAGTAGAACGATTATACCCGATGTGGTATTCTTGGTGAACAAGGAATGGTCAGATTCACTGCGGGTAAAAGAGGCATTGATGAGAGCCGTGTGGAGTTTGAAATACCATGCACGAGGCGACTGTTTGAGACCATAAAGGGATTTACGGAGCTTGCAGACTTTATTAGGACCGAGTTGATCGCGATACCCCGGTGGCGGAACCATATAAATTTCTTCCTCTAAGTCTCCTTGAAGGAACGCATTTTTAACGTCCATCTGCCACAGAGTCTAATCAAGATTAGTAGCAAGAGATAATATAACACGAACCGTGGGTAACTTGGCCACCGGAGCAAAGGTTTCGGTATAGTCTTCGCCGTAAGTCTGGGAATATCCTTGGGCAACAAGGCGCGCTTTGTGACGTTCTATCTCACCATTGCTCCGAAATTTGATCTTATAGACCCACTTGCTCCCAATGATATTTTTGTCCATAGGTTTATCAACGATTATCCAGGTATTATTTTTCTGCAATGCATTCAACTCTTCCTGCATCGCATCCTGCCAGACCGGAACATCTTTTGCTTGGCGATAAGATTGCGGCTCACTGTATGTATCCAATTTACTAAAGAAAGACAGTTCGTTAGATTGCAAATGGGTACAGTAGTCTTGAATTGGATATAAAACAGAATTACCAATAGTCTCTCTGCCATTCTTAGCTCGTCGTTCCTGAATTCGGGCACTCCGACGCACTCCATCGTTGGTGAGCATGCTGCCTCGGGGAATTTCGGGATGCCCAGCTGATGTTGAACCATGGGCTCCACCGATTTCATTTTCCCGAAGATCTGAGTTGCTCCGATTGGATATAGACGGAAGTGCAGAAGAATCATGGGCGGATGACAGGGGGAGAGAAGGGCTCGCACCATCGCCTAGGGTCGAATCCCCCTGATTCGAGGACTGTGGAAGATCAGACGTGGCATGGGGTGATGAAGACGTGGTTTTGGTTCAACAATACCTGTTCAAATCCAACTATAAGAGAGATAATCACCCGAATTTTTCCAATCTTAAAAGATATTTGGATAACGGTATATGGTGAATTTATGAATTGTCAAAAAAAAAATTATGGTATTAAATGTAGTTTTATTTATTTTTTTTGGTAGTATTTAGTCTAATGGGATTTAAACTTACGTGGAGAGAGACATTTTGTACTCTCTTCAGTCTTCACCACTAAGCCATTACATGTAGTTAATAATATAGAATACCTTTCTTTTAAATATTTAAAAACGAAAATCATGTACCTAGTATAGATAATTGTCGGAGATAAAGATAGCGGGGTGAATATTTCAAAATCTATATAGTTTCCACTTTATTATTGTTTTTAAGAATTATATATATTCGAATTTTTTTCAGTTTGGTTCGAATTTATTATTTTTCTAATTACTTATTTCAATAAAAAAAAATAATTATTATTATTTTTGTAAAATAATTTTATATTTTTAAAAAATTATTTCATAAAAATTCAAACAGCAAATAAATCCCAAAAAGTTTTTCATTCTCTAAATTCATGACGCAGACAAAAGTAAATTTGCATCTCACAAATTTTATGAGATTGTTGTGTATCCTCAAAGACAGGATCAGATTTGTCTCTGCATTGTCCGTAGAGAGAGTGATAGTGTCCTGAGAAAAAAAACTTAAAACATGGCATATATATATATATGAGCATGACGATCCGACAAGCAACAACTTGATCCTAATCCTCTCGTGTCTCATTCACTCCTATGGATCTCTTGGACATTGAACTGCGCGAACCGAGGTGGGCTGGCCGGAAACTTCCTCGGCGACGATCCTTCGAGGGACGGTTTCGCCTCGATAACGGGAGTCCCTGTCCCGATGAGCGAGCTTCTCCGAGAACCCTCGGTCGATATGAGCAGTCTTAACGTCCATCTGAGCACATTCGGCGTGAAAACTCGGTAGAGGAGAAACACGTCATACCAGCTCGGGAACTTCACGTAGGCGTCTCCTCGGCAAGCTCCCGATACGATCATCTTCGCGAAATCTTCCAGCGGTCCGCCACTCGCCGGTACCTGGATTAATCGTCAGGGACGTAGAATTTCTCATACAACATTGAATTAATCGATCGTTACTCTTTCCATTAAAAAGGAAAGCTTACTTCTCGTTCTTCCTTCCATTGCATCTCCGCTCCTTCTTCCAACATGAACTTCCCTCGGGTCATATCGCTCCCGATCCACCCGTGAGTAGCGATGGTTATTCCGATTTCCCCGTTTAGCTCGAATCTCAGCGTCTCGTAAAAGTTGACAAGAGCTGCTTTCGCCGCCTGCACGTCGGGAAAACAAGACCGAGCATTTTTATTACTATACAATATAATATCTCTAGGAAATGCAAGAACAAGGAATGTTTTTCGGGATCGTAGTACAGACGGAATAAAGGCTCATCCGAGGAAGAGGCAACCAGTTCTCGACGGATGCGTTCACGACGATCCTACCGTTGCTCTTGTGAAGGTACGGCAAGGCAACGTATGTCGGGTAAACATTTCCCCAGAAGTTGATGTCCTGAAGATTCAGAGACGGTAAATACGCAGGACATATCCACGGATCGGAGATGAGACCAGCAATTAGTTTGTCTTAATTACCAGTAGATGAGGAAACACAGTTGTGTCGGTCACATCCTCGAAGTAAAACGTGTGCCCAAGACTCACTGTATTCACCAGGTGATCCACTGTAAATCACGTTTTTACATGCATTAATTTACAATATTTACTCAAAAACAAGAAGAAAATTTCACTCAAGGACGAGTTATCGAAACTATATGGACGTGTGCTAGGTTGTAAATTTATAAAAAAATATAACATAAAACGTTGGAATTTCCCTCAATCATCGTTAAGAAATACAATCAATAAGAAACAAAACCGTATATGAATCCATTTAGCATGATACATTCGGTTAATAACTTAACAAACCAACCAATCACAATATAAAAACCAAATGACTATAATTTTTCGTAAAATCAATAAAAACATAAATTTGATTCGAATCAAACCGAATAAAAAATAACCGAAAAATCCAAAAAATTCTTTGGGAAAAAAATAGTACTTTTAGTCAATAAAAATTGAACCGAATCGAATCCGAATTGGAATAAAACTGAACGGAATTCAATATAAAACTCAAACTATTATAATTTTTTTAAAACTGATAAATAGATAAAAAAAAATTTGAAATTATAGAATGGTAGCTACAAATTCATCCTACATTTTTTTTACGAAATATTAATTTCTTCCATAACTCTGAACTAGATCTGTTAAATAAACAAAGCTTATATAAAACACAACCGATATGATTACCGCGACCGTAATAGTTGAAGGCGTCGGTGATGAATCTACGACACTGATCTTCCTTGACAACATCAGCAGCGATGATCATTACATGTTTTGCTCCCATCTCTCTGGCTTTGCTGCTGATCCCTCGCAGCCTCTGTTCTCTCCTCGCCACCAACACCAGATTCGCTTTTCTCTTCGCGTACTCGTACGCTATTTGCTGCGTTTCATCATAAAAAACAGATAGTATCCCAATCACCCCCCTCCTCCTCAGATCAAACACTATACTTACACACATACACACACATATATCCTTTTGAACAGACGTGTAAGACAAAACTGTCCATAATCGCAGTTCGAGTTCACGTATGCGTGAGTGAGTGAATACCCATCTCATAAAACGTGTCCAAAATTGTTCTTTCCCTCCTTCTGTGCACAAATACTCTCACTCTCTCTCTTTCTCTCTCTCTCTATATATATATACATGTATATGTGGGTACCTCTCCGACGGCGGAGGAAGCTCCGGTGACGACGACGACTTTGTCTTCCATGTCTTCGGTGCCGAAGAATGAGTTGTAAAGCCACTCGCATGCGCTGATGAAACACAGAGACGGCCATGCGAAGGCCATCACCACCATCGTCGCCGGTGGCGCCATCAAGTTCATCACTGTGTTCAGCAGATCCACCATTTTCTCTGTTTTCCTTTTTCTTCTTTTCCTTTTTGGGGGGAAGATGGAGAGATCAGATCTTCGGATCAGGCGATCAAATCGAAGGAAAAGAAAAACGAAGGTGGTGGTGATGATGATGGGTGGATAAGCTAGAGAGCTAAAATGATAAAAAAAGAAAAGAAAAAGAAAAATGGTGTTTTGACTTATAGCGCTGGATGATCAACACCATGGTTGCATGCAGAGTGGCTTGCAGAGCCACGTGTTCTCTCCTACGTGTCTTGGAGTTTTACGGCGATTAAGTTTTTAATGATCTCGAGTTTAAGAGTTTAAACCGAACTAATTAATTTTCAGACATCACATTCAAATGTCATCATATCTTATGAGAACATGGGACCCACGATCTCTGACATAATATCTTATGTGGCACGTTAGCGCCCTGATATATTCAAATGCAGTTTTCCTGTGCAGCCTGTTGTATTTTCTATGCAGCCTGCGACAGTAGCCGCGCCACAAGGGATTGCTTAATCGGATTTCGGTTTGGTTATATTCGAATTCGGTTATTTTTTTAAAAAAAGATTACTAAAATCTACAGAATACGGAGCCGCCATAGATCTGTGGAGCGTCGGTTGCATTCTTGCTGAACTATTCGCCGGAAAACCTATCATGCCGGGAAGGACAGAGGGAAGATATTTGTTGTAGGTTAACAATGTTTTGTCCTGGTGGATTGTTTCAACTCATGTATCGTTCAAACCCTTTCCCAGGTGGAGCAAACGCACAAGATCTTTGGACTCTGTGGTTCCACCGTCTGAACACTGCTGGCAAAAGGCAAAAGTTTCCACTTGCAAACAAGTTTCAAACCGCAACATCCTTATTATAAGCGCATCCTTGTAGAGACGTTCAAGAATTTCCCGTCTTCTGCCTTAGCTCTCTTTGACAAGCTCCTAGACTCGGGGCTGGGCTTCTTCAGAGCTAACGAGCTTTGTCTTTTTTCATGACATCTAGTGCTTTCTTGGTTTGCCCCCTGTCTTGTTGCTTCATATATTGCTTAGTCTTCTCATCTATTTCTCTGCAGTTTTTCACTATGGAGCCACCCCTTGTGATATATCAAGTTTGCCGAGGTATCCCTCAAGCAAGGAACTCGATGGCAAGGCCCGGGAAAAAGAAGCTGGAGTTCCAGAAACACCGCGTTGTGGAGCTAAAGGCTACAAGACCCAGCAACGTGCCTGTTGCACTGGGAGACTTGTCTTCTGGTTCTTTACACAAGAATGGTGTAGCCTATGAAGAATCCACAACGGTAACATTGAAACTGAGTTGATTCCATAGTCTTTAACCCTTTCTTTTACGTTTTAGATAACGTCCCTTCGATTCTTGATGTGGTTTCGGAATTACGTGCGTAAGAAGAGCAGAATGCACTGCTCGGGTCCCTTAATGCCTCCTCGTGGGAGTATTGTGATAAGTGTCCCACATCGGAACAAGAGAAGTCTGCAACAAAGAACAACAAAGATGCTGCAGACAAGGTGTATTTACAATGGCAGATAGCTGGTGTTCTTTCAGAACTCGCTCTACCCATGATGTCTAGATGTTTCTTTTTTCTTGGGTTTGGGGATGCAAGTAAACGTGTATATGTAGAAAATGTTGTTAAGTTCTGCAAGTCAATCTTGTAGGCAAACTTTTCAGTCATTTCCAGCAAATACAGAAGGTTTTCAGACAGCAAATACTTTCAACAAAACAAGAGGTGCGTTATTATCACATACAAGCCAGCTAAATAAGATATACATTTGGCTTGACAGAGACACACCTCGGTTACATATTATATGTTATAGAAAACCTCTGCTCTGCTAACTTGCGGTTCAGTCACTGACAGGAACATGGCATCTACATATCCTGCTTCGGTTTCCGACTAAGTTCCGAGTAATGACCGCCCATCAACTGCAAGATCTCCTCCCACAAGTTTTCTGATGAAGCTCCACAGATTAAATCTGAGCTACATGCGGCGGCATACCAGTAATTTGATTCGATTTCCTCTCTCAGTTGATCTAGCTGCCAACCAGCGTAACCGACAAAAAATTTGAAGTCTTGTGGCATAAGCATTCCTTTCTTTACAAGTGCTGCAGCATCATCCAAGCTGTTTCGAGCACCAAAGCTTAGACCCGGCATGACTTCTTCAAACCCGGGTAGCTTAGCTTTATCACCTGTTTTTAACAAGAACATGCTTGCTTGAAGAGGCCCACCAAAGTACAAGGGACAATCTGAGAATGTGGAAGCGAGTTCGTTATTAGTTGGTTTCATGTGCTTGATGTTTTTGTGAAGCGGGCGGTTGATGACAACCCCGAATGGCCCTTCTTGCGGATGTCTGGTCCCCGATCTCAGAAGAAGCACCACAGTTCTCTCGAATGTTCTAATACCGTCCAGCTTCTCTGTGGCGACTAGGACACAACCAGTCTCTGGAACAGGAATAGGATGTGCCCATTTCAGGCCGAAGGGTTTTGACTCCTGAGACGCTGGTGCTGGTTTGTGACCCTCGGATTCCGCTTTCTCTGCCTGCGAGGATTGTTTGGAAGGTAAACACAATTTGTCAGCTTCCTCGCATATTCATTCCATCAGACCGTGTTAATGAGATAAAACTGCATATGAATTCATTGGTTACAAAATAGAAAACATTGCCTGCTCCTTCATGAACAAATTTGCTCTGAACTCTCTCCAATCCATATTCAGGCCATGGGACTTTTGAGACGCAGATTCGTCCGATTTATTTCCGTTCGAGAACTTGTTTCCCTGAGAAGCATCTCCTTCAGGAACAGATTGGCTCCACAATTGTGAGAATCAGAACCAACAAAGGCAAATTTCAAAGACAAGAATCACAAATCCTACTTAGCATCTAAGAAACCATTTCCAGCAAAAATCTTGTAATCCCACACGCAATCTTATCATAGTAATGCTACTAAAACCATGAGATTGCCTTTCAAATAATTGAGATGTAAATCAGTTAAACAACATGACAAACAATCGTTCAAGGTTGTGATTCGAGACCTACACACACAGACACACACGAACACACGCACTAAGGCATCGATTCTTAAGCACTATTTCAGTCCATTAGGTTCAATCCCAAGCCGTCAAACAACCAAAATGTAACCGATCAAGCAGGATCTAACACGATAAGCATCGAATTCCACAACATCGGCCTTCAGAATTGACAGTCAAAGCACGATTAAGCCATACCGGAAGCAGAAGCATCGCCGTTGCCCTTCTTTGCGGTGGCTCTGACGAACAAAGAGCGAGACCCAGAAGCAGAAAGCTTGCGCCTGAGAACCCTGATCTCCAAGGCGCTGAACTTCCCGAGTTTCCCGGAAAACGGTTTCTCGGGAATCGAGTTCCTCGACGACAACAAGATAGGGTTTCGAGTCGCCGCGTCCTTCAGATGGAGGACCCGCAGATCCATTGAGGACTTTCTAGGGAACACTCCGATGAGAGCGATGCTCGGAACTTTTCTTCGTTTACTCGGGAAATTTTTTGATCCGATAGAAACGATGAGAAAGAAGAGAGGCTGAGGATTTCTGCGAGTAACATAAAAACAAGAGATGCGAGAGAAGACAAGAAGGGCAACGAAAGAGAATATGCTTTTCCTTTTAACGGAATTATCGTAGGTTGTTTTTACCATTTTACCCCTCTTACTTTTCTCTTTCGCCGTTAATCCTACCGCCGGCGCAAGTTAGCAAATGCATACCCCCTCGTCGTTAATTCTTACAGCTAGCACAAGTTAGCGCCGCACGAGCCACCGGAACAAAGTGAAGAATCACCATTGTTTGGAAAAATCCCAAAAAAAAATCATTAAATGGGAACTAAAATATTCCTACCAAACTTTTTCAATTTTAATATTCATACTAAATTGTTAAGCCACAATTTGATTTTAAATAAAAAAAATATCATATACTTTACTTTCCACTAAATATAAAAGTCGAAATTACGTGTTGTATGTATGTTTTTATGAATTAAAGTCGAAATTTTCTGCAGTGTTTTTGCGCTCTCTCATTCTTGGAAGTTTCTGAAACAGGGTTGCATTACACAACATGTGTGTATACACACAGACACGCATATATCATATATATATATATATATATATGTCATATGTGTATATAAGCATACCTCATATATATGAAAATCTCAATACAAATGATAGGAGAAGTAATTTTCTGTGGGGTCCATGGACATGGTTTTCTTCTTCCACCTTCCGCCGTCATCATTCTCAGCTCCTGTTTCTCTTCATTTCCTTTAACATCATATTTGTAAGTTCAACTCTATAGCCATTTTTCAACCAATCCATTCAGCATTAACAATGGAGAGATACATAATAAACATGCATGCATGACGATGATGATGCGAAGGTAACATACGCAAATCTATCATATACGGACATAAACGGAACAAGATCAACTTCAAGTACGAGGAATCAATCTTTTTTCATCATATGAAATCTCAGAGGTTGATGCACTTCCCCATTTTTTTGCGGAGCTCCTCAGTCTCTCTCTCAGCCTTCTCCAGGTTCTTTCTCAGATTCATGATCTCATCGATGGACCTTTTCTGAACCTCGTTCACTCTCTTCTCCGCTTCCATTCTCGCCGCTTGTTCTTCAGCCAGCTGCTGCTCAAGCCTCGTCGCTGTTTCTTTCAGCTTCGTCTCCACCTAGAAAATGGGGAGAGGAAAAAAATCTTTATGGTTGCACCATCAATGCGTCGCATACGTCAACGGAAATGTTAAAAAGAGAAGCGGCTTGTACAAAAAGAAACAAAGTGCCGAATTACCATCTCTGTGATTCTGCCCAGTTGCAGTTCATATGACTTCTCTATCTGCTTCTTCAACTCTGATATCTCTTTCTTCGAATAGCCCTTCAACGACTCAATCTCCTTCTGCTGGTCCCTGAGCTTGATTGCCTCTTCCTGAGAAAGGATGAAGCAATTCTTAATAAGAGCATTTCTCTAAGCTAAAGCGATCTTCATAAACCGATTTGAGTGTTACTTCACCTGTAATTCGCGGAATAACTCGTCTGTGTATGGTTTCCCACTGTTCCTCCTCACAACGGACTCGACCAGCGTGAGAAGATTCTGGATTTGCTCAGCTTTCTTGCGTTTTTCTTTAGTTTTGTTATCAAACAACGCCAACCGATTGTCACAAAGAGCGAGAATTTCCTACAACCATGCAAATTCAACGCAAGGAGCAAAGAATAAGTGTTCATCTGGATCAACATTTCGGGACAAAGGTAAAGATATCGACCTTCAGGAACTCGGGGCAACCCTGGGCCAAATACTCCTCCAGTGTCTCGTCATTCTCCTCCAATTCATCACCCCCGGTGAAAACAACAATCATGTAGTCAACAATTTTTGTCCCGAAAAGGGTCTGCAATTGACGGAGAGCAGACTGTTCTTCTTCAGTTAGCCGGCCCCTAACCGAGAAAACCAACAGCACGGCATGGATTCCATCTTCAGCCAAACTTATGCACCTGACAATCTCTTTACCAATGAATTCGGTGGCCGTGGACAAATCAAACAAACCTGTGCCAATCACCAGATTAACATCCCATACATTGAAAGAAAAGGGTTATGATGACTCAACTGAAATCATTCCAAATTCAATAACTCCAACTTGGATCAGCTATACCGACGATCTTACCGTTTTAAAATCATACCACAATGTAATTGGATTAATGAACTAATTTCACTTACCTGGAGTATCAACTACATTGATGATCTGACCATCTTCTAGTTCAACTCTTTGTGATTCACACGTGCTTGTTACACCTATTGAACTTGCTCTTGACTTAAACGCCTTTCTTCCAAGGATGCTGTTCCCCGTGGCGCTTTTCCCGTTGCCTGTACGCCCAACCAGAACTAGGGTTCGAGCCGGGTTTGACGGCGAAGCCAATTCCCAATCATCCTCCATGACGTCTCCACCCATCTGTGAAAATTTCATGTATCCTTGTTGCAAAACTAGCAAATTTTGACAGAGAGATTAACAAATGGAAATAAAGTTTTGACCTTCAACATAACCATACAGCAACTTGACCCAGAAAGGAACAGAAAACGAGAATTCAGACCCTCATTCAATAGCTCAAACAGTTAAAATATCCAATCTTTTTTGGTGAAACACATGAAATTTTCTTCCGAAAAGCCAGATCGGTAACAGATGCAACGGCTGGTTAAGATCAAAACATAAAATTCATGAGACGACCGAGCGAAAAGCAAAAAGAAGAACGACGATGGGAAGAACTTTACAAAGCAGCCAAACAGAGTTAGAACACGAAGAACAAAACCCAGAACGAAACGACGAAGCAATCGAAGAAATCAACAAAAAGGTTACTTGATGGAAGAAGCTGAAGCGACGAAACCGAGATTACAATCTTTGCCACAAAGGAAACAACTTTTTATTCACTACTTCTACGGAAACAGTAATACCCCCATTTCAACAGACGTCTTCACAAACACTACTAAGACTTTTTCCTATCCAATAGCGCGCAAATAATCCATTAGTCATTATCCACCGTTGGATGCGTCATGCTTTTTATCCTACGGTCCAAACGTGATACCACCTGGGTCAGATAGGCCTAATGGAACCTAGTCAAAGTTAGGCCCAACAGTGACCCAATAGTCCAAATGTCTGGTCCAAAATTAGCCCACTTAACTTACCAGTCGGGCAATTATCCAGTGTCTCGCGGGTCACTGATCAGTGTGATAAACACCGTCCGATGTGAATGACCTCCGTCCAATTGCCAAAACTTAAAAACCGCCATACCTTTAGGGCCTTAACCAAATGTAGGCCCATACATCGGCCCAATACATCTCCACGTGCTTTTTTTCCTTTGTGATCCGACGGTCCAAAAAGTTCCACAGAAACACTTCTCTCTCTCTCTCTCTCTCTCTCTCTCTCTCTCTCTCTCTCTCTCTCTCTTTTTAAAAAAAAAATTATTTTAGGCATTCGCTGTGTCTCCTAGAGAGAGTGGGAAGAAGAGAGCGAAAAAAAGGGACGAATTAGGGCAAAATTGCGCAAATTTTCGGAGTTTGATTTGTTCTTCATCTTCTTCGTCTTCGTCTTTGGTGTCTCATTTTCGGCCTGTTCGAAGGATTTAGGGTCCCGTGATCTCATGAAGGATCTGTTGCAGAAGAGGAAAGTGGTTGTACGGCACTTGCCGCCGTCTATTTCTCAGTCGGATCTCTTGTCCCATATCGACGCTCGTTTCGCTGATCGTTACAATTGGTTTGCTTTTCGTTCTGGGAAATCCAGGTAGGGTTCTTTTGGCCTCTTTATGTACTGTTTCCAGCGTATTTGTGATCCTTGTGCTAAACGTCTCGTCTCTTGTTCTGAATATGCGGGTGTTTCTGGTCAACCATTTGTCTTTAGATGATTTCTTTTCTCTTTTAGAACACACGTTTGGAGAGCTGTTCCAGGGTTACGTTTTCACGGCCCCTGTTAAAAGGATTCCTGCTTTCGAGCTTATTTTGGGTTTTTTACCTGCTTCCTCAGCCATAAGAATCAGAAGTATTCTCGGGCCTACATAGAGTTCAAGACTCCAGAGGATGTTTGTGACTTTGCTTCCTTTTTCAACGGCCATGTGTTTGTTAATGAGAAGGGTATCTGTCTGTCTCTGTCAATTGTCTGCGTTCGATTAAAACAATATGATCCGTTGGATATGTGATTGTATTTCTCCTCTTAGGTGCTCAATGCAAGGCTGTAGTTGAATATGCACCTTCACAGCGTGCGCCAAGACCATGTGGCAAGAAAGATCCTCGTGAAGGGACTATTTGCAAGGACCCTGATTATCTGGAATTCCTTAAGATCATCGCAAAACCTGTTGAGAACCTTCCGAGTGCTGAAATACAGTTGGAAAGAAAAGAAGCCGAACAGTCTGGTGCGTATTTCAGGAACAATATATGTTCGTCATTCTTTTTTTGGGGTGTTACTTCTATTTCAGGAACAATATATGTTCATCATTCTTTTTTGGGGTGTTACTTCTACTCTGAGGAGAGCAGTATGCTTCTATTCCTGTAACGGTGAAATTTACCATCTAAAATTACTTCTCAGGGACGACAAGAGACACTCTCATTGTTACTCCTCTTATGGAATTTATACGCAAAAAACGTGCTGCAGTGATTGAAACTCAGGTGCATTGTGCTTTCCCATTATCTTTTTCTTCCAGATATTGGAGCTCTATGCTTAGTCTGTCTTATGGAAAGTCAGTGTTACCTTGTAGTGGATGTCAATGTATACTTTATCCATTTTTTAAGAGAATTTAGTTGATCCCTGGTTTGGGTTCTACAATAGGGTTTGTCAGATGTTCGCAAAGCAAGCAGAAGAGCCAGAGCTGCCTCTGCAAACAAGCCAAATTCAAGATCTTCGAAACGAAGCTCTGAAAAGAAAAAGGTGCTTGTCTAACGAATGTTGTTCAAATAGTCTTCCTAGTCGTTGTCCTCTCTCTCTCTTTCTGTTCCTAAAGAAAATTATTCAGTTTCTCATTTTGAATCTTTCTTCCCTTATTAGTATGTTGCAAAGGACCATGCAAAGAACATGCTGCAAAAAGCTAAGTCAGCCTATGTAGCGAGCTTTAAGCAAGACAATCAGCATTTAACTTCAAGTGAAAAGGAGATCCCTGAAAATGAAACTGGTAATCAATCAGGGACATAATTACTTTTAATAATTTCCATATTCCTACAAGTAAAGGCCCTTGGCCTTTCTAATTTGCTTTCTAATTGACTCAGCAGCAGTCTCTGTTATCGAGAGCTCTCTCCCAGGAATTCCTTTGACTATGGAATCTGGAAAGAAAAAAATATTGCTTTTGAAAGCAAAAAACCAAGACAGTTCTGTAAGTTTTTTGCGTTTTTAGAAAATTCGTCATACTTATCAGGTAGTTTGATAGTCTAGTCTCAGAAAATCACAAGCCATGCATTTGATCATTCTTTCTGGTTCTGTTTTCTAATGTATTTGCACATTCAGAACCCTCTGCCACAGTCAGAGCAGCAGATTGAAACATCTCCTGTTGGAAGTTCATTGGCTTCCAGACAAAACCAGAAGAGTGATGTTGGTGGGAAGTTGATCAAGGGCATACTTCTGAAACATGAGCCACGACAGAGCCAGTCTTCATCTTCTGTCCAGCCTCAACAAAAAGCACCATCATCTAACATGGAAAACAGCAAGCGACCTCCTCGACCTGCCAACACACGGGCAGGTAAGGAGAGATGGGTTTTGATCAAACTGTTTGTTGAAGTTTTTTTAGGTATTCTGATGACATGACACAATCCCAGATGGTAAATTTGCAGGTAAAGACTATCCTGGTCCTGGCACCCTCGGTGAAAAGCAGGAGAGGCGCATGAGAAACAAAGAACGACCTGATCGTGTTGTGTGGGCTCCGCTTCATCGTGCTGATGGGTTGAGTGTTGGTGAGGACCATCTGTCATCTTCAGCAGGTTATATTTCTGCTATTAATCGATAATTAAGTATAATGTTTGTGGTTGAGCATTTCTTCTCTGTTATTATCTCAACGTAACTTGTTTGTGATGTTCCAGCCAATAATGGAGAAGTGAACGGCGAGAACCTTGTCCAGAAGACTGGGGAAGTGGCAGCTTCTTGTGGTGGCCGCCATTCATATTCTATGGAGAATGGTTTGCTAATTTGAAGTCTAAACACGCATCATGGCTTCTGTATTTCATTAGTTTGAAGACATCCGGTCTCACTTCTCAAATTTCTGAATCATGCAGGTTCTGCCAGACATACCAGTCGTCGTATTGGAGCACGTAGTAGAAAAGATGACGGCCTTGGGATGACTGGTGATGGCAAATCTTTGAGAAGAGGTGGCAGCGGTGGTTCGAATTCTCACGAGGCAAGCCAAAGCCTTTTACAACGCCCTCAAAGTTGCTTTACCTCATGTAACCCTGCACAGTTCTTGTAATACTAATTTTAATTTTGTTGCAGAAACAAATGTGGGTTCAGAAGTCTTCTTCGGGGTCATGATGTATCTACTCTCAGATCTGGTAAGCTTGGAATGGGACGGTTGTACCTGAATCATGATGAGTCATAAGATTTATGCACTCTTGCAGACTTTAGGAACATCAATTTTTGAAGCTCTGTTCACCAATCTTATGGTTGTTTCTTCACTAACCTTTTTAACTTCCAGGCTCAGTGTCAGCCACAACCATGGAACTTGTCCTGAAAGGGACAATCAGATACTTTACCTATCCTGTTGGAGTTTGGGATTTCAGAAAAATGGTGGGAGTAACTATCAACAAACACTTGGTTTGACGGAGACTTTGGTTCAACGGCTGTAAGTGGCATCGGTTTCATAAGTTTGCACATACTGTGACCCTTCTTCTCACATAGGAATAAGTTCGGATCAAGGAATGCATATAGTCAAGTATTATCTGTTTGAAAGAGGGAAAGTTACTATTTGATTTTGTCGTGTTTTATATCTATAAATATTGTAGTCCTTTATCTCGAATAAAGGGGACCGCTCAAGTCTCTATCTCTATTATGGTATCAGAGCTGAACACTAAATGTGGTTTAGGATCTCTAAGTCCCCTCGATTTGAAAACTCCTATCGTTGACCCGACTCCTGGTAAAACCCTTAGATTTGAAAGAGTGGCTACTGCTTCACGGAGGGCACAGTTCTGGAGAGGCCTCTCCTTTGGTTTGTGGGTTTTCGTGAAAGGAGACCATTGATGAGAACTTCTCCGAGTGAAAGAGTGGTGAGATATAAACTCAGGAAAAACGCTGCCGAGTGTGGGTTTGGGACAAAACACTGTTGTGGGTTTTTTTCCCGGGTTCAATGGGTAGTGGATGTGACTGCAGAGTTTCTGATATGAGTTTTAAAAGATTCTGAAGTTTCGTATTTGTACAAATGATTGTCCTGAGCGTTTTGCATTTGGATGATAATAGTCTTCTTTTTGGTGCCCTTCCTTACAATTTCTACTACTTGAGAGTTGAGGCATTCATTAGTAGAGATTTGCTGCAAATTTGGCAGAATTTGTATAAAAAAAGGTCCAATTGAAGCTACAAGTTGTACTGAAAAACAAATCTGGGATTTAATTCTCAATCATGCCAGTCACATAAAACAAATCGGCGATTCAGGATGATTTTGGTAAAAAAGTTAATTGTATTTTCCGATTATAAATGTACAGAAAAGAGGAAAACATCGCGTGGATACTCTTGATCGGTCTATTAATGCTCAGGATTTTACCAAATTAAAATACATTAACCGTGCTAATGTAGAAACTGTTTCTGTGGTTGGCTCTCGTCCTTCCACGAGGGGGGAGAAAGGGGGTAAGGCAAACGAAGTCAACCCGGGGACGGACCTAACAGTCTGAACTCACAACATACGGAATCTCTCATAAACTGCCAGATTTCGGCGTCTTGTCCGAAAATCGTCTTTGTTCTGTTTTCTTCTTCTTCTTCTTAGGTGAGGAAGTGAAAACGACGCAATTAATAACCGATTGCTTCTTCACCTACTCTTCTTTCTCTCTCCTCCAACCATTTGCATCTCGGAATAAACTTAAAAATAATCCGAAATAGGGCCTGGATCTTTGGATTCTTTGACTTTCTGGGGACAAGCATACAGCACAACATGCCAATTTTCAGGGAAATCTCTTGAATTCCCTCGGTTTTCCGTCAGAAATCCGTGAAACCAGCTTCTGGGTTTTGCTCTGTTGTAGATTCGGGAAGATGGGTAACAAGTTTATCTGCATGAAGAAGAAAGATACTAGAGGAGGAGATGGATCCAGGAGCAAGAGACTCAATAGGTCTCAGAGAAAATTGCTCGCTGAGGAAGAGATGTTGCACCGACGAGCTCTGTCCATGGCGATTCATCAGGCTCAGCTTTCCCAGAGATTCGACGGATCCATGTCGAGACGGGTCGGGTCCACCAGCTCCAGGAGACGGACGCTCTCTGACCCGTTTTCCAATGGCAAACAGGTCACTGAATGAATCTCCATAGCTACAACTCTTTCTTTTTCTTTTTTAAAGCAAAATCCGACCGGGTCTTTGCTTTCACTTCTGCGGTCAATTTCCATGAATTATATAACTCAACGAGCCTTTTGGACTGTCGATCTCTGATTCGAAATGATTGTCAAAAGACTTTTTAAGATATGAAAAAGAAAAAGTGGGGGAGGAGAGAAGGGAAAAGGTCATTGCACAAAAAGTGCAGAAGAGAAGCTTCTTATGAAAAGTTTCTTTATCAAGAGATAAACGGAGATACTGTGTAAACAGTGATTCATCTATCTCGTTATCGAACAAAGATAAAGGTCTCGGATTCACAAGCAAAAAAAAAAAAAAAGTGATCTTGAATCTCTTCTGTGGACACTGGGTTGGGACCAGATGAACTGTAAACCCCACAATTCAACAAAAAAAAAATGCAGACAACTCTGCCATCTTTGGGGAACTTTATATTCTCTGATTCTTTGTTAAGGTTGTTTGTGTGTTTGGTTTTGCCACTTGCTGTGTAGTTCATGAAACTGGCTTATTGTCGTGTTTAGAACAACGAGAGAGTGAAAAAAGCTTTGTTTTGGGAGGGATGAAAAAGTGAAGAGCTTTGTAATTCGTTGTTGATAATGGAACTGTGTAAATTCGCTCTCTGATATTTTGGATTTTGAAGGTAGAGGAATTTTTGGAGAGCTTGAAAGTGAAGAACTTTGTACTGGTGCACGGAGAGGGTTTTGGAGCATGGTGTTGGTACAAAACTATCGCCTCGTTGGAGGAGTCCGGCCTTTCTGCAACTGCGCTCGACCTCACGGGATCCGGATTCAATTTGAAAGACACAAACAGTGTCCGTACGCTGGAAGAATATTCGAAACCTTTGATCCAGCACCTTGAAAATCTTCCTGAAGGAGAAAAGGTTAGAGTTCCTCTCCTTCTCGAGTCTAACTAGAGATTCTAGAAGGTTACTATTTGATTTTGTCGTGTTTTATATCTATAAATATTGTAGTCCTTTATCTCGAATAAAGGGGACCGCTCAAGTCTCTATCTCTATTATGGTATCAGAGCTGAACACTAAATGTGGTTTAGGATCTCTAAGTCCCCTCGATTTGAAAACTCCTATCGTTGACCCGACTCCTGGTAAAACCCTTAGATTTGATTGATTCTACCTCAAAGTCAGTCTTCTATATCGATCCCCACATTTAAAAGTTTGTGATCTTTCATAAACTCAGCCTAACACTTGCTCATGATCATGCCTTTCATGGGCTTATTAGCGATGGTTTAAGAAAACGTTGTTGTAGGATTCAGACCAGAACATATGGTCATGCCAGACAATGACGTGTTTGGAAGTGTGATTATGTTTGGATTCATTTCAAGCCGTCTTCTATTCCATTGCTTTGTTAGGATTTCTGCTATAGATGGATTAGTTATGGTTTGTTCTCTTATGTTTTCTTGAGCTCTCAAAGGACAGTGACTTTATACATGTGCATGAGATGACAAGGCATGGCCATGGCCGCTTTCGTATGTTCATGCAGGTTATTCTGGTAGGTCATAGTACCGGAGGTGCCTGTGTTTCCTACGCCATGGAGAGATTTCCCGAGAAAATCTCGAAGGCGGTATTCATTTGCGCAACGATGGTCTCTGATGGACAAAGGCCTTTTGATGCATTTGCTGAAGAGGTAATAATAATACTACCAATCTACGCATGTTTCCTAGTTCATATCTGTTTCGTTTTCAGCTGTTTTCATAAGTTTCATTTCGAAACATTTGCTTTCGGAAGGGTTCCGCCACAAGGGTGTCTTGCAGGCAAACCTTACCTTAAAAAATGATATGAAATATAAATTTTATTTTTCTGAAACTACGTCCGAGAAAACCCGAGAGTTTTAAGAAGCCTGATGCATCGTCTCGTAGAGTCGTTCTCTCACATTTTGTTTACAAGATGTCTGAATGAAACTGAGATCTATTGATTTCTTGGTGGCAAGCTCGGGTTTTCATTGCTACAGCAGTCCTTGCCATTCGGTAAATATGTTTTTGGTACCGAGTTTTAGATGATTCATCTCGAGGATACTTTGTGGGGTTTGTTTGTTGATTAACCTAGTCTCTTCTCATGCAGCTTATATTTTGTTTTTTCGGCCGGGTTTTGTGCTAAAACTCTTGAGAAATATTTTTGTGGAAATCACAGCTTGGTTCTGCAGAGAGGTTTATGAAAGAGTCGCAGTTCTTGATCTACGGCAATGGCAAAGACAACCCTCCGACAGGTTTCATGTTCGAGAAGCAACACATGAAAGGGCTGTATTTCAATCAGTCCCCCACCAAGGTAAATCTCTCAAAACACCCGTCTCCTAATCCCGAAAATGTCATCCCTCGGCGTTTGTCTGCGTTTGCATTTGCATCTAACATGAACCATCGCACAATTGTCTGCGCTCGGGGCCCGGTTCGACCATCTATGTACCTCCACTATTAAGGATGGATGCACGTCGGGTATCCGAGCTTTCTGATGTACTCAGCCTCGATTCGGTATTTGTACAGTTCGGGAACGGTTTATTCGGTTTTATAAAAAAAATGTATCAAATTAGAACCGAACGTTATTCGGTTCGGTTTGGATCGGGTTGGAACTAAATTCCCGAACTGAAGTGTCCAACCCTAGATACGAGTACTTGGCCAACAAAACTCGAACTCGAACCCACGGCTCGGGTTTCCCAACGCCATCCACATGATCTCGTACTCGCCTCAGCCAAATATCCGAATTTCCGATACTCGCAAGATGGATATATATATATACCAGAGGATACCCGGAATTTGGGTACCCATGTCCATAGCTATTTACCATTTTCCTGAAAATCCCAAACTCTACCACTGTATTAAATACACGATCACTGGTGTTTTGTTGTGTTCAGGACATTGCATTGGCAATGGTGTCGATGCGACCGGTCCCGCTCGGTCCGATGATGGAGAAGCTGTCGTTAACGGGGGAAAGGTACGGAAGAGGCCGGAGATTCTACGTGCAGACGCTGGACGACAGGGCGCTCTCGCCGGACGTGCAAGAGAAGCTGGTGAGGGAGAACCCTCCCGAAGGAGTTTTCAAGATCAAAGGCAGTGATCACTCTCCTTTCTTCTCCAAGCCTCAGTCTCTCCACAAGATTCTCCTCGAGATCGCTCAGATTCCTTGATAATAATCAAGGCAATGTCACTTGCTTCATTTTAGATTTTGTTGTATACGTTTATATATCTATTTATTAATATATATATATATATATATACACACACACTATTCTACACTATAGGTCAATTTCGCTTTTACGTATCATCATAAAAATATCGTAAAATTGATATAAAATAATAAATTCTTAAATAAATAAATATTGTTTTAAAAAGAATCCTAAAATTGAATTGATAATCAATATAAAAAATAAATATATGTTTTTATATAATCGAAAAACTAAAATGAAAATAATCAAAATTTATTTTTAAAAGTTGTAAAGTAAACAATGAAAATGGTACCCGCCAAACTTTATTTGTTTTTAATTGAACAAAAGCAATGAAATGGTATCCGCAGTTGATGAATGGAATGATTTTGTATTTTTGTTCTCGAATATTCCACAACGCATTTCTCATGTGCTTCAAGATCGAAATTAATTGTTATTAATTATATATTAATTCAGAAAAATATTTCTCATGTGTTTCTAAAGCGAAATCTAGCGTAATTGATTTTGGAATTATTATGGAGCTGATATATGCATGCATTTTGGAATGCACATAAATAACATGCTATATTTGAATTCACTTAAAAGTGGTTTACAAGCTAAAAGTGCGTTTCAAAAATTGGATGAAACTTCAACATTCCAACAATATAATCTGGTTTAATCGGTTTTATATTGCAATCTAAAAAAAAAAATTCATATATTTTATTATATTTATATTTGATTATTCATTATATACTACAACCGCAAAAACTTAAATAATTATTATTCATAAAATATTATTATATATCGATATAAAGATGGCCCATGAAAGCAAAAGTTGGGTGAGAGCATTATGAGTATACACATAAATACAGACTCTTTGAGATAATGAAGGAAGATCTCTTGAGAAAGAACGAAGCCCCCCACCCTCACCATCCACCCATTAATGTGGAAATCTGACTCATTTGCTTTCCCAACTTATTTCATTATATATATATATATATATATATATAATACAAGAGATTTTGATTTATGGTTGCACGAGTTAAATTCCCCCGTTGGCTTTGTTTGAATTCTGCTATCCAACTTTAGACACAATGGGTCCTATTCCTTACAAAATTTGTCTCCCTAGTGTGGGTTATCTACTCAAGACGAAATTGTCTGGATGCGTTTTATGGTAATCGTTTTCAAGATACGAATTACAATTATATACAAAAACATCAATTGTTTAAGATAATCCAACGAATTATGAGAGTTCGGAACACTTTGGAAAAAGGTTTTAGAAATTTTTGTTGGATAGAAGAAAGCGTTAAAAATGGGAGGGAAAAAACTGATCAAATGGAAGATACATAAAATGGAGAGAATGAAGGCACTCCCTCTTTCCTTTTTTCTTTTCATTAGATTGGGTTATTAAAATATTATCCACACGGCTAGTTAAATACGTTACACAATATATATATATATATATATATATATATATATATATATATGAACTTTGTTAATGCAATAATGAGTGTTCTAGGAGATTTATTACAAAAGAGCCGCCTACGCGCCAAATATCAAAATTCTAGATTAAACCCGTTTTTATTTTATAAGTTATAAAGATATATATGGATTGAATTCGGGGGTTTATTCAAGAGCTAATGATGACGGCAATAGATGGTGGAGTTGGCATGCAGAATAAAGAGTAACTAGGAAGTGGGACCAAACAGCTTCACAGAATGGGGTTAGAGAGATGATTCCTCCTGCTTCACCATTTGATGAAACAAAGGCCCCACAAACACACCACACGTTGTCTGCCACCACACCCTAATAACCCTAGCCCCACCACCACCACCATCAATGGCAGCTTGACACTTCTTTATACAACTCCACAACTTCATATGCATATACAATACATACACTCATATAAATATATACACGCGCACACATCCAGTTTGCTTTTGGAGCAAAGGGTTTCCCTCGTTTCTCTTATATCTAAACAAAAACTTCTCTTGAATCCAAAATCTCTCTCGACCGGAGATGAAAGGAAGCAAGTCCTACTCGGAGTACTCATCAAATTTCTCGGCCGAGTTCGGGTATCAAGATGGGTCAGGTTCGTACAGTTTTAACGGGCCGTGCGGCAAAGCGGATCCCGAGATGAAGAGGAAGAAGAGGATCGCCTCTTACAATCTTTTTGCCACGGAAGAGAAAATCAAGAACAGCCTCAAGAACAGCTTCAAGTGGATCAAGAGCAAATTCTCCGGTGATGATAATATTCGGTATGGCGTGTAAAAAAAAGTGTTTTGGCTCTTTCGCTTACGTTAAATCTTATATGTATGCCTTAAAAGAAAACATGTAAATGATGAAGCTTGTTTCTGTAATCTCATATCCGTCCAAACTTTCGATCTCTTTTATCATCTTTAGGTTTTCTCACTATTACTATTATTATTATAAAAAAATGTTATGTTATGTTATATTATATTTATTACACAACAGAGATTTTTTTTTTCTTAAATAAGAAATTTCCACGGTTTCAATATTTTCGTATGTGGTGCCAAAAGAAATCTTGAATTTGACTTGAATAAGAATCAAACCCTAAGTGAATTTGCATATAGAGAAGTTTCAATGTTTTCTTCTCCTTTTATTAAGAGCTTTTTAGCTTCTCCAAAGTCCATATATTATTGGAAAATATTTAAAACAAATTAAAAACTGAATTGCATTAATAAATATTAGAATTCGCACAAAAATATAAGCATCCAGACTTTAAAAAAGCATTTTCCAATATATACCGCACAAAAACCATAAAAATAATACAAAAGCGATAGGCTTCGTCAATTTAGACGACATATATACTTCTTAAAATGTATGTTTAGTGTTTCTTAAATACGTATTACGTGGACGTTTGATAATATCCCCTTCAAGTTGTCGTCTCTCCCATGTCAGATTTTCAACCAATCTAATATCGTCGATAACATTTATTTGATTTTTTGGGTTATAGTTTATATATATATATATATATATATATATACATATACACGCACTTGAGATATCATTTTTTTTAAAAAAATTGTGATATTAGAACCTCGAATCGGTTTTCATATTATACAGAAAAAGCTTGTCACATGTTCAGTTATTTTTTAAACCCTAACGGTTCAATTCAGTAACTGCAAATCCAAGTACCATTTTTTTTTTGCCATGCATCGTAACGACGTCCCACCAAAAAAAGTTGTGAAAACTAGGAGTGGACCGTTTTACCCTTGACCCGTGGGTTTATGAGACGAGGTTAGGCTAATCCATGGATCCATGCACCTTCCAAATCACAGGTGAATCCTTTGCCACATTTTTGAAGTCCGCACCAGTAAACTTAGCCGGCTTCTCCCCTTGTGTAGGAACTAGGAACAAAGCCTAGTGAAACAGTTCCTTGTGCATGAACAGACCTTATTGGAGCACTTGAACCATTATCCATGTCTTATATAAACACAGTTTCATGTTAAGATTGTTGTCCCCGTCGATGTGGGGTTTTGAAATTGTTCGGAATTTCGCCAAATCTCCCATGTGGTGTTTTGAGTAGTAAACAGAAATCTTGGAAAAGAATATTTTGACGTGGGATTAAGTCGAAGCATATGTTTTTTTTTACACAATCTACTCAAGACGAAATTGTCTGGATGCGTTTTATGGTAATCGTTTTCAAGATACGAATTACAATTATATACAAAAACATCAATTGTTTAAGATAATCCAACGAATTATGAGAGTTCGGAACACTTTGGAAAAAGGTTTTAGAAATTTTTGTTGGATAGAAGAAAGCGTTAAAAATGGGAGGGAAAAAACTGATCAAATGGAAGATACATAAAATGGAGAGAATGAAGGCATACAAGCAAGATGCTGTAACAGATGAAGCAGGCAAGAAGAGACAGAAGGTGTATCGACAAGAATTGGGGGGGACAAGAGAGATATCATATCATGTCCGTATACTTTTCTCATTCCAAGTCTATGATTCCGAAATTGGAGAGTAGGATCTTAACTTGATCGACGAGGTCTGATCCCGTTGCGTACTCCGTCAGCATTCCAACCGCAAAACCAAACATCGCCCACCTGTAACATTACCATTACCAAACCATAAGATCCGATGTTCATGTTCAGACGGAACTAACGAAGAAGATGCTCGTCTAAGTTCTGAAGGGACATTCTCTGACGCAAAATCTAAATTGTGCAATCTGGTATTTCACACATCTGAGTTTGAACATTTGGACGTCGTTTCTAAGATTTTGCAGAATCAGAAATTCGGCAAAACACAGGCAATGATTCAGCGTCAGGCTCAGATCTTAGGTCCTTAAATATCACAGAATGCTACAAATAGGTATGAGATGAAAGAACGATCTCCAAAACTATGTAATATAAGATGGGACTGCATATAGACATTACTAACACACCAGCAAATAGCAGAGAGGCGATCCAAACTACAAGCAAGCAACCCTCGAATGTATAACTGAAATGAACACTTGGAATGACAGAACATCCTCCTAAACTATGTAAATATCATTGCGTTGGGTGGCTCAACCGTTAAGGATGTGGCAAAACTCCTTCACAATCCTTCCTAAGTTTACCCGATCGTCTAAGGGACGTAGTTGTGGTTCGAAGACCGGTGAACTTAGGGATTATAAAAAAAAAACATCTTTTCTGTAGTCCCATTACAAAAAGAATCGATTTTTTTCCACTTAAGACTAACCCTCCACCGGATTTGTCCGCAGAATCAGAAAATCATCAAAACAATCACTACCCAGAAGTCAAAATCCAAACTTGAGCCACCACTAATGCAACTAAGCAGAGATCATAATTCAAACTAAATCACCTTCCATTGGAGATCTCGTTCTTGGGAAGGAAACCGAAGAAGGGGCCTTGCGTAGCGGCTTCAAGCTTCTTCTTCTTAAAGTAATCTTGCAGCTCCTTCGCCTTCTGCCTCTGGAACTCGAGCGTAATCACACCCTTTCCCTCCTCGAAACCCACCGGCGTGGGCGTGGGCGTGGGCGACACGGCGGAAGAAGAGGGAGACGGCGGAGGAGGGATGGGCGTCGACGGCGGAGAGGGCTCCCGGAGGGGAGGAGGAGCCACCGGTCTCCTCAAGGGGCCGTCAGTCTGGGAACACCTGACGGTGAAAACGCATGGCTTAGACGGAGAGAATCTGAAACAAGACGAGGCCAATGATGACGAAGAAGAGGAAGAAGAAGAAGGAGAAGCAGAGTTCAGGATTCTGATGCAGGGAATCGGAGAAGCAGATGACATTTTTGTTTAATCCGCTCTCCGAACACTCTAATCTTGTTTCTGAATGCTATGTCTCTGTTTCGGGTTGTGTTGTATGGTGAGGGCTGTCTGAGAACTACTTGTGACCTGTGTGGATGAGATATGGCCAAGTCTTGGCATTTGCTTATTCGTCTGGGCTTCCAAGTCAAATACCACTTACAATATGAAACTTGCTGCTTTTAGCCTTTTAGCCAATCCGAGAGAGATAAGAACAATAACCCTCACGCTCCTCTAAAGCGCGTGAACACACGTCCCATCTAATCCTTGATACAGATACTACTGACCAGAAGTAAAATTCGGCCAAAAGATTTATACAAAGGACCTAAAGGTACATGAATTCTAGGGTTTCCCTATATCCAGACTAGATCTTTTAATCATTGTGATTTACTTTAGGCATCATCATTCTTTCAGATTACACAGAGAGAGAGAGAGAGAGAGAGGTATTAGAGAACCAGAAATTATACGCCCTAAGATTCCTCGTCTTATACAATCTTTGTATATGAATTATGCATCTCTCTCTCTCTCTCACATATATATATATATAGAATACACGGAACATAGATAGGCCACCAAAAAAATAATACAGGATAAGAGAAGGCAAGAGACTTGTTGTCCGGGATAATGCATCTACCTCAACTTTTGACATTGGTTTCTGTTCTGAACTGTAATTTCAGGCGTTTACTCTGTTAATGGAGTTCATATCCAACAATGGATTCTGAGAGCCGCCAACTGAGAAAGATGGTTACATGATTGTGCACATACAGCTTTTCCCAGCTCCATGTTGGAACTCGTCGTCTGATCCGCCCGTTTCGCTGCAAAATCCAATCAGGTTGTTAACGGGAAAGCATCAGTAAAAAGAAATAGATGGTAAGGTAATTTTATCAACCTATTTGATCAAACACAGTATTACGACGCACCACCACGTTTCTGAGACTAACGTTCTCATGGAACAATCTGTCATACTCTAGACTGCCTAGATTACCCGCTCCGTAGTGTGGACCATTGCAAAGAACTTAGCCCTGATACCAATTGATATCAACCTAGTTACACTAAGCCAAATGCAAAACACTCGTAGATATAAACTCATTCCTTAACCCGAGCTTTTAAGAGGAGGGTGTCTACAGTTCTATAATTCATCAACTAATCTCATAATTGGTGAGCATGGGGCTACGGCCCACCAGCACATTTCTAACCCTAATGTCCATGGGGTGACCCACTTAGAGTTAGATGGCACGCTCTGATATGCTCAGACCATCACTTCCCCATTCAGAAATTTAAAATGGAGGTTTTGTCCTAGTTAGAATCACTGCATGCATCTAAATTTATAGAATATCAGGTATTATCTACTGTAAAACACCCAAAACACATGGAATATATACTGTAATTGTATCAGTCACATATACAGACACTAAATTACCATTTGGATTGACATAAAGATAGAGCATCGTGATCAATTGATCATACCTCGGCACAAACTCTCTGACCTCAGCAAGATCAATTCCACAAGTGTCAGGCCACTGCACTTTCCTCCTTTCTATGTGATCCTCCAGCGTGTCTTGTCTATTCACATCATCGGCAGGAACAGCATCGCTAAATGATCTTTTCTTCAGGCTGCTCTTAAGTGCAAACCTTTTGGTTGCTTCAACGTTATCATCAATACAAGGTGCACGATCCCTTTTACCTTGGTGATGTATGGGAGAACCAGAGGGGACATCTTGTAGCTGAGAAGGCCCAACTCTAAGAGGAGAAGGGCTGTCAGGTCCTGCAGAAGCACGACCAAAACAAATAAAAGAGGTGCAAGCACGGGAGAGCCGATTCCTAAAGGAAGCGAGATGGAGGTTGGTATCAGGTTCCGGGTCCACCAAATGGTATTGGCTCCACGACGACACTCTCACGGGTTTGTCTTCATTCTTGTGCCCCAAGAGGAGAAGGGCTAGGCCCTTGCTATAACCAGACGCCGATGACGAGAAGAACCCTCCTCCCTCTGCTGCAAATAACATCTGTAATGCTCATCTGCACATCCAGCAACAGTTTTTGTACCCTCTCCCACAACGGAGATGAAGCAAGGGATATTCAAAGTTCACCCTCCAGCCTCCAGAGACGGATCATGTCACTTTAAAGGCACAAGGAAAATGGGAGCTGCCGTACGAAAATGAATCTATGAGTCGACAAAAGGATAAAATATTTTTGGAAACATTGTTTTCTAACTCATCACCACAATGCATTTCTAACGAAATCTGCGGAAACCATAATTTGAATCTCGCAGTACAACCAGAGATCACAAAAAACAAAAATAGACAGTTATCCAAAACGGAAACAATGCAGATAGAATCACAATAGAGCCAAATACTTGAAGAAAATCCAAATCAAACTCGGCCGAAATCTTCAACACGGTCCATTAACAAGTAACCAAGGAAGATCAATAAGCGTACAGATCACCATCAAGCACATAGGACAGGAAAAACAAAAGGTTCCGGTGAAATGCCTAATTCCGGACTAACAACTACATCTGGTACACAGCTCAACATAACGCTTTCGATCGGTTGGTTTGCTAATACAGTGGTGAATTAAACCCTAAAATTTCCAGCCTACTACTGAAATAGTTGAAGTTTCTCCGTCGCCTCCAGATTCAAACAGTGAAACAGAAATACACAGATAAAAACATTTACGCGGCATATATATAATTACACTCACACAACACACACATGCATCGAACGAGGAAAGAGGCAGGAGGCTCACCATTCACCTGACGGATCTAAAAGACCGGAGAACGGCGATGCGACCGGAGCTTACGCCGGCGGCAATGCAGAGAGAGAAATTTGGCAAGGAATGTAAGAGAGAGAGAAAAGTAGATTCAGCAAAGGGAACGACAAATTAAAAGAAAAGAAAAAGAAAAGTCATTTGTTTACTTTTGGGTGACGAAGAAAGTAGCGACGTTCACTTAGCGGCGCATTATAGTAACGGGCCTGATTTTGCTCCGTTATTCAGCCTGCTTGCTCACGGCTTCCACTTGTACTAGAAGAAGTCACAAATTAACTCCCCAAAAAAAAAAAACAAATCTAGCATATTAAAATTTAATCTAAAAATAGTATACGTATATTTTGTTATATCCCCAATATAGTATGAGCAAATATATATAGAGAGATTATTTGATGCTTCGCAACAGAACTGGACTAAAAAAACCCGAAATCCGGATATACGATCCGACCCGCGAGATGAATATCCGAAATTAGAATACCCGACTATAATTCAGGTTCAGATAATAATTTTGTTATATATCATATATATATAGAGGTTATTTGATGCTTCACAGTTCACAACCATATTGACAAGTGTGTTGCAACACATGACACATGCAGAAGTTACATGTAAATGTCACACGTCACATGATATGTGTTTACATGATGCATCATGACACTACTAATCACCAGATGCTAATCTTTCAGGATGTTTTCAACAATGAACACAAAGAGAAGTTAAAATGGGCATAGAGAAGGACCACAGGGTACAATGCTTTACATGTAGTGATGTAAACATTCATCAAACCATTTCAAGAAAAGCAGTAAACCGACAACATTCTGGCAAGGAACCAAACCAGAAGACACACTTAATCTGCATGCATATCCATTGAAGAGTCATTAGAACGTGGAGAGTTAGATCCCCTGTTCTGTTCATTGCTTCTTGTGGTGGCACCAGAGCTTGGAAAACAACCACCTTGTTGAATTTGGTAGTTCTGGAGACTACGGCGAATAGGGCTCGAAAGGGCATTCGAGAAAACCGAGTTCTTTGGTTGGTTTTCGTTTTGCTCGGGACGAGAAACTGAAACAGCTGTTGGGCAAGATGTGCCTGAACAGGCCATGAACCCTGAATTTGTGACATGCACTGTTGGTTGAGATGGAGCTCTTGGGGACATTGATGCTTCCTCCACGTAGCTGTCTAGCTCGTTCTGCAATGGAAACCAGAATGGGAAACAGGAAGGAGCAAACACTGCCTATAAAGTAGAGAGAAAAAAGAACTAGACGAACCTGAATGTAATTGATTATATCTATAGTTGTAACCCTCGATCCTCCTTCTTGTTGTCTCCAAATCCATTGGTACAGCTTTTCCTGTAACGTGGAAGGGAAGAGCTTTGTAAGGATATTTTCACATTTTTCTACATTTATTGTATGTTTCAATCGTCTCTCAATTTGTAGCTGCTGCAGAGCTAATCAGTTATGGTACCAAACAACGGGTTCATAAGACAAAGAATAAGCTAACTATAGTCACATAAGCTAAACACTTTTTCTAGCCATTACATATATATATATATGCATATATATGCATCTCCTAGGGCATTTCACCTTGCAACTACAAATTTTACATCACACCCAAGTGAGAAGTCCAGCATAACATGAAAAGTCCAGGCATTCCCAGTTTAGATTTTACAAAAAGAATCTCCTTTTACTACCAATAGTCAGCTTCTGATAGTGATGAAGTGAAGAATCAATGAGGACACAGCATCACACAAGTCACGTACATCACCCAAGACACTTGAGGACTGGACTTCAGAAATACAAAACAAAGAGTCTAGTTCAAGTGATACAGTGAAAATCAAGAACGAAACAATGAGAAAACTCCCGAGGTAAAGCAACAGACTTGTAAGGAGAGTTGTAGACTAGAGCAGAAAGACAAAACACCGACATTCTTCAGTGGCTGGAAAAAGAATGCAACGCCTAAGTTTACATCACAAGTGGGTCATTAGCAGAAGAGCAGCTAAGCACCGACAATCCTAGTTTGTGACAAGAAGCATATCCAGGGAGTTCAATTTACACCGAAAGAAGAGCAATTGGCTTCAACAAATCAATCCAGCTTAACTGGAATCAGCATCTTAATTAGGGAATCGACAAAAAAGATGATGATGGTGGTGGTGGTGGTGGTGGTGGTGATGATGATTATCTCAAACCATAATCACCACAACCACGTGAGACCCGACCAAGAACACAAACCGATCAAGAACATCAATCGCCAACCTAATCTACTTTAACGGGCGAGAATCATGAATCATCACATAAAACGACTCACAGATAAAAATTGATAATCAGATCGAACGGCGAATCAGAACAGAGAAATTACGAAATCAAAATCAGACAAAGACACACAGCAGAGAGAGAGATTGGGTACCAGGCCATGGCGTTCGCCGGCTTGGAACGAGAGCTTCTGGTGGTTCATGGCCTGAGTATAGAGCTGCGAGAGAGAGTTAGCGGCGGTGCGAAATGACGTGTAGACCGTGCGATCTACCTCGTCGAGGCTCGTCGCTATGGACTTCCTCTTCTTCCCCATCCCTAAATCTTCTTCACTCCGACCACGCTCGAATCTGATACCACCGATTCTCCGGTAGGACCAGCCGCGATTCCGAACGACGGCGGAGGCGGGGGCGGGGGCGGAGGGGAGTTGGTCGTATCCAATCGCCGGCGACGAGATAAATTACACGAGAGAAAAAAAAAATCAGACGGGCTTCTGGCTTTTATATGAAAAAAGAAAACTAAAAAGGCCGAGAAGGTTTTGTTGCTTAGACAACATATTATTCATTTACAAAAATCTCTTACAGTGACATGTTGGAAACAAAAGACCCAACACCTTTTCCCAAAATTTTAATAATTTTATCAAATTTGGATATTGAATTATATCACTTTTAGAGAGTCTCTCTAATAATTTTGATGTAAAGATTTTCCTTTTAAAATTTAAAATTCTAGAGGTCGGTCCATTTATTTATTTTAGTATAAAGCAATATTTGTATCTCTGTGATAATATAATTTTCTTTATTGGAAAATTAGAAAATAATTAGAATTGCAGAATAAATAAATAAATATGGGAGAGAAAATTGAGTTACGAATTCGGTATCTGCCTACTCCTACGCTTCACGAGCCCTTCATTTCCCAACTTGCTCTCCGATCACTTTCTTGATCAAACTCGGATTCAGCTTCGACAGAGACCCATCTCCGTCGCCATCTCCCTCACCTTCGTTCAGATCATCTCCGGTTGAATCTCACGATTTCTCTCCATCTCTGTGGCTGCGCGCGTTTTTCTTCTTCTCGAGGTACACTTCGTCGTGTTCTTCGGATTCTTCTAGTCTTTTGAATTTCTTCTCTACTTGATTTTGATGACATAATTTTAGACATCTGTCGTGTTCGCATTGCTTGATTGGCTCTGACGAGGTGATCTGGTTGGATCTGTTTTCTAGATCTGACGCAAACTCGGTTTGATTCTGATCTCTGGAGCCTGATCCGTTCTGGTCGGAACTGATCGACGGAAGTTTTCGGCTTTTTTCTTTCATGTTTTATCGTAGTTGCTCTATGTCTTCTTGATTGATACGTAATGATAGCGATCGAACGAGGTAGCATCGAACCAAGCGAGCTCCGGGATTTCGGTTGTGGGAGAAATCATAACCGAATTCGGGTGTTGTAATCGCGACGGAAGTAAAAGTTTAATCGCTCTTGCTTCGTATCGATTCTCAAATTTTTTCATGAACTGCCCGTTTCTTTTTTGTGTAGCATTGTAGTGAAGCTAAGGACGTGCTGTGAATCTATGGTGGATGAATTCTGGGAGATGGGAAACTAAAGAACTGGAGATTTGCTGATCGAGAAAAGCTAAGTTAAAATGGCTCCAGTTAGTAAGGCTGATAAGAAGGCTGCAGTAGATGCCGCTGCGTGGATGTTCAATGTCGTTACTTCCGTTGGGATCATCATGGTCAATAAAGCTTTAATGGCGACATATGGCTTTAGCTTTGGTAACCCACTTGATCTCTTCACTGACAAGTTTTTGTGTAACCCAGAATCCTGTATAAATTTTTCGATTTACTTCTAAACTTTGATTTACATTTCAACTTGTTGCAGCGACAACCCTAACCGGTTTACATTTTGCTACGACAACACTGATGACAGCCATTCTAAGGTGTCTTGGTTATATTCAGCCTTCTCATCTTCCTTTCACGGAGCTTCTGAAATTCATTCTGTTTGCAAACTTCTCCATTGTTGGAATGAACGTGAGCCTTATGTGGAACTCTGTGGGGTTTTATCAGGTAAGTTACTGACTTACTGCTAACTGTGCATCCCGATGTTGGCTAAAAAAACTACCTTTGTTGATTATATTTCGTACTGTGTGCTTTTCAGATCGCAAAGCTCAGCATGATTCCTGTATCATGCTTGTTGGAAGTGGTTTTTGATAAGATTCGCTACTCGAGAGACACAAAGCTTAGCATAGGGCTGGTTCTTCTGGGCGTCGGTGTTTGCACCATAACCGATGTTAGCGTTAATACCAAAGGCGTCATAGCTGCCTTTATTGCTGTGTGGAGTACTTCTCTACAGCAATATGTAAGTTCTCAGAGTTTGTCTTGCGTTTACTGGATTAGTCTGTGAAACAACAGATCTTCCCTTAATTTGGTTTTCTGCTCTGAACTCAGATTTATGTGGAGTTGTGTTTTGCAGTATGTACACTATCTTCAGCGAAAATACGCGCTTAGTTCATTCAACCTTCTGGGGCACACTGCCCCAGCCCAAGCTGGAACATTACTGATTGTCGGACCGATCCTTGACTATTGGTTGACAAACAAACGAGTAGACAAGTATGATTACAACTTAGTTTCTACGGTAAGTGCCAAAAACTCTTGGAAACTACTAAATAAATTTCGTCCTCACTCGTTTTTACACTCTGTAACATTTAGAAGCAACGGAATCTTGCCATTCCGAAATATGGGTCAAGGTAATTCCAATTATGTTAATCCCTGCTGAAATCTAATATCTTCTGGATATTCTCTGAATACTATGATGCGATTGAGTATCTGTTTCATTGGCCCATGTTAGACATGATTATTAGATACTGATCAGTAGAGATTTCTTTCATGGCCGACCTGTGTTTGTACAGGTAGCCATAGCCCATTACCACTTTTTGCATTAACACATTTTTGGTAAAGCTTAACGGCGATCTCTGAATGATGCAGATGTTCGTAGTACTCTCGTGCACGATAGCCATAGGGACGAATCTGAGCCAGTTCATATGCATCGGGAGATTCACGGCCGTATCATTCCAAGTCCTTGGCCACATGAAGACGATTCTGGTACTGATAATGGGTTTCTTCTTCTTCGGCCGAGAGGGACTGAACCTGCACGTTGTCATAGGAATGGTGATCGCCGTTCTCGGGATGATATGGTACGGTAACGCATCGTCCAAGCCCGGGGGAAAGGAACGTCGGAGCTATTCTCTTCCGACGGCCCACCGGCAACAGAAACACGGCGGCGCTTCGGATTCCGACAGCCATGAAGACAAGGCCTGATAGTAGAAATGATCATATGAAGGTACATCACTCTTTTTTTTTGGTCTAAAGTCGGAATACGTAATCCTAGTGCTCCTAGTTTTGGTACGTAATCGGCGATTTTTTTTTCCACACGGAAGATTAGGGAATCTTGATTTGACTTGTTTAGAACTATTAAGTTATTATTATTACCAGGGCATTGTTAACTGTTTTGAGGAATCAAAGCTACATGCATGATCTATGACAGTCTTTCCGACAAGTTTTGGCTTTTTCTATTTCCAAGTTTCACAAGATAATTTTAGGATGGTTTCAAATGCAAATTCAGATATAGAACTGAATAGCCAAATATAACACAACCTCTAAAGTCATTTTAAAATTGAAAAGATATAATTTTTCGAAGCCAAAATATCCAAACTCTTATTTGGATCTAATCTAAGATGATGCAAGGTAACACTTAAGGAGGCTCCTCATAATTTGATATCAAGAAACAAAAATATTTTTAACGCAAAAAAAAGAAAGAAAAAAGAAGCAGATACATATGAAGAAGGATTCGCTCACAAAGACCAAAAACCATGTCCCGCAAAACTGAAACCGGTCCGTAAAAGAGCAAAACAAGAAGGAAGGCTCAACGCTTCTTGGAGACACCAACAGTCTTTCCTCTGCGACCGGTGGTCTTGGTATGTTGCCCTCTCACCCGGAGTCCCCAGTAGTGTCTCAAACCACGGTGGTTTCTGCCCATTTTGCCAAAAAAAAAAAAACGAAACCCACACCCTCCTTTAAATACTCTCCGAAGACAGCAAAGTTTAAGTGAAAACCGGTATCGAAGAAATAGGAAGTGTGTTCTCACCTGATCTTCTTGAGACGTTCAAGGTCGTCTCTTAGCTTCATGTCCAGAGCGTTGGATACCACTTGGGAGAACTTTCCGTCTTTGTAGTCCTTCTGCCTGTTCAAGAACCAGTCCGGAATCTTGAACTGACGAGGGTTAGCCACTATTGTCATGAGGTTGTCTAGTTCAGCTGCTGATAACTCACCTGCCCTGAAAAAACGCAACAGAATAGCCATTGAGGCATCAATAATATGTTGCCGACCTGGTTCATTGAGGCATCAAACCCACTTTTCACAGCAGATCAAATATCGAACAATTTACCAAAAAAGAATATATTTCCTCCATCATACAGATCTATCAAAAAAGTCACATACAGAAAAACAGAACAATAGGTTATAGATGTCAATCTCTATTTCGCCAACGAACGTGGGACAGTATCAATCATCCAAATAACAGGCAAATCCAAATGGCAATTAGAGGGAAGAGGGGTATGGCATAGGCCTAATTGAAGAAACATCAATCACATTAACTGCACTCGTCAAGAATGGATATACTATGCACCCTCAGGAAGCTCTCTAATCGAAATTCTCTTGAATTACACCGACGAGAGAACCGTAGGAAAAGAAGATTAAAAATAAAGACGGAGGCAAACCTTTTGTTCATGTCAACATCAGCCTTCTTGCAGACGATGTTAGCAAACCGCCTTCCAATACCCTTGATAGAGGTAAGGGCAAACATAATCTTCTGCTTACCATCAACATTAGTGTTCAACACACGCAGAATGTGCTGGAAGTCCTCATTCGCGACCAGAGACTACACAAACATGAATGAGCACATTCAAACATATCAGAGCTCGATCAAAGTCCCATTACCAGAGTCGCCAGGATCTAGGGTTTACATAAAAGTGTTGACCCAGATGACCACTTGGTAAAACCCCATCAATGGACTTCACAAATTGGCTCAAAGCCGCAGTTTTAACACTAAAATATATAGCCTTTTTACTGTTTTTCATCTCCAGATTCCCGATTCTAACGCACGTTCCTAATCATCACTGGATTTGAAATATCAATACAAATTCCTAAACTGTTCCGAAGGAAAAAACGATTCTGACCTATCCAACAAAAAAATATATGCAGAGGAAGTAGCAGAACGATTGGATTTATAGAATCAAACTAGTGAATGCAAACGGGATACGCGACCTAGCTATTATTGCACGCCGCGAATTACATAACTAACGTAAAGACTATTAGAAAACGATACTTGGATAGCATGCGAATCATGAGAAAGCTGTCGTCTAAACCCTAATTACCATCTTGATTTGCAGTGAAACGCCGCCTGAGAAGAGGAGAAAGCTCTCGCCGTCTTCAAGCAGCAATATGATCGCCGCAAATTTACAGAAGATTTTATTATGGTTTTTGCGTGGGTTTTATATATGGGTTCATTAGGGCTATCGCCAATCTGAAACTCTTGGAGAGACAATTCTACCCCTGGATGCATATAGTAAAATATCGATTGCGCCCTCGGCCCCGGTGTCGATGTTGGCCTGAAGTTCCAAGTCTAAACCGATCTGACAGGTCAGATTTAAATCGGATTTTGGATCGGTTTGAAAGTTAGATATTTTTTTAAAATAAATAAATTTACAAAGAATAAATTGAGCGGGCTGAACCGGACCGGTCACGAAGTGTATAGGATCGGGCTCAATTGTACTGAAAGAAAATGCATAATCCTCTGTTGTAGTGTTTCTTCTTCTTCTTCAGGAACATCGGTTTATGAGCGATGACACGACAAAGCTTTCAGTGTACAAACCAAATCCTTGTCTTGTAATGTTCAATGTACAACACACTCAGAATTTTTACAAAAATGTGAAAACTTTACTCAAATCCATTATGAATAACAATCACTAACTATGTTCTGCATCGTATTTATTCAATCTTAAAGAGCGTTGTTGAGACGATCATGATAGCGGCGGGTTTGAAGAATCGAGAGACGCCACGGAATGCAGAGTACCGGTGATGGAGTCGATAAGGCTATGAGATTTGCTTGTACCTGCAAACTTCAAGTGCTTTGGTGCTTCTGCTCTGTCAAAGTAAAAAGCACCTTCCACCAGTTTTTCTTTCGGCTGCAGTGCCAACCAGACGATCGTGTCTGCTCCTTCCTCGCTCGTTCGAAGTTTTCCCGAAAACCTGAACCAGAAAAGTCCGACTCTTTCAATAAAATTTCCCTTCAGCGGGTCCAATATATCGGCATGATGGTATTCTATAGCGACAGCGGATATTCTTACGATTGATTGAAACTGGGCAAACTATTTGCGACTCCGGGTGTTTCGGCCCATCCAGGGTGCATTGAGTAGAACCCTATTCCTTTATTCTTGTACTTCTCTGCCCACTTCTCTGTCAGGGCCACCTATTCATCATAGGTATAAACCCGACTCAGAAGCGATTCCATGAGAATCTGAAGAGATTTAGACTAAATCTTCTAGGAGGATTTTAAAATAGTTTACTGACCTGCAGCCGTTTGTTTCGTGCGTATTGCTCGACTCCATTGAATCTTTCCTCGCTAAACTGTAAAGATATTGTGTTATATTCGAGTTATATTGGCATACAGTGACACAAACAGAAGTTAATAACCAGAGCATTAGGCCTAGGTTAGGTCCCGGCTCTTGTCGAGTTCAGACAAATCTTGGAAGCTAAAACAGTGGATTCAAGACGGTATTGGATACTGTAAATACACAACGAGAGAAAACCCGGAATGAAGTTACCTGTAGATCTGTAGTAAGAGGAGAAGTGTACATTCCCCCCGAGGAAACTGTTATGACTTTGGCGTCTGGTGCGGCTTTCTCCAACAATGGCAGCATCAGCTCTGTCATTGTGTATGTTCCTAATACGTTCACCGCAAAGTTCAGCTCGTATCTGAAATAAGAGATGAACGAAAAGAATGCTATAAAAGATCAGGATTCACGGAGAGAATCCTTTTTCAAGAAGCTCAATAGAGAGAAGAACTGGATCCTACCCTTCGGGTGTGGTGATTCGTTTGTTCTCAAGCAAGCCGGCATTGTTAACCTAAGCACTTAGAATGAGACAATCAGACAAAGAATTTCCATTCATAAGGAGAAGATGACGACAAATCTTACAGGGTTTCGAACAGATGGGTCTCTGAAGAACATTTTCTTGACGAAACAGTACAGAGAGAAGACGACGTACCAGAACATGAACGGGTACATCCTTGGAAGCGAATCTTGATGCAAAGGACTTTATTTCTTGAACGGATGACAGATCACATACCTAACAAAGAAGCAAAGCTAAGAGCCAAATTCCAAACAAAACTACAAAACAACAACAACGGTTTCAAGTGGAGGAAATCAAAGTACTTCAAGATGCAGATTCTTGTTTCCTGTTGAGCTCTGAATCTTGGAAAGTGCCTCTTCTCCCCTTTCCTTGTTCCGACACACCATGTACACTGTTGCCCCTCTGAAAATGAAATCAAGACAGAAAGCTGAGATGATTGCAACCAATTCGTTTTCGGTTTATCTCATAAAGAGTTCAGGAGATCTGAGAAAACTACTGGGAAGCAAGGCCCTTCGCAGTGGCGTAACCGATACCAGAATTGGCACCAGTAACCACACAATTCTTCCCATCAATCTGTATCTGCATATCTTCAGGGTTGAACCTCTTCGAATGCTCTCTGCCAAAGGAGACGGAAGTTCAATATCAGTCTACTAATGGCAGCATCAACATCGTCCATGGAGATTTACCAAACCCAATGCTTCGTGAATATCTCAAAACCAATCACTTTTTGTAGAATTTTGCGGGATACGGACAAGAACTAATGGAACAGTCCGCTTCAAAATGTACGAGCAAGCAAGAACAGAAAGCATCCCAAGCAAATCCGAATAGATTCGATCGAAATATCAAACCCCATATAACAGAAACGAACCCAGATGAACAAATTTAGAGTGGGATCAAAGCAATTTCGACTTACACGAAACCGTTCTTGGTGAAGTTGAGGTAGCCATAAGCACCGAAAGCCGTCGATCTCCATGCCTATAGAAACGACAAGACAGAAGCCATTCAAGGAAACCTACGACAAACCGACATTGTTAGCGATTCCAAGGATATAGGATGTACCTTTAGGAGGAACATGGTGGAGAGCAAGATCGCGTTCTCGAGTTTGGTTCGGCGACGGTGCAAGTAAACGGTTTGGTGGAATCGTCGAGAGGTGGGTGGAGTTGAGAGGAGAAGATTGCGCCACGTAGATCATTGCATAACGATGACGTGGCCATTCCTAAACGAAGATGTTATAGATTGGAACGCTGATTCTCTACCCGAGACCGAGACTATTCTCTGAAAGTGAAATATTGGGTGTCTCTGGTGTAAAGAGAGGGTTTTAGCGGTTAAACTCCTGTCGCCAAGCAATGTAATTAACAGTAAACATTACATGGTATGCAAAGTGATGTAAAACGGGCTCGCTCTGACCGGCCTGGACCGACTCGTCTCGAACCAACTCATTTTTGGCTCAATCTGTTCAGTCCATTTTTTTACGAGTTAGAAAAACTCTGATCCATACCAAATTATCCGAGTTTCGAGTCGACTCGCGAGCCAATCCGTTTTTATCTAATTATCCGAAAAAAATTTAAAATTATATGAAATTAATAATTTAAAAAATACAAAATAATATTTTAAAATCATTCAACATAACATAAAATATTTAATATAACAATCCATAAAACTATATCTAAATCAAGAAAAATTAACAAAACCAAACCAATATAAAAAATGTCATACACCAATAACATCAAAATATAACAAAAAATATACACCAATATCAACGTATCAGAAATTTTAATTTGCTATATAAACTGAAAAAGTGAATAAATTAAAATATGAAACTCTATTATTTTTTTTATGTCAGCTCGTGAGCCGACCGAGCTAGTCCGGATGGGCTCGGGTTCGTCGCGAGCTGGTTCGTTCGGCTCATTTTTATTTGGTCTTTTATTTTTTCAACCCAACTCAATAAAAAAATGAACCAACCACGAACCAACTTGTGAGTCCGACTCATTTTGCCATCACTAATGCTTATGACTTATGACTCAATAGATTAATCTCAGCCGTTAGATCTTATTAATTTCGTATTTTACCCTAAACCCTCTTAAACAATTCGACCTTTAAACCCCTTGAGGCAACTTCAACATAACCTAATTAACAAAATGAAAAAAAAAACCATCATTTTTTTTAGTTGGGCTTTTCATATATTATATAAAAAGAAGCTTAGTATACAAACTTCAACACAGTCTAGGAATTATAATATATATATATATATATATATATTACAACTTGATTAAGTACATATATATACTCACTCATTCAAATTAACTATATTTTGGTTCGGTTCGATATTATATGATATTTTATAAAAAACGAACGTTATAAAATTAAGAATACTGAACGGTTTGATTCGCTTAGAAATATATCATACCGTATTCGATATTTTTTATTTATAAATATTAAATATTAATATTTATTAGTGATATCCATTTTACGTTCCAATAAAAAATAGTTTTATAGAAATCCATTAACATTTTATTAATTTATTTATTTTCTGTATATTAAATTATCAAAATAAACTTAAACCGTATTTAACCAAACCATCATATAAAAACTCGAAATCGTATCGGACAGTTATATATTTTGGTCTTTATTTGATACTTATTCACTAAAACCATACTATACCAAACCGAAACCAACACCGAACCAATATAGGTTACGTATAAATTTTATAATACCAGATAAAACATTCCCAAACCTAATTACAAAACACCCACCCCACAAAACACACCTATTATTAAAATTAGTCCGGTCCATTAAGACCGGCCCAAGGTAGCCGTACATATAAATATATATGGATGTAATATTTGTCTCAGCAACGGCCGGCAGCCAGCAGATAGGAACTCTCAGAACCGAGATGCCCTCGACGAGGAAGAACGGCCCCTGAATCCGACAACACTAAGTTTGGAACCACTACTTCTCCTCTCTGCTGAACGGCCCCTGAATCCGACAACACTAAGTTTGGAACCACTACTTCTCCTCTCTGCTGATTCCTTCTTCCGGCTCGCGAATGCTGCTCTCGACTCTGCTATTTTTACTGCTTTACTCGCCCCTCCTTTTGAAGATTTTGCCATAGTAGAAGAAGAAGAAGCTTTCGTAGTGGGTTTAGAGAATGAAGGCTTTCTGGCAGCCGTCGTGGTGGCAGCTTTGGCTTTTGCTTGGCGCTGCTTGCTCGCCTCTCTCACAACCTTAACGCTCCTACCTTTGTCGAGAGTGATACGGGTTCTTGCAGCATCTCTCCTGACATTGTCTTTCGTTAGCATTTCTAAGCTCTCGTTTTTCCTTATGGCTTCCTCTATTCTCTCTGCTAATAACCGAATGCCGGCTAACGGCGACCAATTACGATTAATGCTTAATCACAATTCATGATTAGCGTCAAAATGGGTTTAATTAAATATAAAGTCAAAATCAGCATTTTCATTTTTCAATGGATCTCTCATCTCTCCCACCAAAGGATAGGTCGTTATGTCTCGACCGTTTCCTCCCCCCTCCATCATTGGCTCCTTCGTCTTCATCCCTCTCTTCGAGCCTCTTCTCGATTTTGTTTTGTTTCCGTCGGAGTCGGAAAGACTTGATCGGATTATATGGCACATGGAGGATCGAGGAGTAGGGAGGTTAGCAGGATCTCTGCTCTTCTGTTGTGTTTCTTGTCGTCTAGGTTTGTGAAATTAGGGTTTCTTTTTCTTTCCCGAATATGGGGATAACTGAGGTGGTGGATTTGGTGACAGAGGAGTTGGGCTGCGCTCTGCAGCTTGTCTTGCTCGTGCCTACAGCTCTACTGGGTTCGTATCGTCGTCCGCAAATGGTTCAACATCTCTGACTCCGAATCAGACTATAGTGCCGATACTGACGCCGACGACGGTGATAGCGACACCGATTCCGACAACACCCAAGGTCCGTTCTGAATCTCTGAGGGTCACTATATTTCGGGGAGATTATGTCCGTGTCCATTTGATTGCTGCTTCTTGTGTCTGAATCTGGAATTGGTGTAGCAGAATTTGATCCACGGGGAAGGGAACCGAGGTCTGGGGTTACGAAAGATGAAGATGATGGTGATGGTAATGGTAATGTGCTCTATTTCAGCTTGCTCTAATGGTGTTTCCCTAACGTCTCAAATCTTTCTTGGGATTGAGGTTTAATGTCATTGATTTTGTGCAAATGGAAATATTTCTCAATGGATAAATCATCAGTTCATGATCTTGATTATTCAGAGTCCATTCCCTGCTAGATTCCTTCTTCTATTTGTTTGTATACTTATCTATTCTTGCGCTTCATGGAATGTATAGATGCTATTCCGAGGTTGAGAAGAAGGAATTCGGAAACGTTCAGGGCTCAGTATATGGACACAAAAGCAATCAGGTCTTTCATTTTCTGCTGATCTTTGCTTCCTCCAATCATGCATTTATGAAGTTTTTGCTGTCTCTGGATTGTGAACTACTAAGGCAACCCAGAATTTTCCATTCCGGTTTCTTGATTTGTGGTTTTGCAATCCATTACCCCTTTCCTCTGTGCATCTCTTGCTTCCCGGATGTTATCTTGTTGATCACTGGTTTATGAAGTTAAACTATTTCTTTGCCTCTCTAGTTGAGGTGGTTTAGTTCTGTCCATTACGAGCTCCTGATATGTGTTTTTGATTTAGTTAGAATCTGTGTGGGGACATGGAATGTTGGAGGAAGAGTTCCACCCGCTGACTTTGATATTGATGGTTGGGTAGACACCATTGAACCTGCAGATGTATATGTTCTCGGGTAAGTTATTCTGCATTGATGTCAGAGAAAAGAAAAAATGTAATTCCTATAGATCCATCTCAATTCCATATCATGGCAACTGATTTCTGTATGCAGCTTTTCCTGAATTTAACTCGCTTTATTGCGATTAATTTTGTTTTCAGTCTTCAAGAAATAGTTCCACTAAATGCTGGGAACATTTTTGGTATCGAGGATGACCGTCCAGCTTCTAGATGGGAGAACATTATCCGTGATGCCCTAAACCGAATTCGACCTAGAAAGCAAAAGATCGTAAGTTACAGTGACCCCCCTTCTCCATCAAAGTTTAAGCCATCAGGGGAGGTCCCTGATATAGTAGAAGAAGATATGTTAATGGAAACCAGCAGTGATACTGCCGACGAGAATCGTCAGTTGTATGAGGAATCCAACTTTGACGAAAGCAAAGACAGAACTATTAGAAGTGTAGATGCGCTTATCAATGGAAATCTTCAGGACTCTACTTACTCCGAGAGATCTTGCTTGCCGGTACAAGAATACTTGCAGAGGCAGTTTTCATCGCCAAAGACACTGGAACGGTTGCTTTCCATGCAGATCGATAACCGTTCAAAGCGTGCAGAAAGATTAAGCAGATGGTTTAGTGTCTCGGAAAGAGATGGTTTGGCCTGGCCAGAGCCTCCACTACGATTGTTAAATCAACACGTTTTGGAAAGACACGGTTCCTTAAAATCATTGAATTCATTTAGCGGGTATAATTCATTCAAAACAACCGCAAACCATATTGCAACACAGAAGACACCTCTACTTGAAGACATCGATCTCGAGCCTCTCATGAACCCGAGAAGGCCATCATATGTACGGATTGTGAGCAAACAGATGGTAGGATTATTTCTCACCATCTGGGTACGTAGGAGCCTGCGCAAGCACATCCGGAATCTCAGTGTCTCCACTGTTGGCGTTGGCGTTATGGGCTACATCGGTAACAAGGTCTTCATTCTCTTACTAGTTGCCCTAAGAATTTGTATTGGCATTTTCCTCTGAATGATAACATGTGTGAATCGTAACATACTGCTAGAAGCCTTTACAGTTGCAGAAGTTCCAAAAAAACATCAGAAAGTGGCAGGCTTTACTAGAGAGTTGTCCAGGAATTTGGGGTTTAAATGAGCTTCACTCCTTAGCCTCTGACAATGTTTCCTTTTTTACAGGGATCAGTGTCAGTGAGTATGTCAATCTATCAGACACTATTTTGTTTCATGTGCACACATCTGGCATCGGGTGAAAAGGACGGAGATTGGGTGAAAAGAAACACTGATGTACGTGAAATTCGCAAAAGGACTCAGTTTCATCAGCGTTCCCTTTCTGCATTTGGGCTCCCGAGAAGCATTCATGATCACGAGTATGTTCCATTCTCCTCACCGTCCTGTTTTGATACAGCTTCTCTTGAAACAAACTCAAATTGACATGTTTTTTTTCCTTCTTCAGAAAAATTATCTGGCTAGGAGATCTGAATTATCGGATTAACTTGTCATATGAGAAGACACGTGAGCTTATTGCCAGAAAGGAGTGGCAGAAGTTGGTTGAGAAGGACCAGGTATGCTTATGAAACATATTAACCATTTTAACAGTCTTAAATTTCGAAGACTTGTCTTGCATTGCATCATTATGGTTCATATTTAAATCATGAAAATCTAGAATCCTGGTAAATCTGATTCTATCTTTATGCCCCTGCAACGGTTCTAGATGTTAGGTCGGAAAAAAATACGTACACAGACCACAGAAACATTTGTTTTGTGTCATCAATTTCAAACATTTGTGTTCTTCTGTGAAATTTCTTTAGTGGTAAGATGAGTTGATCATTTATTCTTATAGGTGGATTCGAGGGCTGACCAAAAGAAATCTCGAATTCTCTGGAAGCGAACCATTTTATATGGATTGTCTTGTGTTATCTTTTGGCGTTTCTGTTATAATCTGCAATTGCAACCGAAATGGTTACTTGCATCTCTATGCGTTAAAGGCATACAATCTCATTTGATCATATTTCTATCAAATCATCAAGAATCATGAAGGGGATTTGTGGATCCATTCTTGAATATGGATGGACTCATCAGTCGTTAATCTGTATCTTATTTATTGGCAGCTGGTACGAGAAATGAGGAAGGGACGTGCTTTCGAGGGATGGTCGGAAGGAACATTAGATTTCCCACCAACATACAAGTATGAACTCGACTCAGAAGAATACAGCAGAGAGGATTCAAGATCTGGCAAGCGTACACCCGCTTGGTATTATTTCTCAACACATTCTTTGAACAGGATGATTTACACTCAGAAAAAAAAAACCTTGAATCGAAACCGTGATCCAACATTTCATATTCAGGTGTGATCGTATACTTTCGCACGGGAAAGGAATGAAGCTTGCGAGTTACAAAAGAAGTGAGCTAAAACTATCGGATCACAGGCCGGTGACAGCAACGTACGTGGCAGAGGTCGAGGTGCTTTCTCCTCGGAAACTTCAGCGTGCATTGACACTAACCGATGCTGAGATCCATCGTCATGGCCATCAATAGCTTTCTCATAAATTAAGAAACCCTTCAATGTTCCTGATTCTCGCCCACGTCTTAGATCCAAGAGAAGATGTTGAAACCATCTCCTCCACGCACACTGGGACATGATCACACGGTAAAGAAATATTTTAGTCGTAAATAGTGTTTGTATTCATATTCGAATGTTCAGGTTCGTATTTTCTTGAGATGTGTGGATTGATTTATCCGATATTGATCCATGAAATCCAACGGTTTGTTTAGATTCATTCGACGAATCATTGTCAGAGATGTTTGTGGTTCCAATCCATGCATACATACAGTAAGGGTGGATGTTTTTATCCGAAACCTGACAACACACGAGCGCATCCCCGTCTCACAGGAATCCGACCACCGGCAAGAAAGAGGATGAGATCGGATGGGGATGCGTCGAGGGAGACGTGGCGAAGCTATATGTTCGAGGGTGAAGGAGGGGTAATTCCACGATTTCGTCATTAAGGCCTCAGTCGAACCTTCTAGCCTTTGCTTTGTGCGCATCCTGCAAGTACCCGAGCCTGAGCCTCCAACAACCACGAGGACGAGGCCGAGACCTCCTAACCCCGAAACTGGAGGAGGCCGAGGCCGAGGCCAATGGCTTGAAAATCTCAGGTGCCCACTCCTATTATCCATATGAAGAAAAAAGAAAACATATACCATTATCATCGATCGCAAAAGCAAAGTCTCGTTAATACACATTGAAATGGTTCATCTTATTGGCTTGTGATCATAAAGCCAAGAAGAACACGGTTTCAACCTCTCAGAACCGAGATGCCCTCGACGAGGAAGAACGGCCCCTGAATCCGACAACACTAAGTTTGGAACCACTACTTCTCCTCTCTGCTGAACGGCCCCTGAATCCGACAACACTAAGTTTGGAACCACTACTTCTCCTCTCTGCTGATTCCTTCTTCCGGCTCGCGAATGCTGCTCTCGACTCTGCTATTTTTACTGCTTTACTCGCCCCTCCTTTTGAAGATTTTGCCATAGTAGAAGAAGAAGAAGCTTTCGTAGTGGGTTTAGAGAATGAAGGCTTTCTGGCAGCCGTCGTGGTGGCAGCTTTGGCTTTTGCTTGGCGCTGCTTGCTCGCCTCTCTCACAACCTTAACGCTCCTACCTTTGTCGAGAGTGATACGGGTTCTTGCAGCATCTCTCCTGACATTGTCTTTCGTTAGCATTTCTAAGCTCTCGTTTTTCCTTATGGCTTCCTCTATTCTCTCTGCTAATAACCCATCCTTTCTCGTCACCAAACTCGTTACTTTACCTGCCGAAAAGAGATTTCAGGATAAATGTTTCAGATCCCGTGATTCGGATTGGGTCACATCACATGTATTAAAGATATAATTTCACCAAGTAACAGTTCTAGAGCAATGTTAGTCACCTTTTGCGCCCATCCGAGCAGTTCTGCCAGTACGATGAAGGTAGTCGATCTACACAATTCAATTTCAGTTTTAATATTAGCAATAATAACATTAACGGGAGCCCAAGTTAATAATAATATTACTTATGAAAAGTTTAGATCCATGTAATCTTACCGAATTTAACGGAAAATCAAACATTACAACATGATCTACGTCCAGGTCCAGACCCCTTGCAGCCAAATCTGTGCACACCAGAGTTGGACAGTCTCCCTCTTCGTTCTTGAACTTTTTCAAATTCTCAACCCTGGATGTTGTACCACGTAAATACAATTTCGGATCGATGGCCATGGATATACATATATTCGGGAAAAGCTAATTTTATCTTGACCTTTGTTCGGCTGGAACCTCGCCATGGTAATTGACTGTGGAGATTTGATTTTCGGCGAGAAAGTGATCAACTGCACGACTGGAATTCAAAGTGTTACAGAAGACCATCACCTTGCTTCCACGGGCCAAGCTAGGTTCAAGGACCTGCATTTGCATTAAAGCATATAATGAACTGAAACTTATGTTCAACACAAGAATAAGTGAATGAATGGTGAATCATTTTTACCTGTAGAAGGGCTTCCAGCTTATTCTCAGAACCCGAAAGCTTGATGAAATCATGTCGGGCAGTTGCTATCCTTTTATGCAACGAAGATGTACGCAGATGCTCTATCCCTTGAAACTCCTCATCGACTAAGTTCTGAACCGCCTGAAAAAAAAAATTACCTTTATTTCGGTACAAAGATTTAAGGTATAAAACATCGGTCCAAATCAGGAACTAACAGGAAAGTTGGCAAATGTGCATACCTTTGTCATTGTGGCAGTCACTAGGACAGTCTGAAATCCTTGGCCATTCGGTTTTGATGCTCGGTTTTTAAGCGGGGCAAGGAACTTACGAATGTCAGGACCGAAGCCACGATCAAACATTGTGTCTGCCTCATCCAGCACCTGTGTACAATATTACCGTCCAGTCATCTTATTATCATTGAAAGGCCGTCGATTTAACTTTTGACATTATTGTTTTGTAAATATTGGTAAATCAAAAAGGCTAAAGTTTCATTTCCACTGAATGCAAACAAACTTTAGGTCAGAGATTCGCATGATTAACATCGAAAGAATGCTTCAGTGTCAATCACATAATTAATCGGGGGATAAGAACTTCTGATATCGTGGTTATCTAGAAAGGTATAATTATTTTCAATAAGTTATAGCCTTAATCAGATCATTTTGAAGCAAGCCGAGTAATTAGGTGTTCCACTGTTTTAACATCTCGAGCTCGTTAGTGCTGAATAGTACGTACCAGATATCGGATATCTCCATACACCATGTTTCCATCTTCGATATGCTGAAGAACCCTACCAGGAGTTCCAACAACCATGTCTATTGCATTGTTCAGAGAATCCTCCTGTGGTCTTAGTCGAGAACCACCGCTGATCAATGTAGATCTGAATCTCGCGTGATGGCTTATGGACTTGGCCACACGATAAACCTATGGCAAAAACAAAAAACTATAAATACTATAGAAGCATTATGTGTATCCTTTTCAGTAACTTCGTTCTTAAATTCATGGGCAAAAATTGTTCTGATTCATCCATGTTAACCAACCCTTGGCCAACCTTGGTATAAATCCAAAACCCAAGCCAACCACAGGAGCAAACTTTATCAAATGTCACTCTCTTAAATTATGCATGTGTTAGCGTAATGATGTTTTAACTTATGTCCTATACACATGTTAAATTTAATAAACAACCGGCATAAGTACTAAGAACATATTTTCTGTCAACCAAGAGAGATTTGGTAAGTTTGCACTTAAAACATAACCACCCGAATGCTCATTGCCAGCCATAGATGCATTAGTCAATAGCACAAATAAATCAATCAAGGTGAAAACAGATGATTAACAAAAACCCTTAGTTACCTGCTCAGAGAGTTCTCTCGTGGGACAAAGAACCACGGTCCTTGGACGCCTAGGCCTTGTTATTTTACCCAGTGATGCCTCATCTTCTCTCATCAACTGCATAATCAAATCAAATAAGTTCGTACTAAGCTTAAAAATGAATGACACGAGAACAGGATTGTGAGCATTCTACCCTTACTATTGCAAACATTGCAATACAAGAGGAGACAGATTAAAAAAAATTCATATCAAATGCTTCACAATTAGGAACAACTGAAAGTATCTATATATTATTGAACACGCACAAAACTTACAAACAAATCAATAGATTTATACATAACCTATATATTCTTAAGAACTCTTTTCAATATACAACTAGCAATTGTTTTTCTTTTTATCTCTATCAAGATAGCTTTAAAAGCATTTAAAAGATCTACGCAAATTTTTTCCAGTGACTGAATACGGGCATAAAACTGGGTATGATTTATCATACAATGCTACAACAATCAAGAATACGTCGATTTGGGACAGATTCTGGGCACACCCAAAAGAGAACTCAAAATTTCTGACCAGAACCAGAAGCAAAAAGACAAAACAAAACCTCCAACAAGTTGAACCAGAGGACAAGTGATTTGAGACGGAATGAAGCAGGTTAGACATTACAAAGTTTACAGAGCAGATCAATGGCGAAAGATAATGCATTCAAATGAACTTTAGCAACCAATTCAAGAGGCGTAGCTCTGCTCATGAATCATGATGCAATATACAAATGACTGCAACTATATCAACCCTGGGGAAAATGGTAGTGAATTTAACCCCTAAACCTAATTTTTTTCTGAATTTTGGGAGGAAGGCAACTGGTTCGTATGAAAATTTGAATCAACAAGGAGGAATTCAAGAGGAACCTGAACGAGTGGCAACAAATAAGCGAGGGTCTTGCCGGAGCCAGTGTGAGATCCCAAGACGA